AAGCCGAGCAGCGCTAACGCGGTTTTGGCAAAAGTGAGTTATTTGTTTTTTTCGCCCATACTTGGCCGTGCGACCAAACCAACTCTCGATGCGGAAGGGCTCAACGTACAGATAGCGAAGGAGCACGGATCAACGTCGCTTGTCTTCTTCAGAATGGTCTGCTCCGCTGCCTGTGGCGTTGTTAAATATAATGATGAGCAATGGTAACGGCATGTACAAGGAAGAGCGCGATACCATAACGTTGAGGTACTGAAGCACGGAGTGCTGGGTGATGTCCTCCGAGGAGTACTCCTTTTTAAGCTCCTGCCACAGCTCGGTGGTCGAAACCGACACTGTAGGGCAGATGTGAGAAGTCAAAGGCTGACTGAGGCGTGCGGGGCTATGGGCACGATGTACCCGAGTCATGGTCGCTGAGCGAATGGATGTAGGGCTCGATCATCTTGAACATGACTCGAAGGTAGATGCCAGCGGTGGCATCTACTTTCTCCTCCACCATCTTGATGATCGCCTAATTGGAAAAATAGAGGAGTCAGGCCTCATACCGTTCGCGCACCACCGCACGCGCACAGTCGCACGCAGACACGCCTCGAAGGCAAAAATGTTAGGCGGCTGGTGTGGTACCTCATGTCTGAAATGCATGTTGAAGCGCTCAGGGTTGATGCACCAGTAGACATCGGTTATTCGGCCGCTGAGAGGGTCAATATTTTGCCGTTTGGGCTGAGGGTCTTTTGGGGCACCCTTCGACTTTCGCTTCTGCGCTCGAAGCATTCATTATAATGAGTACCCGTCCGGCGCACAAGGTAGCTGCAGCCAAAAAGGAGGAAGAGGATGGATACCTTGGGCTTGGCTTCTCGATAGCCTTCGCTCAGGTTGCTGAGGCCAGACCGCATGCCCACGCCGTCATCTTCATCTTCGTCTCCGCCAGCGCCAGGCTTGGCCTTTCTCGCGGCGTTCAATTGCGTAGAGATATCGACCGCCGGCTGCGGCCCAGGAGCCTCCGGCACGCGCACCACGAAGCGCTGCCTGATCAACTCCGTGAGCATCGTGTCGGCGAGCTCGAATCCTACGCCGGGAGAACCGTGAGCCGAACGAAAGGCTTCACAAGGGGGGTGGGTGGCGAGACGCACCAGCGGCCTGGGCGGCGTGCTGCAGGATCAGATCGTGCGTGAGGCGGCCGTGCTCCAACAGTACTTGCACCATGAGACGACCCTGCACAATAGCGTTGCCGGTAGTGAGACAATGCCTTGTGTGGTGCGTGTGTTGGGTGCCACACACCTCGTCGCCGAAACGATGTTTGGCCACTTGAAGGAAGCGCGGGAAGCGAAGACGCCACAGTATGAAGGAGACGCTGGCCTGGTAGTACGTTTGCACGTCCTGGGGGTTGCCCTCTGGGTGCTCCTCGATGAACGAAACGAGATTGTGCTGGATGAGGACGAGCAAGCTGTTCTTCACCTGCAAGAACTCGAGCTCCGTAATGCTTTCGAGCTCGTGCATAAGCAACCGGTCCCTCGTCAACAGTGCGCCAGCCACTTTCTGACCACCACCAAGAATCACCAAGCTCGAATTAAATGAAATCTGGGTTGGCACAATGGCAGGTTTTTGCATCTGCGCAGCGAGAGGAAATACCCCTATGACATCGCCAAAGTGCTCCGTAACGATGTCCCTGGCTAGATGCGCCCTCTCCATCTTCGTCTCTCCAAATTTGATCTTTGCTTGTGCCAGGTATTCGAGCCACGCCATTCCTTGAATTTTCTCAGTGCCGTTTCTTTTGGCGCGAACGACAAGACTCGCACACACGAGCACTTGTCCACCCGACGCGAGGCAACAAGACATGAACATGTAGGGGTGGAAGAACAACGGTAAAGAGTTCATTGGCCCTGTTGGGACCACCCTGGGTGGCTCATTGCTTTCTGGAACTGCTGTCCCCCTGGTGCCGCTGCCGCACCGGTCGCAGGCACCCGGTTCTGCACCATCGTCCGCCAGCGGGCCAAGAGTCGCTCCTGCTTGGCTTGAAGCGCTTGTGCATCTGCACCCGCTCCTTCATGAGTTGAAAAGGCTACGATAGCGGCTCGTGGTGGTGGCACTGGTGGTCTTACCTTGTGCGACTGGCACGGGCGGCTCCACGGGCGGCAGTGACCCAAAGAGGTCAGCGGAAGGCGAACCGGGCGGGCTCAGCGGTGTGGCAGCATCCGAAGGTTGCGAAGCGGCGACAGGCGAAGTGAATTGGGGTGCGGGTGCGGGTGGCAACGCTGGCTGTGGTGGCTTGGAGGTCGCTGCGATGGTTGGGAGAGCTTGTGGTGGATAGGGAGAGGAAGCAACACTAGCGGTCTGCGGCGTATAAGCGTAGGGGCTCATGCTGTAGTCATAGCCATACGGATATCCATACGCGGCGGAGTAGGCGTATTGCTGTTGCTGTTGCTGTTGCTGTTGCTGCGGTGCGGGTTGAGGTACTGAAGCTGTTGTTGGGGAAAGGTACAGCGTTAGCGAAGTAGGCTGCATTCCTGAGGTGGCGGTGTGTACAGTCATCGTCTGACATGTCCATGTCGGTTTCCATGATCTCTTCCGAGCTTTCGCGCTTTCGTTTGTGAGGCCGTCTTGTGGGAAACTTCCTCTCCACCTGTCGCAAGAATACGCTTTGTCTCAGCCCGACATGAGGTGTTGAAGGCGGAGGAGTGAAAGTACCAGCAGCGGATCGAGGCTGAGCCCGAGCCCAGGGTATTGCTAAACGAGGGAGAAGCATGAGTAACTCACACTCTAAGCAAGCGAGGGGAAGAGAATGCCGCACCACTAACTGTACTATTTCGCCTTCTTGTTCATCGTCATTACGACAATCTATCTGCTCATCTGCTCTGTCCAGGTAGATCAATTCGGGGACTGCCACTTCCTGCTTCCGAGCTGAACATACAAAGCGAGTAAAACTGAGCCACAGCAAGGGTAGTGGTGCAGCAACATGATCTGTAAGTACCTAGCGGCGTTCGCTTGCGGCCTTGTCGAGCGCAACATGCGTGCAAATGAAAATGTTAGCTAGTTGCATGCAGGACGGAAGCCAAGCTGGCGCGTACCGATATAACCCGGAGGATACCCATACACCCGCATATTGCTGTAATAGGGTGGCTCCTCGCCGTCTACCATACGTGTTACGAGTCAAGGACAACAAGCGTGGACTCAATCACCATGCGAGGTTCGTGAAGGAGGGTGAAAAGGATATCTAGAGCTTGCTTGAGCTCCTCCGAGAGTTCGCCCGGCTTGAACTTGTCGAGCAACACCTTCTGCGACGTAGCGTACCTGCAGGCATCACAAGGTGAGTCGAGCTCCGAAGAAGTATCTGATACCAAGCGCACCTTCCCGTGAAGCGAACTGGAGTCGAGTCCAGGAACTCTCTTCGGTTGCGCTGTATTGCTGCCTGGTCTCGAGGCTGCACATGAGCACGGGAAGGTGAGTTCAACAACCGATCAAGCAACACCAAGAATGGAACGCACTTCGGGACACTCGGCGACCGAGTGGCCAGGCTGCCCACAGTTGAAGCACTTGCTTTCACCGTTATCTCTGTTGGAGTAGCCCACGACTACCGTGTTAGGTGCAAGGACGAACGCCGGTGTTTGTAGTGTACCTACTTTTCTTTGGGCGGGGCGTTGTCGAGTGGAGTATCGGAGGCACGATGGTAGATGGGTACCTCCATAAAGGATGGCGCCTCCACATCCGCGGCGTACTCTTGCCCGCCGATTCGAAGCAGTTGTGGACCCTTCGCAGAGATGTCTATGTCAGCACGCGATCCAGAAGCGGCCGAGCAGTTCGAAGGGAGACTACATACATGCTCAGGGTCGATGAACTTGATGTATTGCACCTCAATGGCAGCCCTGGGCGCGTAGCGAGGCGCGCCATAGCGTCGTGATCCTTCGGCCTTTGTGCGGCACTGCAGCAGCACGTCCTCGACCTTCTGAATGTCGTCTCTAGTAACACATCATGCGCCACACTAATGAGCTTGCTTCAGGACGTACGAGCGTGTGGTTGAGAGTGAACGCACTCGGCAAAGTCGAGGTAGGTGATCATGCAAAGTGTCCCAGGCGCGGTCTCTTTAGATCGTTGCTGCCGGCGAAGGCTGCGTTGAAGGTCACAAATTTTATCCTTTAGCCGCTCCACCTCCCTCCTCAATCGTTTATCTGGGATCGAAGGCGTTAGCGCCGGAAATGTGAATTCAATACTTAAAAAAACAACATACTTTCATACTCAAGAGGCTCATCTTCCTCGGATGAGTGCCGCGAGTCCTCCGTGTCTTCTGACGATGTCGACGCGTCTGTGGGATCGCGTGCTGGCTCATCCATCATTCTTTTTTTACTTGTTTTCTTTTCGCGTTGTTTTCGTTTTCGCGCCATTTTTTTGCCAGCAGGAACAAGAGGAGATTTTGTGGATCGAAGTGAGGAGAACAAAGATGTGGAGCGCGGGTGACTACGGCGATCAGACACCAATGCAGCGCAGGCCCAGCATGGGAGCTGGTGCGCATTCCTCTCACCTACAAGAAGTCACTCTTTCCCATCTGTTTAATTATAACATCTACAGACTATGGAGGCGACTCTACTGCGCCACGAACCGCCCAGCGAACCACCATGCCGTCGTACCTCTTTCCTTCCACCCCGGTACGAGCCTACTCTGGCCTTCTTGATTCCTTTCGCGAAGCTCATCATCGGCTCGCGATTTTCAGTACCATCCTGCGGCTCGCGGTCTCGCTGGCCAGGACCGCACGCGCAGGTACCCTCGCAGGCTTCAGTTTCTCTTAGTTCACGCTGCTGTACAGTTTCCTCATCGCTGTGCCTCTCTTCTCCCACTGTGCAGCCGTGACGCAGGGCTCGATGAGGTGTACACGCCTATCGCCACTCCAGCTCGCGGTGGTGGCCGCTACGGTGACATGGCAGGATCCACGCCTGGCTTTGGCCAAACACCCACAGCTGCCGGATATACACCCTTCCGCCGGCCGCAGATGGCCGAGGAGCGGTCCATGCCCGGTATCGCCACGTCGTCTGCAGAAGGGTACGCCATCGCTTGCCCCCTCCCTAAGCCTTACGACACCGCGTACTGACTTTCGCGTCCATGATCGGTACAGAGTCCCTGGAGAAGAGCAGCCGCCTACCCGCAGTCTGTACGACGAGCTGGAGGAAGAGGTGAGTTCTTGCGATGCGATCTCTCACGTGCCAAATCTGATCTTTTTTCTATGTTCCTTCGTATGCCCAGGAGAGTGTGCCCTCGAGGACCATGGAGCCGATGTACATGGGGTATGCGTTCGCCATCGCCTTTGTGAACCACGGGTCTCGACTAACTCGCATCTCATCCGCATCCAGATCGCCTGGCGAGGAGTTGGACATCGAGAGCGGAACATGGGTGACCGTGTTCGGCTTCCCGCCGTCACAAGCTTCGCATGTGCTCAAGCTTTTCCAAGAGATCGGTGAGGTTGTACGTCATAAGACGCCTCTTGGGCAATGCAATTGGATGCACATTCAGTACGAGAATCTCTCTCTTTTGGGTTTGCTGATGGTTCACTTTCTTACACGTCCCCTGGCGTTTGTGTGACGATGTCAGATTCCAGACAAGGACACAGGCCCGACAAGCGCTCTCCAGGAACGGCAAGACGTTTGGTGGCAACCTGATGGTGGGCGTAACGGAGTGCACAGACGCCGCGGCGCAAGCCACGGGCTCCTCGCTCGCCGAGTTCCCTCGCCCGCTCAACGCACCAGTCCAGCCCAAGCCCGGCTCGTACGTCTCTCTCTCTCTCTCTCTCCTCTCTCTAAGCACAGAAGCACGAAATGCTGATTCTCAACATGAACATGAACATGCAGGCACCAGATCGACCTCTACGGCCCGAAGGTGCCCAAGCGGAGCGACTCGACGTGGTCCAAGATCATGGAGTATGTCATTGGCGCCTAGATGTGCACGTCCTATTTATTACTCTTTTCTCCTCCAGCATCACCTTCATCGGTTCCTGTGCGAGCTTCTGCGTGTGCCACACGCGCACTCATCACCGCACGCGACAGCCAAAAAACGAAATATTACTTGGAAATAATTAGTTCGGGGTGACGCGTGACATCCTCGTGCTGTCATTTCAAGCTTGCGAGGCTGCAGGAGAACCAGTCGGGGAGAATAGTGCATCGTGAGATGGAGAGGCAGAGCAGCATCAACGATTTTTTCAAATCAGCAGACGGAGGGAATGCGGCCGTAAATGAGAAGGAGAAGAAGAGGAAAGGTGGTGGCAGTAAATCTTCAACTTCGCCAAAGGCGTTGGGGGCGAGTGCCAAGCGCAGAAGAAAAGAATCGTCTAGCACAGTGCAGCCATCTGCATCTGCTTCCATCAATTCCGAATCTATACCCACAATTCCCCTCAACCAAGAATTCGAAGGCGATGCTCTTGCACAACTTTCTTCACTTGGGGGTGCGTCCCTTTGTGCACTACCCCAGCCACTATGTTGTGAGTGAACAAGGGCTCACAAGCCCACAACCGCTGCAGTGGCGGCATACCTCCCTGAGCAAGTGGAGAGCACCGTCATCGCCCAGGTACAACGTTGGCAGCACAACTTTTCTGCGGTAGAGATGCTCATCACGGTCGTTGTGGTGTTGGCCCCGCGCAGGCACAGCGCGCGCTCGAGAACCAGGAGCAGAGGAAGCTGCAGAAGAAGCTGGATGACATCCGGATGCAGATCGCCACCCTACAGGATGCCCTGAGGGCGGAGACCGAGGCCGCAGCGAAGCAGAAGGCGGGCAACTCGTTCGCCGCCAATCTGCAAAAGAACGTCAAGGTGCGGAGTAGTAGTCGCCTGTGTGCTGCACCACTACACGCGCTAATCACTGATCCTGGCTGCCCCTTGGTCTGGTTGCAGAAAAAACAAATCGAGGATCTAAAGAAGAAGGAGCAGGTGATGATCGCCCTTGCGGCGAAGGAGGCACTGAAGCAGCAGAAGCGGAGCGGTGGTTCAGTTCTTCTTCTTCTTCGTCTTCTTCATCCACCACCGCCGCATCAGCTGCACCGCGAACGCCAGCGAGAGCCAATCGCGCCATCCAGGAAGACGACTGTGCGTCTGATCTAGCTCCACACCCTAACCCTCGTCCTTGTGCGCTCCTCACTTTGCCCATGTGATTAGCGTTCGACGCCATGCTGCAGGAGAGCGAGCACGATCGGCTGGTGCGCCTGGGCAGGATCACGCCCTTCGACAAGATCAGCCAGAAAGCCACACAACCTGCCACAGAGGTACTCTCACTCTACTAGCTCATGCAGTGGACACGACTGACCCCAACGACCACAGACGAACCGGCGGGTGGTGATGCCCGCGGACAGTCGGCCGACAAGACGAGACCGCGCGCAGGCGCGTGAGAAGAAGAGGTGGGCGGGTCGCAAGGTCAACAAGTACGCTACCCTCTTGTCACTCTTTGACCTTCTTCATTCTCGTGTAGCACTTATTGATGAACAAACACAGAACATGGGATGGCTATGGGAGCGACGAGGAGAATGGACGAAAGCGAATGCGGCCAAGGAAGAACAAGCCAAGGCGACGCTTCACGAAGCGAAACCTCTCCGTACGCTTAGGCCCGTCCTATTGCCACAGGTGATCGTGTTTGTTCTGGGCACTGAGCTCACCTTGCCCTACAACAGATGTACGCGGCACTCGATGACGGAGATGAAGAGGTGTATCTCCAGCGGATGCAACTGTGGAGCCGCAAGAAGCAGCAGCAGCTCGAGCGTAAGCGGCGTCTGGAGGCCGAAGCGAACGGGGAAGGCGAACTGCAGGCCGCGGAGGAAGACGAGGAAGAGGAGCGCCTCTCCGAGGAGATCGAGACCGGCAACGTAACGATCGACTCGTCCGATTCGGAGGAGAAGGACAGCTTTGAGTCCAACAACGAACAGCCGGGCGTGGCAGTGCAGACCGAGGAAAACGAAGCGGAAGAGGATCAACAAAGGAGCGAATCAAAAAAGAACGAAGCGAAGGGCGATCGTAATGAAGCGATGGAGGCGAGCGCAACGACCAGTACTGCGACAACCGGGGAATGGAACTGTGCGTCGTGCACTTACATCAACAGCATGAAGTCGGCGGTGTGCACGATGTGCGGACGGCGCAGGCCCAGGCTGCAGCCAACCAAATCCGCTTTCGACACCGACGAGCTGGTCGACGTGGGCGGGAACGAGGAGGTTGAGAAGGACGACGAATACCAACAGGACAAGGAAGCCGAGGAAGAGGAGATGGACGTCGACATCGAAACGGTTGAAGACGACAACGACCACGAGACCACGGCGCTCCGGGCCACAGGAAACAAGAAAAAGCGAGGTCGACCTGCTCAAACGAAAACGAAAGCGAACGAGAAAGCGAAGAGCGAAGTGATGGACGAAGATGAGGACTTCGATGCCAATGAGCTCATCATCGACCCGGATGAGGGAGAGGAAGTGCTCTTTTCCGGGGGTTACCGGCTGCCGGCCCAGCTGTACGACAACCTCTTCGACTACCAGAAGACCGGCGTGCGATGGATGTGGGAGCTGCATCGACAAAACGCTGGCGGAATCATCGGCGATGAGATGGTAACCAACACACACACACACGCTCAACACGACACACACCTCTGTCATGGGTCGACAGTTACTGATTGCGTGGTGCTGGCGCAGGGTTTGGGGAAGACGGTGCAGGTCATGTCGTTCCTCGCTGGGCTCCATCACAGCGAGATGTTGAACGGACCCATCCTCATTGTCTGCCCGGCGACGGTCATGCAGCAGTGGGTGCGCGAGTGCCACAAGTGGTGGCCGCCCTTCCGTGTGGCCGTCCTCCACGACACGGGGACGTATTCGGGCTCGGCGTCCGACCTGATCGAACGAATCGCTACCGATGGTACGGCGCAGCGCCCGTACGACGGTGGGTGGAGCTGTGCTTGCGTCTGGGGACCTGACATGGTGGCGTGTGTGTGTGTCGCGTGGCTGCAGGCCATGTGCTGATCACGACCTATAGTGGCACGAGGCTCAATCAAGAGGTCATGTGCGAGGTAGACTGGGAGTACGCCGTTCTGGATGAGGGCGACAAGATCCGCAACCCCGATGCCGACATCACCCTCGCGTGCAAGCGGCTGCGGGTACCGTCTACAGCTTTCTCATGGCACCACATGACCTGCTTCTTCTTGGCCGAGGCTCATCATTTGTGCGTCTGCAGACGCACCACCGCTTGATCCTGACCGGCTCGCCCATTCAAAACAACCTGACCGAGCTGTGGTCGCTGTTCGACTTTGTCTTTCCTGGGAAGCTTGGGGTACCGTGACACCACCTCGGCTCCCCCGCGTGTCGGCCGCTTATGTGGCCACGTACTAACCGCTTCTTCACCACCACCACGCGAATCGAACAGACGCTGCCCATTTTTCAGACGGAGTTCGCACTGCCCATATCGATGGGTGGCTACAGTAACGCCACGAAGCTGCAGGTCCAGACGGCCTACAAGTGCGCCGTGGTGCTGCGTGATCTGATCAAGCCCTACCTCCTGCGAAGGATGAAGGCCGACGTGAAAGCGCAGCTGCCCAAGAAAAGTGAACACGTACGCATGCACGCACGTGTGAGATTGACGCACGCACGCACTGCAGCGCTGACGTCAGCGGTTCCTTCCCTCCAGGTGCTGTTTTGTCAGTTGACGGCGGAGCAGCGGATGGACTACGAGGACTACCTGGGCTCGAAGGACGTGCAGGACATACTGGGCAAGGAGCGGCGGGATCGCATGACGAACAAGGTGCTGGCCTGCATCATGAACCTCCGCAAGATCTGCAACCACCCCGACCTCATGCTGCCCTTCGAGAAGGTACTTAGCTTGTACACCATGTGTGGATTCAGCGCTGATTGATATATTAATGTGTTGGTTGATTGATGTTGATATGTTGATGATATGTTGGTGATGATGGTACAGTGGCCGCAAGACTACGGCTATTGGGGCAGATCGGGCAAGCTGAAGGTGACGGAGCAGCTGCTGCAGATGTGGAGAGAACAGGGCCATCGCGTGCTCCTCTTCTCTCAAACGCGGCAGATGCTCGACATCGTCGAGCGGTTTGTCGTGGAAAAAGGTAGCACGCTCCTCACGGGATTCATTGTTTTCTACCTTGCATTAATCGACCGTGTGTGTGTGTGCGCGTGTGTGTGTGTGCGTGTGCGTGTCCGCGCAGGTTATGACTACTTGCGCATGGACGGCACGACGTCAATCGGGCGACGCATGGGCTTGGTGGACGAGTTCAACAACAACCCGCGCCATTTCCTCTTCCTCCTGACGACCCGCGTCGGCGGCCTGGGCGTCAACCTCATCGGCGCCGACCGCGTCCTAATCTACGACCCCGACTGGGTACCCAGTCTCACGCAGACTCGGCTCGCGGTGGCGTGCGGAATGGGGGGAAAAACTAACGTGTGTCGACATGAATGAATGGAATGCGTCGGTGGCCGTGTGCAGAATCCGTCGACCGACATGCAGGCCAGGGAGCGGGCGTGGCGTATTGGGCAGAAGCGCGAGGTGACGGTGTACCGGCTCATCACGGCCGGGGCAGTGGAAGAGAAGATCTACCACCGCCAGATATTCAAGCAGTTCCTCTCCAACAAGATTCTCAAGGATCCCAAACAGCGCCGATTCTTCAAGGTTTGTGCGTCTGCGGTCATGCGGTGGCGTGTGTGTGTCGTGTGTGTGTCGTGTGTGTGTTGGCGTGCGTGCGGTGAGATCTACGTGTTGTCTCATTTACCATGAATGTGTTGTTTGGTGGTGATGGTGGTGATGATGTCACGCAGTCTTCGGATTTGAGGGATCTGTTCACGCTGGGCAAGGAGGGCAAGGCCGAGACGACGGAGCTGTTCGACGACATTCGCGCCCAGATGCAGAAGGCCGAGGAGGCCGAGCGGGCGAAGGAGCAGCTGGAGCTGGAGGAAAAGGAAAAGGAGAAGGAAAAGGGGAAGGAAAAGGCAGTGGACGACGATGACGACGATGACGATGAGGCGAAGGCGCGGACAACGGGGCCGGTGTCGGTCAGGACGAGGCCAAGTCCAAGAGCGAGAAGGACGACGCCTTCATCCTCCGCAGCCTGTTTGACAACGCCAACGTGCAGGGCGCCGTGTGTCACGACTCCATCGTTGAGAAGGCCGGCCACGAGCAGGTCATCATCGAGGAACAAGGTCCGTGTAGTGTGTGTCGTGTGTGTCGTGTGTGTCGTGTTGTGCTAACAGACCACGTGGGTCACGCACAGCGTCCAAGATTGCGGCGAGAGCGGCGCAAGCGCTTCGTCGGTCGAGGAGGGTGTGCCAGAGCGACGACGTCAACGTGCCCACGTGGACGGGACGATCGGGTGCGGCGGGCATGCCCCAGCAGCTCAAGCAAAAGCGTTTCGGCGCGCAGCTCAACTCCAAGCTCCTCCAGGCCAGCGAAACCGAGGGCGCCATCAGAAACTTTGGCAAGAAGCAGGTGGGACATAGACCACATACACACACACACACACAACACACACCACCGCACACAACTCCACGCACTAATCTTAACCGTTGTTTGGTTGGTACCAGTCGCCGTTTTCCGCACGATCTATTCCTCCATCGTCGACGTCGTCGGCATCGTCAGCTGTGCCGCTGGCAGGTCTGGTGGCGGGCACCAGCATGGCACCGTTGGTCGGATCGGACGAGGAGTCCCTGGGCGGCAGTTTCTCTTCGCAACCGCCCTCGTCGGCGCTGCTCATTCAGCGGATGCGGCAACGCGCCAACCTGCTCGACCAGACCACCTCCACCACTACTACGACCAACTCCGACGGCAGCGAGGCCGGCGGCGAAGACGAGCCCACCGTATGTGATGCGTGTCGTGTCGCGTGTCGTGTCGCGTGTCGTGTCGTGTCGTGTCGTGTCGTGTGTCGTGCGGCGGTGACTGATGGGGCTCTGATGGGATGATGCAGATGGAGAAGGAAGAGGCGGTCGAGGTGTTGCGCGGAGGTAAGGAGGCGCTCATCCTCGCCATCCTCACCTATCTGCGGACCCGACCAGGCAACACGGCCTCGTCGCCGGAGCTCGTGAGCCACTTCAAGCCGCGCCTGGCGCCCGATGACGCCCTGCTCTTCCGCAGCATGCTCAAGCAGATCGCCACCTTCGACAAGAACCGGAAGACGTGGACCCTCAAGAGCGAGTTTGTCGAACAGGAGTAAAGGTTCTCATATGAAGCTTCGTTGGAAGCACACGACCCAATGCTACAAGAACTTTTGCTTTGGGATGTATTCGTCACAACATGTTCGCTTGGAAAGGCGTGTGAAACAGAGCAGACAAGTAGGGGAAGTGATGTATTCGGGGATACCAGTAGCTCGCAAAGAGTGCGTTGCGGCGGAGAAGCTTGAGAAACATTTGTGAATTGGTAAGCTGCCGGTCATCAAGGCAATGATTTTGGCGTAGGCCAAGCTTGGTCATGTTGTTGATGGTCTGCTAGCATGACTGAGTTGGCCAATGACAAGCAAGACCAGCTCTCCACCAACACCCATCAGCGAAATTCCAGTGCCATTGGAAAACAACCACAATAAAAACGGCCCCGTGAGACATTCATTCCATCCACCAGCTCACAACACACACGCTCAGCTCAGCTCTTCTGACCACCAATTCAATGGCTCGACCCTCACTTCTTATCTTCGTTACGATGATGGTGGCCTTCACCACCATCGCCCTGGTCTGCGCCCAGACACAGAACGTGCGTTGGGCCAGACCTGGCGGCTGCGACCCGGCCATCTGCGGCCCGACCTGTAATGGCAGCTTCGAGTGCCCGCTGCCCACAATCCAGGCCGCCGTCAATGCTCTGGGACCCGGCGGCGGACAGGTCTCGCTCTTCGCCGGCACCTACCAAGGCGCCGGCAACTCCAACATCAGGCTTGCCAACGGCCAATTCACTATCAAGTACGCACACAATCGCACGACACGCACCACCGCACACGCACACACGCACACGATATTGAACAATGTGTGGGCTCCAGCGCTGGGCAGGGCATTCAGTCGGCGACGATCGACTGCGGCGGCAACCCCGGGTTCAGCGTCGAGAACGGCAACTTCGATTTCATCGGCCTCGTGGTCCAGAACTGCCAGCGGCCCGGTGGCAACGGCGGCGCCTTCTCCGCGCGCTTCGCCACCATCACGCTCGACACCCTGCGGGTGACCAACAACGCAGCGGCCCGAGGCGGCGGGCTCTATCTCGAGAGCGGCAGCGGCTTCTCGTTCCGCAGCTTCATCGTCAACAACACGGCGACCGACGTGGGCGGCGGCATCTTCGTCACGGGCGCCTCGTTCAGCGTGGTCGAGTCCAACGTGACCGACAACCAGCCGGACGACATCGCCTGCGCCAACGGCTCGGTCCAGGAGTTCCGCCCCATCGCCACGGGCGAGGTCACCTGCCTGCCCGGCTGCGGCTCCGCCCTCTGCCCGGCCTAACCACTTGGCCGAGTCTCCACCGCCTTCAGCAGTTGCAATGCAACAGTCGCACCCTCCTTGTCAATAAACACGCAGCAAACGAAGTCGCGTGTTCGTAGCATCAGAGTCAAGCGAACTGATGGACGATGACCGTCCAGTCGGCCGAACCGGTTATGAGGCTCGTGTTGTCTAGGTACACGGCGGTCACCCTGCGTGTGGGGTGGAGAATGAGAGCCTGGCCAACCAACTTGGTTGACCCATCAAAACAGTGAATGAATGCGAACCCGTTCATGTGGTCCTTGAACAAGCCGATGCACTCCCCTGGCATCGAACAAAGAAGAAGACTTGGCGTGTAAGTGTTGAGGGTCGCTCAAGAGGGATTGGGAATGGTGTGAGCTTACCGGACTGTACGTCCCACAGCCTGGTGACTGAGTCTCGGCTGCTCGAGGCCACCCGCCCATAGTCGCCTGCTACCGCCTGAACCTACCAGAATCCAAGGCTTTGTATCATGGTACTGTTTGGGGTAGCAGCAAGACGGGTCGTAGTAGTACCGCTCCATTGTGCCCGGTGAGCGTGTGCGACGGCTCCCAACTCCTGTCGCCTATTCGCTTCCACAATCGCGCCGTCTTGTCCCTTACAATCACACACACGACACACACACGACACACACACGACACACACGACACACGACACACACGACACACGACACACACGACGCACACGACACACATGATACAAATGATCTCCTGTGACTCACAGAACTCGATATGCCAACGCGGACCACGGCGTGGTACCTGGAGCCAGACAGTAAGTAGCCGTCTTGCACCTGGAGACAACTGACCGCACCGGTGTGCCCGTGCAAGGGCTGCAGGTGTACTCCTCTCTGCAAGTCGTACACATGTATCACACCATCTTGCCCTCTGGCACACGTTCAATGTCCGTCAGCGAGCCGTGTGCTGTGGTGTGTGTGTGTGTGTGTGTGTGTTATGTTTGTGCGTGTGTGGTGAGTTTTATGTACCCGGCCACGGCAATGGACTGGTCCTCGGCCACGTCGAAGCACGTCATCGAGCTTCGGGTGGGGCTCTCGATCCTGAATCGCAGCTGGCCCTGCGCTGTCCACACGCTCACGCTACCATCCGCATGGCCGCACGCCACCGACAGGTCGGCGTCGCTGTTGGTGTGGAATGTCATGAATGGTTGGTTGGTTGGTTGGTTACAGGGCAGTTCACTCGGCCAGGAGGACCGTTACGGTACCCAGAGCGATAGAGTTCGATGAACTTGACGACGAGCCCATCAATTTGGTCCTCTTCTGCATCGGCGTCAACGCGGTGGCGGTGGTGGTGCGACGTCGTAGGCCACGTCTGCTCGGAGTGGCTGCCGCTCGAATCGTGAAACACGACGAGCGTCACATTGTGCCCCCGACCGACGGCGATGTTGAGCCGTTTGTCACGCCCGCGTCGAAAGCCGGACAGACACGTTGCTGTGCGGCACGCGAATGCAGAATGAGATGCAAAAGTGACTGACTGACCTACGAATGTAGGGCTTACGTACCACCAAGCACGGGGACGGCCGAAATGGAGTGGGTGGCGTGGGCGAGGTCCCATAGGTCCAGCGATCGTTCCCCGAGCACCGCCAGAAGCCCAGACGACTCGTCTACACGGGCACACGCAACTGGGGGGGACACGCACCGCACGCATCACCGCACACGCACGCACGCACGCACCGCACACGCACAAGAGAGTGGTGAGGTGCAGAACTGGACAATGCAATGGGAAGAGGGCTGCTACTGGTCTCTGGCCCCGGCAGGATCGAGCACATGTGCCGCCCGCTGGCCATGTCCCAGGTCAGCACCTCGAGCTCCGTCACCGTCACCAGCGCTCTCGGCCCGCCGGCCTTTACTGCGGTGCAGGCTTCCGCTGAGTTGTGCTGTGTGCTGTGTGTTGTGTGTTGTGTGTTGTGCGCTGTATTGTACCAGTTATGGGGTGCACCGAGAGCACCGGGCTGTTGGCCCCCTCGAGGATGAAGCGCGATGTGTAGCGACCGCTGCGCCACCTCTCCTTGAGTGCGCACCGCTGGCGATAGTACGCTCGCCACTCGCCCGCCGCCTTGCGACAGACGAACGTCAACAACAGAGCGCCTCTCAAGAAGAAGGTGGTGGTAGTGGTACCACGCGGGGTGCGGGGGCGATCCACTCGGGGAGATAGCGGAGGGCGCGCTGCCGCCACAGGAAGTCGTCGCCGGCGGCCGACTGCGCCAACGAACAGGTCTGCTCAAAGCGGAGCACGTCCTCGTCGTCCACGTAGAGCAACACCAGGCCCACCACCTACACACAACAAATTGATGCAGAAATGATAAAGATATGATAAAGATTGTAGCAGCGACTGGCGAGTGCAGGTGGTACGAACCTCTCTGGGCAGGCTCAGCAGCTGCATCTTCGCACAACGCCACAATCACGAGATTAGCCATCCAGATTTCTTTTTTGATTAATTGCTTTATTTTTATCTTTTCTTACTCAGGCTGAGGTGGAGGACGAAGAGGAAGAAGATGAAGACGAGGAAGATGAAGAGGCGGATGCATCGACAACAGGGTCGGATGTGGCTACGATGGGAGCGGGAGTGGTGATGGCGGCGTCGAAGGTGGGCGAGTTGATGCGCTCGAGAAGGACGACGAGCTCGCAGTGTTCGGTGTGCGGAAACATGTCCACGGCGATGGCCTGCACCGGGCGGAAGGGCGTGCCCATCATCGTCTTCGACTCGGAACGACACAGACTGCAGCAGATGAAGAAGACGACGACGACGACGACGATGAAGAGAGAGTTGGGTGAGTGGTGGGGGAGGTGAGAAGGTTGGTGGTTGGAAGGTGAGCCGTACTGTGCGAGGTCGACGGGCAAGACCTTCTGGTTGCACGAGACGTAGACGAGGCGTTGCAGTCTCTCGCACTTCCTCACGGCCTTCAACACGTCGGCATCTGACAAGATGAACGAAACGTCAGTGAAGGCGATGACGTGTGCAACACAACACATCATCTTGTTGTTGTCCAGAAGGAGTGAAAGGTGAAAGAGTGAAGGAGAAGAGTGTCTGCGTACGTGCGCCGGCGCGAGGCGGGTCGAGTACAGCGACTGAAGGGAACTCCCGGTACCGCTCGAGGAGATCGGGCAACACGTCTTCCGCCTTCCCCGCAAAGAAGTGCGCATTCGTGATGCCTAGGGGCACGGGGCGTTTGACGCGTCGTTAGCACCACTTGGCTCGATCCACACGACGACACACGATGGCGACACACGGTAGTGGTATGGGGGGGGGAAGATTGAATACCGTTGAGCTTAGCGTTGGCCTCGGCGTCCTCGATCGCCGAGGGCACAATATCCACACCCACCACCTGATCGTTTTCAGGGTTACTTACAGGAAACTGAGTAGAGTAAAAAGAGGGGTGGGATTGAACCTCCTTGGCGCGCGACGCGAGCGACAAGCCGATGGTGCCCGTGCCGCAGCAGATGTCAAACAGGACTGAATCCTTGGTCGCCGCCACCCAATCACCCACCACCTTGTACAGAGCTTCGGCGCCGCTGGTGTTCACTTGGAAGAAAGACGACGGCGAAATTCGGAACCTGAGCAGCACGTGGTGGGTGGGTGGGTGGGGGCGTAAGTCGGCAATCGCCACGTAGGAAAGAAAGAGAAAGTAGAGGGAGGTGTACTTGAGGTCGAACAACGTCTCGTAGATGTAGGGCTGCCCCCACAAAAGCTCCGTCTCTTGGTCATCGGGAGCTGACACACCACACACACACACACACACACACACGACACAACAACACACAACAACACACACACACAACACAACACAACACACACGATCAAATAGGCGATTAAGCATAAACATATGTGTGTGCCGTGCGTGCCGTGTGTGATCGAGTACCTCGGTTGGAGACGCCGCTGTATGACTGCAGGTAGAGGGAGGAGATGGGCGGGTTGGTGGACGCCTTGGCGTGCTCGATGAGGCTCGTCTTCACCGCCTGCAATTCGTCCGCGGACACGGCATCGCCGTTCACCTGAATCGCCAGCATGACTGCGCAGTCCACAATAAAACGCGACAATTTGTGAGCACGCCAGCTTGTTCGCCGCCAAACACGAACAGAATGTAACGTGATGCAATCAAGATGCTACGCAACCTTCGCCGGCCCGGGTGGTACGCACAACAGCCTCTCGCCTGGAGCGATACAAAGCAATGTGAGCGTACGAAGTGTTGCACTGCGCGAGTGGCTGGCGCTGTGTACCAGAAGCCGGTGTGTCCGAGTTTCTCGTAGGGCGGGTGCGGAGAGGACTCGATGAACTGCTGCAGAAGGTTGCGGGCGGCTTTGGCCTCCTTGGGCAGGTTGCGGCATTCCGAGGGGTCGGCCACCGACGTCTGGTGGTCCTCCGTGCGGCCCAGCGCAAAGCCGATGCAAGGTCGGCCTGCAGCCCCACATCCACAGTTAAGGTGGCGCTCATAGTTAAGATGGCGGTGAGCGGTGTGCGTGGTGGTTGGTGCTGCGCACCTGCAACGTCGCGCCCGATGGTGAAGGTGTTCTTGTTGCGGTAGCCATCGCGCTGAGACTCCTCGGCCTGGATGAAGAGCTTGAAGGAGCAGCACTGAGACGTGGTCTTGGCCTGCGCGATCCAGCGCGGCAGATCGTAAGCTGACTTCTTGCGAATCTCCTTCTGCACCGCCTTGAGCTTCTTAAGGACCACGTTGCGCTTCTTCCTCACCTGATGATGGTTGTGGTGTGACGGGTGAGCCAAGTCAACTACTCTCGTGGACGTTGCCAAGGCACGCGAGCGCGGGCATACCTGATCGGAGTAGTCCAGCCGCCACATGGGCGTGACGATGTCGTTGATGTCCTTGGGCGGCTCCTCCGCCTTTCCCGCTGTCTTCTGTCGCTTCTCGACGGGCTTGTCTTCAAGCTCGATCTCGCCTCCGGCACGCTTCGCTACCTTGGCCCGGATGGTGCTGCCACGCACGGTGGCGCCATCCAACTTGGCGATCGCATCATCCATCGCCGCCTTGGTCTGTGACGTATGTTGCGTGTGCGCCGTGTGTGCCATGTCGTGTGTTGTGTCGCATGAGCGCTGTCAGTCAGTTGATGCAACCAGCAAGTCGTGATGGCGAAGGTGCGCGTACGGCAAAGCTGATCTTGGCAAAGCGCTGGGCGGTGATCTTGCGTGTGCTGATGAAGTCGACGCCCTTCTGCCGTAGGAACTTCTCCCATCGCTTCTGCTCGACAAAGGTCGGCACGCCGGCGCACACCACGTCGAGCCCGTCCTCGCCAGACGCGTCGAGAGCAGCAGCTGCTTCGGCGTCCTCCTCTGCCACTACTGTAGCCATCTCCAACTCGACCGGCGCCGCTTGCTCCGATGCGGCCGTGCTCTCTGTGAGTGGCGATTGAAAACCATCTAATGATGGTTTAAAAATGCAAATTTGCATCCTTAATTGAAAGATGAGCCGAGCTGGTACCGGTTGGCTTTGTGTCCTCCTGCATTGCCACTACTTCTTCTTGCCTTGCCTCGGGCTGCTCCATCTCGTACGATTCGGAAGCGCAAGATTGGAGGCCAGGAAAAAGAGAAATGAAAAAGAGATTTCTCTTTTGAACTCCAAACAGGCTGGGCAGATCTAATCCAATTCATAGAAGCAACTGCAGTAGAAGTCTGGACAAGAGGGAAGGAGGACAATAACGAAAAAAAGAAGAAGAGTGGTGCGTGGTGCAAGATGAACGTAATTCAGGCGGTTCAAGATTATGTGAGCAAAATGGTAGAGAGCGTGCCGGGCATGAAGGTGCTCATCATGGACAAAGAAACGGTACCCCTCCCTGCACACTACACCTATGCCGATTTTGTGTGCCTAAAAGCTGTTGATTGGGGCGCACCTCTGGCCTTCTAGACTGGCATCGTCAGTTTGGTGTACTCGCAGTCACAGATTCTACAAAAGGAGGTCTACCTCTTTGAGCGCATAGATGCCGAGGGACGCGAGCTCATGGCCCACCTCAAGGTCTGTGCCCTCCTCCCCTCACCAGTCGACCCCCAGTCACCAGACAGCTCACTCGTTGTCCTTTCATCTTTCTCCTTATCGACGTATGGTGCAGGCCATCTGCTTCCTGCGCCCGACGGCAGAGAACGTCCAGGCCCTGTGCCGTGAGCTCAGGAAGCCCAAATACGGCGAATACCACCTCTGTACTTCTCCACCTCTGTTAGCCTCTCGTTGTGTGTGCGTGTCGTGTCGTGTCGTGTCGTGTGTGATCATTGTGCGCACACATCATCGTCACGCATTATGTGAGTGACTGACTTCTTGCGTCCCGCTCGTTCTGCTCAACAGTCTTCTCGAACATTATGCCGAGCCACTTCCTCGAGGAGCTGGCCGAAGCGGACGAGCACGAAGTCGTCCAGCAAGTGCAGGTACAGGCAGTGGGCACACCGACACTGTGGGACTCACCCGCTCGTATTGGACGCGTCTCTAACTCGCGTGGTGCCTGTTGGATCGCAGGAGTTCTACGCCGATTTTTACGCACTCAACCCTGGCCTGTTTTCGCTCAACATCGAGACCTTCATTGGTAGAGTGTCACCTCTGTATCCCCGCACACGCACACGCACACGCACACGCGCTGACCCCTATCTTTGCACTTGGCGCCGGTGCCTACAGGTCTTGAGACACCGCAGCTCAGAGAGGTCATCGAGAGAACGAGCGACGGGTGCGCATCCACCACACGGTCTTCCGTCTTGATTTTTTGCTGAACGTTCACTCGCCCTATGACACATACTTACGGCGACCCCACCTTAGACTCGCGTCGGTGCTGCTGGCGTTCAAGCGGAAGCCGGTCATCCGGTGCGCACGCAACTCGGAGATCGGTCAACGCGTGGCCCAGGATATCACAGTACGGTCAGCCCGGGTTAATGATTATAATTGATTATTAGTATTTTATTATTCTTTCTTTGTTTTACTGTCACATGGTTATAGTATGAAATTTTTATGCAGCTTGATGATTGGAAGAGGTTTATCTGATGACGCCCTGGTTGGCGAGTGCAGAAGCGCATGACCCAGGAGAAGAGCCTGTTCGACTTCAGGCGCACGGAAACGGCGCCCCTCCTGATTATCCTCGATCGGTACCTTTACGGTTGTGCCGTGTGCCGTGTGCCGTGTGCCGTGTGCCGTGTGCCGTGTGCCGTGTGCCGTGTGCCGTGTGCCGTGTGCCGTGTGCCGTGTGCCGTGTGCGACTATCGGGCTGGAAAGAGCGTCGGATACTCACACGCGTCGCGCTCCTGCGCAGTCGTAACGATCCCGTGTCGCCGCTGCTTCACCAGTGGACCTACCAAGCGATGGTCCACGAGCTGCTGGGCATCCAAAACAACAGAGTCGACCTCTCGCGCGCGCCCGGTGTGCGCAAAGAGCTCAAGGTACCTCGCATTCCCCCTTCCGCCGATCATCATTTCCCTATTTATTTATTTATCTTTATCTTTATCTTTATAATTAATTCATTTGGATTGTTCTTGGTGAGTGCAGGAAGTGGTTCTTACCACCGAGCAAGACCCGTTCTACAAGAGCAACATCTACAGCAACTTCGGCGAACTCGGCGTCAACATCAAGCACGTACGTGGTTCACACACTTTGTCTGTTTTCTTCTGAATTGAACCCACGTTGTGACTCCTCTCATTCTGTGCTCAGCTCGTTGATGAGTTCCAGACCAAGACCAAGTCGAACCAGAACATTCAGAGCATCGGTACGTACACGTCATCTTGACATATATTACTCACATATGTCTATACTTTATTTATTTCTTTATATATGAACTACGCACCTCACACTCCAAGCTTGGTCGCCCGATACACGCACACAGCCGACATGAAGCGCTTCGTGGAGGAGTACCCCGAGTTCCGGAAGCTGTCGGGCAACGTGTCCAAGCACGTGGCCGTCATGTCGGAGCTCTCGCGCCTGGTGGACCACCGGAACCTCCTCAACGTCTCCGAGACCGAACAGGAGCTCGCCTGCCGGCAGGACCACTCCGGCGCTGTCAAGGTGAGCACCTGCCCATCCACAGGTCTATGCACCTCGGATCGTGTGGCGGCGCTGACCACACACACACACATACACACACATATATATACACACACACAACGCCTCTGCTTCTTCACGTGCAGCGAGTCAAAGCGATGCTGGAGCAGACCCAGCCCGAGTTGGACCCGCACGACATCCTCAAGGCCGTGCTCCTCTACACGCTACGGTAGCTCTTTCTTCTTCTTCTTCTTCGTGCGTGTTCAACATTTTTTAATTACTATTATTCATTTTGTGCGCCATACACGGTGTAGGTACGAGAACACGTCGGGCAACAAGGTCGACGACTACATCGAGAAGATGTTTTCCATCGGTTTCGATCAGGAGCACATTGGCGTACGTGCTCCTTTCCAGCGACGGTTAAATGCGCGCAGCAATTTGCTCACCTGCGGCGGAACGGCAACACACGACACACACACAACACACACACACACAGTTGATCTCGGCCATCCGCATGTACGCCGGGGCGTCGGTCCGCCTGGGGGATCTCTTCGAGAACAAGTCCTTCATCAAGATGGCCCGCTCCACCATCACCCGAGGTCTCAAGGTGCCTTGTGGCCCTCACTCACCACTCTGTGACACCCATCGCTCTTTACTAAACACAACGACACACAACGACACACAACGGCACACAACGACACACAACACAACAGGGCGTGGATAACATCTACACGGAGCACTCGCCCATGATCCGTAACATTCTGCAGCAGGTGAGATTTTACGCATTTTTGTCTTATGAATGGTTCTTAAGGTGGCGTGCCACGTCTGACGCTTTTCCGCCGGGCCTTGGTGCACCAGGTTCTCGAGGGGAGTCTGCCCGAAGACGACTACCCCTTCGTCAGCGGCGCGCCCAGCAGGGAGAGGCCGCAGGAGATCTTCGTCTTCGTGATGGGCGGCGCCACCTACGAGGAGGCCCTCGCCGTCCACCAGCTCGCGGGCGAAACCAACGCCCGGATCCTCCTGGGCGCCTCCACCATCCACAACTCGGGCAGCTTCATCGACGAGCTGCTTAGGGTACGCCGCGCCGCCACCGGCAGCACCGGGAGCTCACGCAGGCGCGCCGGCTCTGGCGCCTAACTGGCGAGCCCTCGATGGTCTGCACAACACACCGCAAACAGCACTGGCCTGGCCCAGCGCGTTTTGCGCTGTCATGTCTTCGCGAAGGCCCAGAAAGAAGAAACGCTTTGCGGGGGAATCAGGGCTTGACCTGTTGTTGTAGTTGTGCGAATTATGTACACCAGAGGGGGGGGGCTGCTGCATCGTAGACACGAGTCCCTCAACGTCTGTCTCACACGATGGAGGAGTCCTTGTTGGTTGGGTCGTAATCGTGCTGACGGTTCGTCTCCATCTCGAACTTGGGCTTCACCAGCACCATCTTCCCCGCGGCGTGATCCGCAAACGCCTTCTCGATCTCGTCGTACGTGTTCATCACGAACGGACCATACCTGCACACCGTAAGCAAGAAAGGAGACTGAGCAAGCTGTGCGTGTGCGTGGTGTGTTGTGCGTGCGTGCGTGTGTGGTGTGTGTGGTGTGTGTGCGTGGTGTGTGTGTGTGTGTGTTAACATGGCGAACCTCGCGATCGGTTCGTTGATGGGTTGGCCCGCAAGCAGAAGAAACTTGAGGTTGGATTCCGTATTGGCCACGGCTGTGAACGAGGCGGCGCCCGTCGTGTCCAAAATGAGCGCCTGGCCGGACTTGCCCGGCTGGTGCGACTTGCCGAACCGGCCCTCCCCTCGGTACACAAACACGAACGCGTTCATCTCCCTGTGTCCATCGCCAATCAAAAGATGATGTTCATCGTCAACGTCGGCCAAGCGGTGCCAGAGGCGTGCGTGCGTGCGTGCGTGCGTGCGTGCGTGCGTGCGTGCGTGCGTGCGTGCGTGCGTGCGTGCGTGCGTGAAGGACAACGTACGGTGGAATGTTGTGTTTGAACTCGGCGCCCGACTCCATGTGTACATCGAGGAGCTGGATGGGGACCTTGGTGTTGACGACGGCCTTCTGGCCAAACGCCTCGCCGGCGATGACTCGCACGATGAACTTGTTCATGATGATCACGGGGATCTTCTCCTTGGGCACGTCCTGGTAGGCCGGATCGGCCAGCTTGAATCTCTGCGGCAGATTCACCCAAATCTACAACACACACGCACACCACACACGCACACGCACACACACACAACGCACGCGTTAGCCATCAGCAAAGTGCGCTGAGAGTCGAACAGGAGGGCAGAACAACACGACGTGGTGAAGAAAAGTGTGAAACGCACTTGAAAGCTTTCGATGGTGCCGCCCAGTCTCTTCATGTTGGGCGAGGGTCCTTCGTCGTGCACTACTCCGCTGCCGGCGGTGAGCCGCTGCACATCGCCCGCACGCAGAAGGCCCTTGTTGCCCATGGAATCGCGATGCTCGAGCTCGCCCTGGAGCATCACAGTCACGGCCTCGAACCTGTTGTAGTGAAGGCCGCGAATCAGCGAACGTTCGTTCCCTGGAAGATGAAAACCTCGAGAGCACAGATGCACGTGCCCTCGATGCGGATGCAAGGGAGCGCCGACAGCCTCGTCTGGCTTGAACGTGACCGGGCACATGTGATCGAACATAATGAAAGGATCGACTTGGGCCAAGCGATTTGTAGGGAAGGGTCTGTGGAGGCGAGAGAAATGATGAATGTTTCTTTTTAACAAAAATGTCAAAAATCATAAGGGGCCAACGTTATACCTCTCGACCGTGTAGGGTCCCTCCTGACTGACAAGAGACTGCACGATGTCCTTAACATCGCGCTCCACCTGCATAAATGGCAAGATGGAAAGGAGAATTTGTGTTGGAGTTGATTGTGATTCAACATGGCGCCATGAGGTAGGTGCGATCCGCCACGTACCGGCATAGTCCTCGTCTGCGGTCCAACTGTGAATTGCGGGGAAGGCGGGCATCGAATTGGGTCCGATACAGGCGAGGCGCAAAATCGGCACGCGGATGAAGCTTGTTCCATATATCTTCTCAATCGGTAGTTCACTATCTTTCTGCACACACGGCACCACCTCGCGAGGACTGCGCGATCGTGAACGATGGTGGTGAGATGATGATGGTCAATGGGCAGCTGGACGGCCGCCAAAAAACAAAACAAAACTCTGGGCTGCTCGGAGTAAAAGAGGGAAATTTATGGACCATTTCCGCTCTTTTCCCGCTTCCTTCCTCCACCCGCACGTTCGGCAACATTGTATTGCATATGCTCTAGTGGAACTGTGTGTAAGGGTCGCGCCCCAACGTTAAGACATATGTAGACAGCTACTATGTTGCTCAGAGTTGAATGATGTATGTTGCAAATCGGTTGATGTCCGTCACTGTGACGGCTGTGCAGGTGGTCGCAAGGTATGCTGGGTGTTGTGGATGACTTTGGCGGTGCAGGAGTCGAACTTGTGGTTCTCCCAGGGCACATATACGTACTTCTGCGTCAGGGCACACAGCGTCTTGTAGGTCGGACAGCACTCGCCCTTCTTGAGCGGCTGCCCCGCAACACACACGCACGACACACCACACACACGACACACGACACACACCACACACGACACACCACACACTCTCTAATGATCAACAGCCTGGCCTCCTCCATCGTCATTGGCAGTGTGGAAGTGGGCAGTACCTTGGGGTAGCGAATCCAGAGGTCGTCCGACTTGTGCCAGAAGTCGACGTGCTGGGGATGCCGCGTCCACACCCACGACCCGTAGGAGTCATACTCAGAGAACGAGTTCCGCATGATCATGCCCGGCCTCGCCTTGGCCTCCCTCACGATCGTATCTGTCACAGGTATCATCATCATCATCATCAGCGTCATCAAGCCACATACGGTGGCGGGAGCGGTACCGATGATGACCTGCGCCCACTCGCTGTGGTCCCTGCCGGCCTTGGCGGCGATGTGGTGCAGGAGCTCTTCGACGTAGGGTCGGTACCACACCTGCCAGCCGAAGATCCAGCTACCGCCCGGGGGGTCGATCAGCTTCAGGCCGGTGAGCACCTCGTACATGCCGTGGTAGTTCTCTCGGGCCTTGGCGTTGTGCGCGGCCATGTGGCCCGCGAAGAAGGTGCCCCTAGGCTGCGAGACACGACACACACGACACACACGACACACACGACACACCCTGGTGAGTCGTTGCTTCGAGTGCGCGGTGAGCGTGGGTGGTACCTGGTCGAGGGAGGAGATGTAGCTGAAGAGGGGGATGGGCCTGAGCGGCAGGAGGTCCGAGTCCCACACCAGGAAGAGAGGCGAGAGATCAGCGAGGTGGAGGGCGGCCCCGAACTTGACGAGCTGCTGGAATATCCAGCCCCTCACCTCCGCCGGCAGCCGCTCCAAACTCTTCAGCGTGATCCCTGTGGCGCAGCACCACACGAAGCCGTCAATTACGATCACGCACACACGCATCGCACGCACCGCACACACAGCAGCACACGCCCAACGCACACACACATGAGAGTACCTGGGATGACGTCGTCGCGTGCGATACAGTGAACGCGGTTCGTGGCGCCGATGCCGTCAGCGAGGGCGACGAGCGAAGGGCAGTGGGTGGCATCGTTGATCATGAAGATTAATCTTCGAAAATTCCAGAATCGAACCACGTTCTCGATGACGATGCGCGTGATGCAGTTGGGCTGGTCGATGGGCAACACGACGTCGTGGCGCGAGTAGTTGAACGATGTCCACTCCTTCCCGCACCACTCGACCCGTGCGCGTTCATCTGATTCTGAAGATTGTGTAGCTTCGAGATGGTGCAATGGTGCCGTACTGTCTGCATAGCTTTTGGAAGTGCATCGACGAGATCGATCGATTATGTAAGCCTCTTGCCATCTTCTGCCGCGATTGACCACCACGTACCTGAATGAGCTTGCTCGGTCGGTTGTCAAATACGCAAACTGCAGCACAACCAACGTGCCAACCACGATCGTGGCCGCCACCACGACGAACCACCTTATCGACATCTTGTCCTCCCATCTCATCTTCTGCTTCATCAAGTTGGGGAGAGTGGGTACACGCAAGCTAACAGCTCTTAATTAATATGACTTCACTTGTTGTCTCTGTGGCTCGGCCACAAACGACACGCGCGATGATCACCATCAACTCTTCCTGTTGAGGAGCTGCTCCACGACGTCGACCATGGACCCCCGATGCGCGAGGATGAGGTCGATGTTCCGTCGCGGGTCTTCGAATCCCATCTGCTTCAGCTGTGCCAGCACCGGCTCCCATTCTCGGTACAACTGCTGGTATTGCTGCACACCCGACCAACAGCACAAGTTTAGCTGCGAGCGCACACGCACACCGCACACGCACGCACTCATCGCATGCACGCACACGCACACGCACACGGCGAAGAGAGGGAAGGCACCTCTTCAGTAAATGTTACTCCCGGTGGCGGAAGAGCAGGCGGGGCGGCTCGGGCGCGTGATGCGGGCGAAGCTGGGGCAGCGGCGGCCATGGCGACGAGAGGCGAGGGGGAGAAGGAGGAGGGCGACATTTGCGAGAGATCGGTCGATGACGAAGTGGTGGGCGGCGACGCGGCAATGGGCACGGGATTGGAGACCGATCTGTGTCGCGGCGATGGGTCCCGCCGTCCGTTGCCGCTCCCGCCCAGGCCACCACCCACTGCGATGTTACCGCCACTGCCAGAGCCCTCCGAGTCTACCCACGAAAAGTCTACCCAGGCCACGACCCATTAATCAGAGCCTCCATGGTAATACACGCACACATGACACACGCACCACACCACGCACGACACACAACGCGACAAATAAGGCATGAGGCCGTAAATGGATAGTATATATACGCGATATAGAGAGGAAGCCACACGACGATGCGCATCGCCACGTTGAGACAAACGAGTTTGTGTGTACTACATACCGGCTTCGTGAATGCTGGAGCTCGATCGCTTTCGTCGGTCTTGTTGCTGCTGCGGCGGCGGTGCATAGCTTTGTGGCGGCGAAGAAGACATGCGCCCGTCCTGCCGTCCATCCACAGCGAGACACCCAGGCAATTAAGAAAAACGAAAAAACGAAAAACGAACCAAAAGAACGAAAGCGACGGAAAGAACGAAAGCGAAGAGCGAAGGAGTGAAAAGGAACCTTGTCGGAGGTGGGCGGCGATGGACCTGGTGAAGTGGTAGGAATGCCCACCTTGAAGATGGAGGGCAGCATGTTCCTCATTGCCGAGATGCCCGATGGCGTCGTGCTTTCCTTTTTCTTTTCGGTTGAAGTCGGCGCTGCGTGGTACCGATCGAAGAACACAACTGTTAGCGTAAAAATGCCTCCGCGGCGGCGTGAGGGGAGGGGCGTACGCGTACCCGTGGGCGTGAGTGGTTCGGCCAGACCCGAGGAGGGCGCCGGCGAGTACGGGATCGGCAGGGATGTCGGGGTAGGAGGAGGGGAGTAGGGTGACTGTGCAGGTGGTGGGTGGGAGTAGATAGGGTAGGTGTTGGGGGCCTGGAGAGGGCTCTGCTGCTGCCGTGCGTAGAGGGCCGCTTGCTGCTGCTGCTGTTGCTGCTGCTGCTGCACGAGTGTGGTCGTCTGCTGCTGAAGCACGGCGGAAACGGCGGGCAAGAGAAGGCTCTCCATTTGCGGAGCTAGAGCCTGCACCATCTGTTGAATGAGGTCCGTGAAGGCGGGGTTCTGTGTCGTCACCACCTGCGACACCTGTTCACACAGCCCAACAGCACCAGTGTGTACGTCCCCGTGTGTGTGTGTGTGTGTGTGTGTGTGTGTGTGTGTGTGTGTGTGTGTGTGTGTGTGGCAAGTTACACAATGCTGACTGTAGAGTGCAGTGGGATGTGTGTCGTGGTGTACCATCTTGGAGATCTGCACGGCGAACTCGGGCTGGGCGAGACTCTGCAGGACGAGGTTGTTGCGGTGCTGCAGCGTGTGGTGCGGGATGGCGTGCACACCCACCGACGTTGCGGGGCGCTTGGTGCTACCACCTGCGTCCGTTTCCACTTTGCCGTCATCGCCATCACCCTCTGCATGTGACGAGTGCGAGCTCAGTTGGCCAACGCCATCAAGAAGAAGAAGAAAACGAAGAAGGTGGATGTGGAGGCGAGGTGTTCAGGTACGTTGTATGTACAAGCGCAGTAGGTCGGCATTGCTGGCGCTGTAGGCTATGGCCTCCCTCAGGTCGGAGTCGGTCGAGATCGACACAAGGTCGTCTTCGTCGTCCTTGTACCGACTACAGGGAGGAGCTTAGTATTAACATCTCTTGGCGGCCGTGCCCGAGCATCGCGTGGCAATTAAGAGGAGGGCGAGCTTACATCCAGAATTGTGTGGGGGCAGGAGGGGTGATGGGTTCTCCCGAGCCCGAGACGGCAAAGAGCTTCATCAGCATGGCACGTAAATCGGCAAAGGGGATGTCATCTTCCACCGTGACGCGACGTGCATCGTTGCCCAGGTAGGCTTTGATCAAAACCATCTCCCAATCTTCCTTTGCGTGCACCACGAAATGGCACAAAATGCACCCTGCACAAATCGATGCTAGGATGAGCCTGATAAGTGCTGAGGATTCTCAATCGCGCCCTTGCAATCGTGGTGGCTTCGCTGGCAAGCAGTTCACACGAACAAACATTAAAAAAAGCTTCCGCCAGGAACAGAAATCGAAAAGAAAACGCAATGGTGCTGTATCACTACCACAAGGTGGTACGGTCGGCTTCTACTGTTGGTCCTTCAGCTTCACACAGAGATACCCAGAGTGGTTGGTGGCAGGCCCATACGTGTCCAGCCACTCCAGGGTCGCCATATCGGTTCCCTCCTTCCCCGGCTGGACGACTTCGCTCCCGCTGCTGCTGTTGCGGCACTCGGGCGCCGACACGCAGCAGAGCAGAGCCCGATAGCGCGCGTCGACCACTGGGTCGTAGCCATCTCCACCCTTGCGGCAGTCTGGCCCGCTGTGGATGACTGAGCAGCCCCCGATGCACTGCCACCGGTAGGAGCAGAACACGCGTTCGAAGAACCCCTCCTGGAGGAAGGGCAGTGGTGGGTGGGAAGGTGGGTGGTGGGGGTTGGTCGGCCGGCCCAGGCAGGCGTAGTCGGCCACGGTGAAGCCGCAGGCGACGCAGGTCATCGCCGGGGTCTTGCACTTGACGGGCTCCTCCAACCACCACTCCGGCGTGTCCTCGGGGAGCACGACCGGGGTCGTGGCCAGCTGCGCCAGGGCGTCCCGCAGCACGCTCGGGGCTGGCGAGTAGGTCATCACCTCGTAGCGCGGGGCATTGGCCAACCTCTTCTTCTCCTCCTCCTCCTCCTCGTTGCCGTTGCCACCGTCATCGTCGTCGTCGTCGTCGTCGTCGTCGTCGTCGTCGTCATCGTCATCGTCGTACACCTTGCACGAGCACGTGGGCGCCACGAGGGACCCACAGCCGGCTGGGCAGAGGAGGCGTCCCTGCGTCAAACTCCACATCAGATGGCGCCCACAGCCGGTCGGCACCGGGACCGGTGGCGGCTCCTCTTTATCATCTTCTTCTTCTACCTCTTCCCTGTGGCCGCCGCCAGCGCAGAGCTCCCACCCGCGAACCAGGCCGGGAGGCCGGCGCCCCTGGCACCTGAACCCACCGACCCGCCACTGGCACGTGGGGCAGGTGAAGACGGGCAGGGCCTCGTCCACGTGGAAGAGCAGCCCCTTGAAGTTGGTCGCCGGTGGCGGCAGCGGCGCGGCCGGGTCGTAGAGCGTGGGCTCGAGGTGCGGATGGCGGGCCACCAGCTTCATTCGGGCGGCCTGTTCAATGGGCGAGGGGGTGGACCGCGTGGTGGTGGCGGCGGTGGTGGTCCAGAACGACGAGCAGGCGAGCTCGAGGGCCACCAGGTCGCGCGCCTTGATGGCCGGCGAGCAGCAGATGAGGATGAGAAGCTCAACGGGCAGCTTGAGCAGCAGGGAGTCATGGTTTAGCTCCGACGAGTGCCGCGGCGGCGCAGAGGGGTCCCGCACTGCACTGTCCGTGGCACTCATGGTTCGCGGGTGCAGTTCGAGAAGAAAAGAAAAATAACAATAACAATTAATAATTGTTGCTCTTTATTATTATTGCTTCAGCGCACGCCCTTCTTTGAATGTAAGATCTGATCGTGGTGAAGCTGGTGAAGTGTTGTATGTACGGATATGTGCATAGAGGGAGTACAAGAGGAGTTAAGGGGGGTTACACGATGGACGAGTCCTGGCTGTTGGGGTCAAAGTCGTCAGCTCGGTTGGTGGCGATCTCGAACTTGGGCTTGACGCGCATGAGCCGGTCCTTGCCATAGTCGGAGAAGGCCTCGGCGATCTCGGCCTGCGTGTTCATCACGAACGGCCCGTGCCGGGCGATAGGCTCGTTGAGCGGCACACCGGCGAGCACCAGGAACTTGAGGTCGGCCGTCGCGGTCGCGACCAGCGTGGTGCCTCCCTGCTTGTCCAGCAGCACGGCGTTGCCGGACACGGCGGGCTTCTGCGACTTGCCGAACTTGCCCTCGCCTCGGTAGAGGAACACCATCGCGTTCATGTCCCTGTGATGATCGCGCGCGCGGATTGGCGATGAATGTCAGAGCAATGCCACAACTGATGCAGGAGAGGTCGAGAGCGCGGGGAGACGACGTACGAGGGAATCTCGTGGCGGAACTCGCCGCCGGCCAGTAGGTGCACGTCCAGAAACTGGATGGGCACGTGCGTGTTGACGATGGCCTTGGTGCCGTAGGCCTCGCCGGCGATGACTCGCACGGTGAGGCTGTCCTGGGTGATGGTGGGGATCTTCTCCTTGGGCACGTCCTGGTAGGCCGGGTCGATCCACTTGTCCTTCGCAGGCAGGTTCACCCAAATCTGTTAGGTCCACACACACACACCAAACGGGCGTTGGTGAGCCAACAGTCGCTCGTTGTGGAGAAGTGGTAAGTGGTGTTACCTGAAAGCCTTCCAAGACGCCGCCGGTCCGTTGGAAAGTGGGCGAGGGCGACTCGTCGTGAATGATGCCGCTGCCGGCGGTCATCCACTGAACGTCACCCGCACGCAGGAGGCCCTTGTTGCCGGTCGAGTCCTTGTGCTGAAACTCGCCCTGCAGCATCATCGACACCGTCTCGAATCTGTCTCAGCGCAAAGTGCAGAAACTTGGTCAGCACAAGAGCAAAGCAGAGAGCAAAGCAGAGAGAAGAGAGAGCGTGGGCGTGAGCTTACCCTCTGTGCGGATGCCAGGGAGCGCCCACGGCCTCGCCGGGAGCGTAGTTGATAGGCCCAAAGTGGTCGATCATCAGGAAAGGGTCGAACTGGCTCATAGCGCGAGTAGGGAACGGCCTGAAGATCGAGTAGCGGGAGACGTAAGAAGAGAACAAGCAAAAGACAATAATGACAAGAAGAGAAGCTGGAGGCACCTTTCGACGGGGAAGCCCGCGCCTTCAAAGGTCTTGATTGATTCGACGATTTTGCTGACATCGCGTTCGGTGGTGGTGTTGGAGGCCTGAACAAATGCAAACGACGCCGGCACGAATTCGTCGGTGGCGAAAGATGAGACGCTGGAAAGTGCAAGACAAACAAGAAGGAGCAGCTGAAGTGATAGAGCGAGGGAGAGGAGGCGGTAGTGCACCATTGTGGTTGTGGTTGAGTGAAGCGATCTTGTGCGCAGCGGGGACGTGTGGAAGTGGAGGCTGGTGCGGACGAGTCTACGCCAAGCTTTGGTCGCCAGTGTGTTGGGGTGGTCGGTTAGTAAGCGTTGAGCTCAAGTGCTGTTGAGTGCAAGCTGAATTGGAGTGCTCGCGTCCATTTTGTGGCTGCTCTCGCCCTTCTTGAAGCTCTCGGGCAACCGCACGGCATCTTCCCGGCCGATCCCGCCAATCCTGGTTTTCGATCATTTCTCTCAAATTTATATTTCTTTTCTTGTACCGCATTCATTTCTTCTGAGAAGAACGAAAATCGAACTTTACATCATCTTTGCAGATCTCATCTCATCTTTGGTCTGCTGTCTGATCAAAGTGAAGAACAAGCAGAGTGAGATGCGGAAAGCAGCGGTTCCTACTATCCGTCGCGCGACGGTGCATGCGAAGGAGGAAGGCCGATTCTACACTGTTGCGGGTCACTCTGAGCTGTTCCCTTCCGTGACGACGATACTCGGCGTCATCAACAAGCCCCAGCTGCACCTATGGACCAAGTCGCGCATCCTCAGCTTCGTCCGCAAGCGACTCAATTTCCTTCGCGAGGAGAGCACCACCACGGGCAGAATCTCGATTACGGAGGAATGGGTGGAGGAGACCATCAAGGAGGCTGAGGAGCAGCCCAACGTCGAGGCCGACGTGGCCGCCCAGTTCGGCACCGCATCGCACAACATCATCGAGAACGTGATTAAAGGGCAGGAGCAGGAGGTGGCCCCCAAGTACGCGGTCGTGGTGGAGAACTACAACAACTGGCTCGCGCAATCGGGCCTTGAGATCAAGGAGACGGAGAAGTTCATCTGGAGTGAGACGTATGCCCTCACTATCGCACGCGCACGCGCACACAACACGACACGCACAAAACACGGCACGACACGACACGCGCATACCACCGCTCATGCACACTCCGTGCAGACACAGATACGCCGGATCGTTGGACGCTTGGGGCCTGTACACGGGGCAGGACGGCCGCCAGCGGGTGGTCGTGGTCGACTGGAAGGTGCGCACACGCTTGTCGTGTGTGTGAGTGTGTGTGCGTGTGTGTGTGCAGTGTGTCGTGTGTCGTGTGTCGTGTGTCGGTGGCGCCAGCGTGTGTGATTGCGGCTTTACATCCTACTCGAGTTGTTGATTGATGACCCGGATACGGCGTGGTTGGTTCCTCCAGACAACGAACTACCTCCAGCCACAGTACGCGCTGCAGGTGGCCGCCTACGCCAAGGCTCTGGGAGAGATGACCGGCACCCCAGTCGAGGAGGTACGTAGGGCGGAGCTCCTTGCTTGAGCTTCACACCCACTGGGTCAATCGCCAATCGTGCTGGTGCCATGTGCACAGGGTTGGATCGTGCGATTAGACAAGACGAAGCCCACGTGGCAGGCGAAGAAGGTGGCCGACCTGGACCAAACGTTCGAGGCCTTCCTCGGCGCGCTGCGACTGTGGCGCAGCCTCAAGACCGACCCCTACGCCAAGCTCACCTCTTCTCACTGACCCCTTCTTATTTAAATTACATGTATTCTGTCGCAAGAATGTTAAGCAGCCAAAGAGACCGGCGATTTCGCGGTAGTTTCGTTCGCTTTTCAACGGAAGTTGGAGAACACAACTAAAACGCACTGGCCGAGGGGGTGGGCCCACACCGCCAAACAAAGAGACAACAAAAGCAAAGAAGAAGGAAGCTGAAGATGGTGAGGTTGATGGTGTGCCTGGACTCGTCGGAGGACGCTCACAAGGTGTTCGAACACTGCCTGACGGTGGTCGGGCGGCGCGAGAAGGAGAAGGAGCATGAAGTGGTGCTGGTGGGCGTGGCCGAGGTCTACCACCGCAGCAACATTCTCAACGTGCTTCGGGTCGACTTCGACTGCCAGATACTCGACAAAGCCAACAAGTCCATCATCAAAGGCACCACAGGTGCGTGCCGTGTTCGTGTCGCGTCGTGTCGTGTCGTGTCGTGTCGTGTGCGGTTTCTTGTGAAGAAACTGAGAGGTGGCGGGTGCAGAGATGCTGGAGGACTTCAAGAAGGAGCTGGAGAGGCGAGGGGTGAAGGCCAGCGTGCTGGTGGAGGCGGGCGACCCGCGCGACACCTTGTGCGACGTGGCCGAGCGCGTGCGGCCCGATCTGCTGGTGATGGGCCACCGCCGCACCACGCTCGGTCTCGGCAGCGTCGCCCTCCACTGCATCGAACACGCTCCCTCGCCCGTCTTCATTGTACGCGTCTGATCGAGAAAACTATTTACATCAACAACCTACAAAAAGGCCTGTGTCTCGTGGTGTTGTGTGCTGTGTGCTGTGTGTGCTGTGTGCGATGTGCTGCCTGCGGTGTCAGGCCATGGTCTGGCGTTCGTGGAGCTCCATCTCTGCCAGCTGGAGGAGGAGCTCGCTGGATTGGCTGAGGGGCAGGTAGGCCGTCATCGCCCGCCGCCCGCCGGCGCCCGTCGGGAAGGCCGGCAGCGGTTTCCGCACGCCACCGCCCACGAACAGATTCGAGTCTGCCACCGCCGCCGCTGGCGCTGGCTCCTGGTGTTCGGCCTCGACCGTCGTCGCGCGCTCGTCGCCCACCGCGTAGTAGTCCTCGCCACTGCACCCGCTTTCGTCGTACAGGTCCTGTTCCTCGCAGCCATCGTCGTCGTCAGCTTGTTCGTTAAGGTGGCGCTGGTGGTCGCCATCAGAGGCGAGCTCGTGGCGCGTGACGGCCGAGACGGAGCGGGGCAGGGACGGCGGCTTCTTGGCCGGCGGGCGAGGCGAGATCCATAGTTGGGCGCTGCTGGTGGTGGTGAGGGATGGCGTAGCCCTGCTGGCGCAGCAGCGCCGTCGCGGCCCGGCGCTTGTCGCTCCGCCTCTGCTCCTTCTCCTCGCGCGTCGTCTCCTGCCTCTTCTCTATCGAGTCCACCCTGCCCTCAATCTGCCAACAGCACCACCGCAACCAACCACACCACCACACGTGAGACACGACACGACCAACGACCAACGACACGAGGGGATGGATACCTGGTAGAGCTTGACGAGGACGTCTTCAAGCATGGTGCCAAGGGAGGTGGAGGGGCCGGTCGAAGAGGACTCGGTGGTGGTGGCGAGGGCCACCTCGGCGACGCGCTCCTCGAGGAGGCCCACCCGCTTCTCCAGCCGCTCGAGCACGGCCAACACTGCCCGCCCCAGGGAGCTCTCGCCACCACCCGCTACTTCCTCCACCAATCCATCTTCCTCGCTGCGCAAATGTGCCATTGTCGTTTGGTTGTTGTGGTTTGTTGTCTCCGTCCCTCCTCCTTCTTCTTGTCGTCTTCAGGAGGTCGCCTGTGCTGTAGCTTGGCCACCAACTTGTGGGTTGTTTGCTTCTGTTGGCCTTGTCGCCCGAACAAGAGCTACACGAAGAGACAAAATGAAGTGGCAGCATGGAATTTGAACAACGAACATACCAAACATTTCTTCTGGAACGGTGCCTCAGAATGTGAAGCGCGTCGTGTTGCGCGTGCGGTGCTCAGTGGGAAGAGTTGAGGAAGGCGATGAGCTTGTAGAGGAGCGCCCGAGGAATGAAAGGGAGGACGTAGAGCGGCGCCGAGTTGGCCACACCCGTAATGTACACCTGATGTGTGTGTCAGCGTGCGCACGTATCAGAATGCATCATCGATGGACGGGCGCCTGTGTGGGTGCACGTACCGGCTCGCCGAGCATCCACGCACGGTAGGACGTACGGGCAACCTCCTCAGCGGTCATCACGTTGCCGCTCTTGAAGATCAACGAGTTCTTGTTGCCGGCCACCTCGGCAAAGCTGGACGCGTTCGACAGAGCAACGGCGGGTGAGCGAGCGGGCGAGGGACGTTCGTGCTCGGGCCACAGCAAAGAGCGAGAGCTCACGCGCGAAAGCGAAAGCGAAGGCCTACGTACTTGGTCGCGGTGGCGCCGGGGCAGATGACGGTGGCGGTGATCTCGGTGCCGCTCAGCTCCTGCGCCAGAGCTTCAGTGAAGCTGGTCACGTAGGCCTTGGTGGCGAAGTAGACCGCCATACCGGGACCTGCGGGTCATGACGGGGCGAACACAGAGCGTCAGTGGTTGCGCGGACATGCGACGCATCATCAGTGCGGCGGCCTACCAGGGACGAAGCCGGCGCCGGAGGAGATGTTCATGACGCGTCCACGAGGCTTTCCCTCTTGGAGCAGTCGACGGACAACGAGGTGGGTGAGCTCGGTGAGGGCCACGATGTTGAGCTGCACCATCTCCATGTTCTTCTCGAACGAGATCAGGGTGAAGTCGCCGACGGCACCGAATCCGGCGTTGTTGACCAGCAACTCGGTCTGCACACACACCACACATGATCTCTTCAGCCCGCGCGTGTCGTGTCGTCTCGTGTGGTCGTGTGCCACTTACCAGGAGGTTGCTCCTCTGCACTTCATCGAAGACTTCACGCGCCGCTCCCGGCTTCGTCAGGTCTGCGCGTGAGCAGTGCACGCACGTCAGTGAGGTCACTTGGCGCAAGGCTGATGCATAGCGCGAGGGGCTGAGAGAAGGGGCGCTTTTATGCGTTGCACGGTACCCTTGGCGATGACCTTGACGTTGATCCCGTACTGGGCCTCGAGCTCCTTCTTGATCTCATCGAGCTTGTCTGCACTGCGCGCTACGAGCACCAAGTCGTGACCGTCGGCTGCCAGCAGCTTGGCGTACTCGTACCCCAGGCCACCAGATGCTCCCGTGACCTACCAGACCAGCATGAATGATATAGATTGCGGTGCGATCAAGAAGATCGGAAATCGCAAATCGCAAAAATACAACTGAATGGAAGATGGGAGCGTACGAGGGCGCAGCTCTTGGGCCATTCGTGGAGGGGCACGCTGGGCTTGAACTTGGCGACGGGCAGTAGCTTGATGAGCTGATCCAAGACCACCGTGTAGAGCACAGCGAAGGCGAGCGAGAAGAGAGCGAACACGAAACCCACAGGGATGAAGTTGTAGACCAACCACACGTAGGCCGCCACCAAAACGACCTTCGCTGCCGGCAGAGCGTACTGCTGCATCTCTTCCTCCTGCTCTACGCCGAATGTGGAAACAAATCAAACAATATATTTTTACTTGAATTTTTAATATGTTTAGCTGGCCAGTGGAGAAGAGGGCAAAACGAAGTGGAGGCGAGTGTCTTGACGTGAGACGCGTAGCTAGTGTACCGGGTGCTCATCGACACGTGTGCTTTAGTCGAAGGGAGAGTTGGTGAGGAGGCGGTAGACCATGTCCAGGGTGTTGACAGGTTGGTCCTATTGGTCGCGAACACAACAACATGACGGTGGGGGTGATTGTAACAGTGAGCCGCGTCCAGCCTGAAGAAGCTGTAGGAGAGGAGGTCAAAGTGTACCATGGGAGCGAGATGGCCAGCATTGGCAACCTCGAGGAAGGTGAGGCCCTGGGCCGCCTTGGCGTAGCCAGCGACACGACCCTGCACGGTCCAGTTTTTGAAGGGCGACTCGTTGAAGGCCGTCTTGCCGGGCCAGGTCAGGTCGCTCGTCCACATGTCACCGCCGACATAGTTGCAAATGAAGTCTGCGCAAGCAACATACAATCGTATATAAAAATAAAAAATTTGTCAGCAAAGTCACACCAACACATGACGGGGGGACAAGCATACCCAGCATGCCAGAGTAGACCAGCACGCGGATCTTGTTGGCCAGCAGGTTGGGAATGTGAACGTCCAGGTTGCTGATCCAGTCGCCACTGGAATGCAAACGAGAGGGCGTGAGCCATCGCAATGCCTCGAACGAAGTGCATGCAGCTGATGAGAGAGGCGTGCGTACAGAAGGGCGATGTGAGGCGTGGCGGCACAGTCTTCCCACTGAACGTCGGGCCTGGCGCCGATGGCCTGCTTGACCGACGGTTGCTACAGGCGTTGCAGGAATGCGTAGAACAAGATAAAGAGGTCAGTATTGTGTACGTCAACAGTCAACGAGGAGACACGAGAGAAGACAACGCACGTTCAGGAGCTGAGTCACTTGGTCGAAGCTGTAGCACAGCGGCTCAACGGCGCAGGGCACCTTCCAGTTGTAAGGCTGCAAAAATCACAGGTTAGCTGGTGTGCGGCGCAGCTGACCCGGTGACGATGATGACCGAACGTACGTTCACGGCATAGCCCAGGTTGATGCTCATGGCGGCCATGATGCCCGTCATGGTGAGCTGGCACTGCTCAAACGCGAAGCCAAACGCACCTAGCGCAATGCAACGAGGGTGGGTGTGAATACATCAGAGCGCGACACACTTCGGTCCCTGGTGTGTGCATACCTCCGAGCGAAATGAGTTCCTGGCAGATCGAAGCCGAACCCTTGGCAATGACGTACTCAGCCTCGCCGATCAGCTTGTACTTGTACCTACACCACAGATTCGTGTTGTGATGAGAATTTACCACTTGCTCCACGGTGCGCTAAAGGTTGAATGTGTGTTGTGGGGCTGAGACGTACGCAAACTCGGGGTAGGCGGCGTATTGGATGTAGGGGTCGACCCAGCCGTTGCCGATACCGATGCCGTTCAGGTTGATGTGGAAAGGACCGTCGCGGTTCTGGTTGCCCACGAGCGTGCGGTAGGCAAACGCGGGAACTGGGTGGTGCGGAGATGGTATGTTGTGGTGAGTACTTCAGAGAAGCGATGGTTGCAGAAGCGTCTCTATGAGAGAAGTGTGGGCAGTACCGTAGTGGCCGGCATACTAGAGATACACATGGCGCGGGGGAGGAGGTGATTGGTCAGATGGTGAGCAAGTAATGTGGAGCCCTGGGTGATGTTGGTTGGTGAGCAGTGACTCAAGACTACAAAACGTACCGACTCGCCCATGATGTAGAACGGGAGCTTGTTGTACTGCGGGTACATGAGGAAGAAGTTCTGCATGAACACGTAGAGGTCCTGAGCAATGACCTCCTCCGTGGTCTCGTAGTCGAGCGCGCTGTCGGCGTAGGAGAAACCTGTGGAGCGGCGGTCGCCAATTGTTAGACACCGACTCGAGCCTCGTGTCATGGCGTGTAATGGCGACGTTGGACGACGACGACGTACCGGTGCCGACGGGCTGGTCGATGTACAGGAGGTTGGCGAACGAGTTCCAGCTGTAGGGGTTGCGCTTCAGCGAGAGGTTTTGCTCCACGGAGAAGGGACCGTTTTCCTGTGCGCGCGTAGAGATCGGTTCATGGTGAGTACTGACAGGTATCGGCACTCGAGCCACTACATGCGAGCGATGGTGGTTCGATGTGGACGTACGGTGAACAGAGCGAGCAGCGAAGAGCAGCCGGGGCCTGCAAGATGAAATAAAAAAAAGATGGATGTTCGAATCAAGGTCACTAAAACCAACGCGTGGCGAGTGGGCGTACCTCCAGTGAGCCAGACGATCAGCGGATCGGTGGACGGCTTCGAGCGCGACTCAAACATCCAGAAGAACAGGTGGGTGCCGTTCGCGTAGGTGCCGTTAATCGTGATGTAACCTGCATGTTTTCGATGAGCACGTTAAATCGTAATGCATGATGTGAAAGAACGAAATGGAATGCAATCGTCGTACCGCTGTGCTGGGTGACGTTTTCGGGGCCGAATTCGGGGCTGACTACACGGTGGTGCTCAGTGGAGGGCACGACCTTCTCGGCCAAGCACAAGGCCGGCAAAAGCACGACGCATGCGAGCGCGATCAACAACAGCGCTGACCTAGCCATGTGTGTTGTGTTGGGCAGCTCCGTGGAAAGATGACCCCAAGACCTTTGTGTGAGTAATTGGGGCGAAGCTCAAGGTCGCCCCATCATTATGTCGACAGTGCAGCACTGGGCGGGGCGAAAAAAAAAGCAAAATAAAAAAGGCCAAAAAGACAATCGACAAAACGCAACGGCCGGAGAGATGAGCATCAACATTCGGCCGGCCACGAAGGAGGACGCACTTTTTTTGGGATGGGTGGTCGTGCACGCTGCGCAGTCGCATCTAGAGTGGGGCTTCTTCGAGGCGGAACTGTACGTCCTGCATCTTTCAAAGATTGCTCCGGAGGCAAGAGTGCCGCCTGCTCTGTTGTCTCACCCGAGCTCGCTCACTTGCCGCAACCCTTCGTCTTGCGTGACACGGCCTTTATCAGACCCGACATGACGGAGGAGAGGATAGCACTGATGAAGGAGATTATCGAATCTGACGAGCCCTCCTTCATCCGCTGGGACGGGTTCCTCATCGCCGAGGTGGACGGCGTTCCTGCTGCTGGTATGCCTCGACCTCGCCTTTTCTCTTTGTTTATTTGCTTATTCTATTTCTATTTATATTTGTGCATATGCAGGTCTAAGCGGTTATGAGACAAAACTTAAGTCGGGAGAGGTGTACAGCCAGCTGCTCCTGGAGGGTATGAAGCGTCGAGGCTGGACCGAGACCGCCATCGATGAATACCACAAGCGGTACGCGGGGTGCTTGTGTGATCTCGTTGCGCGCACACGCTGACCTTCTTCCTGCGCCTCCCTCTCGCCATCTAAGGAGCTACGGCGTGCTGGCGGTGTGGCCTGATCTGCACGGTAATCGATTCAGCTCTTGGCCCGTTCTTTCGGTTGATCTCAGCAAGGCTCACATTTATTTGCTTTCCGGTCATTGGCCAATCCACCGCAGATGTGGAGAACCACTGGGTGGTCGAGTGGGTGGCCACACGGCCCGAGTACCGGAGACGAGGACTCGTGAACCAGCTTCTCCTACGAGTTCTGGATATTGGTTTGCCTTCGCCCCGCGCGCTCACGACCACATACACGCACGCATGCACACCGCACACGACCACGCACACGCGCATGCACGCTCATGATTCGACCTATGCAGGAAGAGAGAAGGGCTATAAGAAGGCACAGGTCTCATTGATGATAGAGAACGCTCCGGCGCGGAGAGCCTACGAAAAGCTGGGCTTCTCGGAGTATAACACGATCACCTCGCCGCTCCTCTCGAAGCTTCATCTCAAGACCACGGGCATTCTGAACTTGCGTATGAGCCTATGAACATCTATCTTCTTATATTGAATGGTGAATAATAAAAAGCACAGTGCTGGCACCTTCTGTACACGAGTCCTCGCGCGCTAGAAGCCCGATGGCAATGGAGCCTCTGCAGCACATCGCACGACATAACATGTCACACGGATGGTGAGCGAAACGCAAGAAGCACGCGACAGACGGGGAAAGCAAACCGGCTTTCTCTTTGAACTTCTCGAACTCGGATGCTACCATCTCGTCCTCGCGATCGGGGTTGTACTGCTTTCGCAGGGTGCGATACTTGTGCAGCTTCACCAGCGCCTCCAGCTCCTGTAATATGTACTCGCCCTGCACCACCAGCACCCGAGAGAGTGTTGGCTACTGCACAATGCCTTATGGGGGGGGGGGGGTTGAAAGTACACGCCGGAAGGCTTGGTCGATCTTCTCAGGGTCGGTTTCGTCCTTGGTGGCGAAGAAGGCCCGCTTGGCACCCGGCCGCAGTTTATCCAGCCCCGCAGGGTAGTCTCGCCCCACCCAGATCATCTGCAGTGCACCAATCGAGTTAACCATCGACCGAACTCCCGCCATTACGCATGAAGGTAACATACCTGCTTGTACAGGTTGCGCGCTGCCGTGCGAGATGAGTTCTGCGCCATCTGTGGTCGAGTGGCTGCGTTCCAATTTATCTGATAATTTTTGTCCCCTTTTTTTGTTTTTCTTTTCGCAACACCCCTTCGACAAACAGTGGCCATGACAGGTGAAGATAGAAGACATCGAGGTGTTCACCCTTCGGAACATCAGAAGCGCGCTGACTTGCGCGCTGACTTTTCTTACGGCAGCCGAAGGCTTGGAGGCGAGATCTCCTTCTGAATTCCTGCCCTCTCGTTCAAGGTGTTGCTCCTCCCCTCGACAGCCTTATTGCATCATCAAGCATGGCCTACCGAGCGCTACAGAGGCGTTACCCTCACGTTTTTACCGAGAGCGTACGCGCTTGGATTGCTTCGTTCGTCCCGGTACCCTGACCCTAACCTGTTCCTCTTCCTGTGTGAGTGCAGTCCAAGCCGGTCTGGACGACGCTCGTCCCAGTTGTTGGTACAAACACACCTCTTTCTGGTAATCGCTTCCCTCTAACATGCTCGCATGTGGTTCACAGCTACCGGGTGCCTTTGGGCCGGCTACAGTGGCGTCCGCCGTCTAACATACCGCGCCAAGTACGCCACCCCGGCACGGTCCATTGCAAGTGTTGAACTCATAACACCCATTCAGGCATCGTGGAAAGGAACCGTGGGACGAAGAGGGCAAGGAGAAGCTCGTCACCCGAGACACTGCCCTCTCGCAAGCCTCCCAGTGGGACAAAGCGATGTCTCCTCCCCCGCCGCCCAAGAAGCAGTGAATAAAAAGAGGGGAGAAATGGTGTTTCGCTTTTTCAAGTCTTTTTACTCGATCAAGAAGAAAAGCTGAAGATGTCGCTCATGAATGCTGATAACCGACACCGCGTGATTTACGTTGGTACAGTAGGCCCAACCATTTTCCCTCCATAACGCGCTCTTTCAGAACTGGAATTAAATTCAATCTCATCATTTAATCTCGGGGGGGGGACCTGATGGCACGGCACAGGTGGTCTGGCAGACGAAGTGACGGAGGAAACACTAAAGGCTGCTTTCATCCCCTTTGGCGAAATTGTGGACGTCATGATCCCCATGAACTATGAACAGAGTACACCACCCCCCCAGTCCCCCCTCTGGCTGTGCGGCCCTTGTCGCACTGCCCGCGCCGTAGTAGAGCGTGCATGCGCACAGTGACGCCGCACGCTGACCCTGGTGCGTGCTGTGGCCAATGCGTGGCGAGCGCAGACAAGAACCGAGGCTTCGGGTTTGTGGAGTTTGAGGTGCGGGAGGACGCCATGGCGGCGCAGGAGAACATGCACAATGGGGAGCTCTTCGGCAAGGTGCTTTCCGTCAACCTTGCCCGTGCCCGCAACATTGACAAGAACAGAGCCGGTACCGTCTTCTCTTCATTCACCACCCCACACTTGCGTTGGCTTATCTGCGAGTGAGTGAGTGTGCAATCATCTGCTGCGAGCGCCTTGTTCAATTGGCTCACTCACCACGTTTGCGCGAATGCCTGTACGCAGTGTGGGAGTCGAATCCGGACGAGTACTATAAGGTCGATGAGGATGGTGAGGGCGCTGAAGGCCAGCAGCCCGAGAGCGCAGACGGCATGGACACCAAGGCCTAACGTTCGTGCGCTTGCGCATTTTTTTTGTTTCTGATAAACCATCACGCTTGCATTCGGTGTCGTGTGCGGCTAGCTGGCGCATAACATCCGCGACGAGGCCCAGCCACACGCAAGTTGTCAGGGCTTCTGATCGTGTTGAAGTGTTCACTGTTCACTCCACGCCCGTGCGTTCAGGGGGCGCACTTGTGGGGAAAGACGCGACGAACGGTTTTCATGAATTCCGTGGCGGAAGCTGCCAGCAAGGACAGCGTCAGCACGAAGTCCCAAGACAGAACGTCAAAGCTCTCATTCACAGATCCGCCACATACTCACCCATCCACACAAGAAGCCATACAGCATGTCGTCCGATGAACAACCGCAGAAGGTGGTGGTCTCCTCCACCGGCCCGTCCAGCGCCGAGCCTGCCGAATTGGCCGATTCGACTGGTGCGCGACCACTTGCTTACCAAAACAGTGTTGGGGTGTCGTCAATCATCGAAGAACAGAATGGGATTTATTGTAGTTGTTAGTGTTGCGGTATGTGTTGGTGTTGGCCATTGAATTGGTCCTGGGAAACAATTGTAACCCACTGACAATGTTTGGTTGCTTCACTGCGCAGAGGGTACCCCTTTCGTTGACGCCTTGAAGAAGAGCCCCTTCTATTCCCATGGTACGCGAGCCAAAGCTCTCATAGACTCTTACTTGATCGCTCTCATCTTCGCCATTCCATTAATCGCGAAGAGGCTGCTCATCTGGGTTTTTATATGCGTTGATGGAACAGTTTCCTCCATTCTCCACTGGAACGACCCCGTCCAGTCGGCGCTGCTCTTCGGCATCGGCAACTTCTTTTTCTTCCTCATTACCTGTGGCGATTATACCGTCGTGAGCCTGTTCGCCTACCTGGCCCTCGCCCTTCTCTTCGTCGCTGGCGTCTACGCCAACGGCACCCTCCTGCGAGCCTACCTCAAGAAGGAGAAATACGAGAACCCCTTCTCGTACGTCATCAACTCCCCCTATCCATGCTTCGGGGCAAATTTGATCACCCAGGCTTCAAATTTGGCACCGGTGGCAGCTTGATCTTGGCTGATTTTCGTGTGGTAAAACAGCGCCAAGCTCAAGAACCCTTTCGTGCTGGCTGAGGGCGACCTCAAGCCCCACGTCGACGCCTTCGTTGGCGTGGTCAACGACTTCCTCCACCTGACCAGGCACGCCATCTACTTCACCGACACCGTCTTCTCCGTCAAGGTATACCACCTCCCTCCATTGATGATTGCACCGCACCACCTTGACGAGCCGCAACTCACCTGCCCCCTTTTCTCATCACAGATCGCTGTGATCGTGTGGTTCATCGCTATCGTTGGTGGTGCCTTCTCTGGCATCGTCCTCCTCTACGGCAGTACGTGCCCCTCCTTCGCTTCAACGCTCTTACAATCGCGAGCGCGTTCGCCAACGATGAGCGTCCAGAGGACGGTGGCTGATCACTCTCTCACCTTTCCCTGCTTCCACTTGTGCAGTCTTCCTCGCCGCTTTCGTGTGGCCCAGGATCTACCAGGAGAAGCAGGCCGACATCGACCGTGTCTACGGCATCGCCCTCGCTCACCTCAACCAGTACTACGACCTGGTGATCTCCAAGCTCCCTCTGGGCAAGAAGAAGAAGGAAGAGTAAGAGTAAGAGCCCACACACCACGTGGTAGGCCGTGAACTCATTCTTCACAAGTCGGGAGTCTTTTTCTATTTATCCACCACTCACCAAATGCACCCTCATCAAGAGAGCTCGCCCCACTTGTGTTCTGTTCACCTTCACCTTCAGCAACAGCGAGCGCCTACTTTCTTCTCTTTTTCCCCTTTCGCGTGCAGGGCAGGCGACGGTTGAAATTTCAGAGGCCCGATTTTGTGCGCAGCTTGTCGTTTCCGGTTCATTTTCACGCAACTACCCGCACGTAACTACGGTTTCTCCGATTTGTCGTCTGCGTCATCTGGCATCAACTACACAAAGGACAAGCAAATCCACAAGAGAGTAGCAAGCACACGTCGAACATCCTTCTCTTCTTCTTTCCACGAAGATCTTCCATTTCTTCTTTGTAAATCTGTGCATAGCTACTCTTCTCCATCTTTCCTCTTCTTCTCCACGATGAAAGCTACGGTCTTCTTCGATGTACAATTCGCGGAGGTCGACTGGGAGGATCTCTTTGTTCGCTACACATCGCGCAAGCAAGTGCATGTCGAGAATGTAAATAGAAAGATCGACGTGCAGAACAGGATGGATGGACCAGTGCACGCCAGCATCGGTGCGAAGGGCCGATCGCGGCATACGACCATCACTGCGCAGCGAGCGACTGGCGAAGAACCTCACAAGCTCGTGGCCGCCTCCCTCGTACACCTCAATCGCACAGCCACCTTCGACCCCGGCCTGCAAGGTAAGGTAGAAGGCATCGACTTCTACCTCGATTTGATGCACGTCGATGCCACTCCCGGCGCCGAGGTCCACTACGGCATCGTGATCAAGCAGGATGGTGTGCTCTTCCAGTCACCTCCTGCGCGCCTGACGTGCGGCACCAAGAAGTGGAAGGGCTTCATTTCCGAGTCTCTCGTCGCCGCGGACTTCATCCGCTTCGGCAAGCCCACCGTCGTTTCGCCCCACACCAAGCCCTTCTTTGGAAAGGATGCCGCGCCACTGCAGGTACCTGCTCTCTCTACGTCCTTATGCTCGGTACAGCCAACCGCTTACCTGACCCCCCACGACGCTCGATTGTGCGAATTCCACAGTTTGGTTACATCGTGCACGTGGCTGGCCCTGGATCGAGCGTGAAGAGCGTGACTAGCATCGGCGAGTGGAAGGTCTCGGTGGCGCACAGGGAGGACCTCAGTATGAGTCTCTCGCAGACTCTGGAGTTCAGGCAGCGCCTTGACTCTGAAGTCCTGGAACGCCAGCGCCTAGAAAGGTATGCCGTTTGGATCGCACATGGTTTGTTCCGTGCTGCGAATGGGCGCTGACATGCCAAATCCTACTGCAGGGCCATCGTCGAGCAGCGCATCAAGGCCGAACAGGAGCTGCGTGAACTGAGGCTCAAGGCCGAAGAGGAAATCAACTCACTCCGCCTGTCGCTCCCGATCGCCGAGCGCGGAAGTCGTATTCCTTCGTTCGAGGGGGATGGAAAGAACGCTTCACCGGCCAGCAACAAGCACCTCGGCCGCACGGACGACCTGGCTCAGCTGCTTAGCGGCGACGCCTCGCCTCACGTGGAGGACAAGTACATTTCCATCGTCAAGGCCGCGCAGAACCGTCTCCTGGAGGTCGACTCCCGACGCAAGGCCGAGCGGCAGCGAAAGGAGAAGCTGGAAGAGGAGCACGAAAACATGCGCAAGACGATCGACCTCGAGCGCCAGGGCCGTGAAGAGGCGGAGCGGAAGTGGGCTGCCCAGTACGAAGAGGTCGCCAAGAGCGCCACCGAGGAGAAACGTCAGCTTTCCGAAGAGCTGGATAGCTACCGCAAGCGCATCTTCCACCTCGAACAGGAGCTTCGGGGCGAGTGCAAGCTGAAGGACCAGAAGGAGGAGGAGCTGCGTCGCCTCCGCGACGAGGTCGCCAGCAAGAATGACGAGATGCGGGTCCTACTCGTCGAGATCGACAAGCAGGCGGCGGCTCTCGCGCAGCACGAAGCTGAACGCCACCGCCTTTCGAAAGAGGCCGAACACCGAGCAGAGGAAATCGCTCTGCTGAAGTCCAAGATCGTAGTTCTCGACTCAAGCCTCACGACCCTGGAGCAGGAAAAGAGAGACCTCGAGAAGAAGATGCATACGTGCTGCAGCTTGCTGGACCAGCGTGAGCACGAGTGGAGCGAGACGAGCGCCAGGAAGGACAACGAGGCCAAGGAAGCACAGCAAGCAGCCGAGGAGCGACTCCAGGCCGAAGTGGACACGTGGCGACAACGCCTCGTGAAGCTCAATCAGAAACACGCTGCCCAGGAAGAGGCCCTGAAGGATCAGCTGGCCCAGGAGAAGGCACAACTCGAAGAGGAACTCGCCAAGGCGATCGAGGCGCACGAGCGGAAGGAGGAGGCGTGGAAGCGAACGGCGAACGAACTCAACACTGAGCTCAAGACCTGCACGCAGGACCTTACCGCCACCGCCGAGGAGATGGAGCGCTCGAAGCACGAACTCCAAGCGGCCCTTACCGAAGTCGGACAGAAGCTGACGACCGCACAGACCGAAGTGGCCCAGCGCGACCAGGAGGCCGAAGCCCTGCGACAGGAGCTCGACATGCTCAAGGCGCAGCTGCGGGAGGTCGTCGTGCGCGCCCAGGAGGAGGTGGCCGATCTGCGCACAACAGCCAAGAGGCGGGAAGAGGCGTGGGAGCAGGAGAGGTGGCAAGTCGAGCTCGAGCGAGCCGAAGCCAAGCGCGAGGCCGAGTTGGCGGAGGAGCGGATGCGGCAGATGGAGCAGACCCTGGCCGACGTGCGCCAGGAGTCGACAGCCCGCGCTCGCGACCTGGCCGACGCCGATGACCGCCTCGTCGCGGCCAACGCCCTGATCGACAAGCTCAACCGCGACCTCCGTCAGGAACTGGACGACGAGCAGGACGCGCGCAAGGGACTTGAAGAGATTGCTGGCGGCCTTCGTGCCCAGCTCGTCGCCGAGGCCGAGCGCAACAAGGAGGAGATGCTGCAGGTCTCGGCTGCCGCCGCCGCGGAGAAGGCCGGCCTCGAGGAGAAGCTCTCCGCGGAGAAGGAGTCCAGGCAGCAGCTCGCCAAGGAGCTCGAGACGCTCAAGGAAAGCTACGAGCTCGAGAAGACGCTGCGCGAGAAGATCGCGCGCGAGCTCTTTGCTGAGATCGACGCGCGCAAGGAGGGCGAGAAGCGGCAGACGTCGGTCATTGCCGCGCTCAACGATCACATGAAGAAGCAGGCCGAGGCGATCGTGCAGCTCGACTACGCGCTTAAGCAGGAGCAGGTCGATCGCATCCAGCTCGAGGAGCAAGTCGAGGCGGAGGTGATGGCGAGGGTCAAGGCCGAGGAGGCTCTCCGCAAGCTGGACGAGATCTTCAAGAATGCCTCGAAGGAGGAAGACAACGAGTGGGAGCTCGTCACCGACGAGGACGGCAAGAACGGACGTCAGTGACTCTCCCCCCCCTATGCACATACATCCCCATTTTTCAAACGTACATAAAAGCACACAACCATTTATTCTCCATTCTAGAACATCATCTTTTCTCGTTTCCGCCCCTTTTCTTTTTGTCTTTTGCTTGGAAAGAGAGAACGAACAGCGAAATGCGAGACTAATTCCTGGCACTGTGCAAAAAAAAATGAAAACACAGATTGGACCAATGGGTGAGCGCGGCTAGCCGTTGTAGGCCACAACGGTCGGCCGTTTCAGCTCTTCCCCTTGTTTTTATAAAGCCGGCAGCACAACTGCGGATTTGATCAGTTTCAACTACTACCCCACCTAACTACAAGATGTCGTCCACGAAGAAGACCACCGCCGCGTCCGCCGCCGCCGACAAGAAGAGCAAGGTCGTCGTGTTCAAGGTGAAGGACCTCGAGAACATGCCCAGGAAGAGGCTCGTCTCGCTCGCCAAGCGCGTGGGTGAGAAGGCCAACCAGAACTCGGCCGCCCTCGTCGAGGCGCTCACCAAGTACCACAACGAGCACCAGTCCGAGATTGAGGAGAAGCTGAAGGAGCTCAGCAGCAAGCCCAAGGCCTCGAAGAAGAGGGACATGACGAAGGATCTCTCCACCAGGATCCACTACAAGGACCGCGTCTCCGACTCGTAAATCAACCCCTTCAGCCATCGACCGTGCGCCCAGTTCTACGCCACTCCCTGACACCCATCGAATAATCGATAGAACCCCATCTCGACGAACCGGACGACACTCTCCCCTTCAGTTTTGCCTCTTCCCTCGCCTCAATCGATTTAGCCCGACCTTTACCCCAGCATGTTGGATAGAAGTCGAAGACAACCGACTTTCTTGTAAATCATACATTCCCTATCACCTAAAAAGACGACATTCAATCAACACATTCCCTTCTTGTGCCAGCCTCGCCATCACCGCGCATGCGCCGTGGCTATTTGTTTTATCTGCGGAAAATGGAAAAACAAAATAAAAAAATAACAAAAAAAAAAAAAGCACCTGACCGTTGGTCCATCAAGAAAGCAAGAAGGGGCGATTCGTCTTCTCTTGATGGTATTTAGCTGCACAGGCGGCTCTCACGATGGACAAGAATGTGTTCGAAAATCAGCTCATCGCAATGGCCGAGACGGTGATGGGGTTCACATCAAAAGGAGGCGATGTAGGCCCGGCCCAGTACCATCAATTCTGGGCCGACTTGAGCACCAACCCGGTGCAGGTCTCGGACTACTTGACGTCGCTCATCGTCAAGTTTGTAGCGGTGTCTACGGGCGAAGACAAGTCTTACATCTTGGCGGATCTGGTACGCAAGGTCGTGGGCAAGGAATACGAGAACGCATCCGATCAAGCCCGTCTCACCTCTGAATCTCGTACGCCTCCTCTTCTTATCCGCTATATACGTGCATCCATTCGAATCAATTCTCACCCTCATCTGCCCAGTGGACAACCAACAAACGCTGCTGGGCACGATTTACTTCATCTCCCTGTTCTTCCCTTTCGATGCCACGTCGGACCCGCTCAAGGTCGCCATCGCCCGCTGGCTCAAGCTTCGCGGCCGCGGCGACGTCGTGCCGCCCAAGGGCAAAGCGGCTCTCGACAGCACCTTCGTTGACGAGGTTCGAAGACTTCTTCTCGCCTTCATCATCGCTGTGATTGCAGTGCTTCGTGTTCTCTTTCTTCTACTCCTTCTTCTTCATCCTTCCCATGACGTGCGGCTGTGCGCGCAACTCACTCGGCCGTCACATCTCCACCCCACCGCAGTGTCTGCGCGCGCTGGCGCCGGGATATCTCGAAGCCAACGAGAGCGCCTTCTCGCTGATCGCGCAATGCTCGCACATCCCCTTCCCTGATGACTTCGTCGCCGATTCGGCGCCCATCGGGCTCCGTGCGTCCCTACGCGACCACACACACAACACACACACCGCACACACCGCACACAATGCTGACCAGACGTTCGTTCTCTTGCGTGTGCAGTCGCGTCGTGCCTGCTCAACACTTACCTGCGCAACTGCCTTCGCGAGGGTCGACAGACGCGCATCCTCTTTGATGGCGTCCTCACGTTGCTCAAGCAGTCCAAGACCATGCGCGACGCCCAACTGCTGACGCTGCTGCACATGCTCCGAGGCTTCGTCGTCGTCGTACGCTCCCCCCCCCACATATCGTGCTACAGCGTTGCCTCACCCCAGCGCGTGCGTGTGGTCGTGTCGTGTCGTGTGCGGTGGTGCCGTGTGTGTCGTGCTCTCCAGTCTCCGAAGCTAGATCCGGAGATACTGGAGAATGCGATCGAAGTGGTGAAGCAGTACTACCTGTGGCCCTGCCCCTATGGCGACGTCGCCAAGGAGCTCCTGAATCTCCTCTCCGTCGAACTCAAGTCGGCAGGCTCAGGCATGCGAGAACTGTTCGTCGAGGAGAATCCCGAGTTGGAGAAGGGCTACGTCCTCACTGGGAGGTACGCTGTGCGCGTGCGTGCGCGTGCGCGGTGGTGGAGTCGCCGCCGCATCGAACCTAAGGCACTGTATCGACACACCTCCATTTTCCATTCTCATCTTTTCTGTTTCAAACCAAAAAGGGAGCGCATTGTGTACATCATCGCCGATCAGAACATCGAAAAGGCCAAGCGGCTGCGGACTCTGCTCCAGGTAAAATTCATTCCCCTCTTCTACTATGCTGTAATCTCGTATGTTTGTACACATACGGCCTTCGCCGCTAATTCTCTACTTGTCTTGTATGTATGGATATGTATGCATACAGATTGATGTATGTATATGCATATATGATTGATGTATGTATATGATGATACTGTATGATATGTATTGCAATGCTGGCGCAGTCGTTCCCGCCGGAGGAAGTGAGCCCGTCGCAGATCCAGATGAATCTGCTGGCCAGCATTCTGGAGACCAACGCGAATATCGATCCCGACCAGCTGCACCTCGAGTTCTGCACGCGGGAGGACACCGCCACGTTCTACCACACCGCCATGGAGATCCTCAACCAGGCCGTGATGATGTACTGCTCTTTCGCCTCCCTCGGTTCTTCGCCTCAACGTTGGGCGATGCATCGATCACTGACCGCACGCGCGCACGCAGGAGCGAAAAGGAAGCGATTGCGTTCCGCCATCAAAAGTTGACTGCGCTGAAGGATTACATAGTCTCCCGGTCGACGGCGACGAGGCGATCGTCTGTTGCCCTGCAGAGCAGTGCACGGACTTCCAGGTGCGACACGCAACACACGGCACACGGCACACACGACACTCATGCTTACGCCGCCCAATGCAGCCTGCCGCCGTTGCAGTTCGAGTTTATGATGATCAACTCCTCCACTGAAGAGCCGCCCCTGAATTACGAGACCCACTTCAAGTGCGTCCCGTGTGTGTCGTGTGTCGTGTGTCGTGTGTGTGTGTGATTGTGTGTGTTGTGGTTCTTCCAGATGTCGTGCGCGCTCATCACATTCATTTCCTCGTCGCGTCCAATCCAGATATCCGCATCGCATGTCGATGGACATCCTCCTCAACATCATCAAGCTCCACCGACAGCCCCCCGACAACCCCAAGTGCGCTTTCCTTTTCCTCGCCTCGCGACCGTGTGGCCGTGTCGTGTCGTGTCGTGCGGTATTGATGACGTGTGCGATGATGTATTGTGCCCGCGCGGGCAGACCGTGCGTGATTAAGGTGGGAATAGCGGGCGACGACCAGACCCTGCACTCCGTGGCGGGGAGCTACGTGGCCCTCAAAATGACCAAGCCGCGCCTCTTCGAGAACCTCTCCTTCCAATTTTACATCATTCCCCTCGGTACCCCACCGCCTCCCGCTTTCCGCCCTCGTCTTCGCCACACAAGACAACACAAGACAACACGCACCACCGCACACGCACACGCTTGCTCACTTTTCTTTCGCTGACGTCAGACATCGAGGGCCGATCATCCAATTTTCCCCATTTCCTGGCCAAACACGACGGCTGGTACGGCAGGTGCGTAGTGGTAGCCAATAGCCCCTCCCTCCTCTTCCCACCGACCACCCCAATGTGAGCTGACCGAGCGCTGGGCCGACGCGTCCAGGCACGTCCTGTGTCTGGCGAACTACCTCCTGCGAGTGCTCCCCTCGGCCGGCGCGGCGGAGCCCAAGGCCGACGGCCGGGCCAAGAAGGCCACCTGGTCCGCCATCGACTCGCCGGTGCCTCTCTTCGCCCCCTTTCCGGCATCAAGCCAAGCCAAGCCCCCCCCGCGCTTTGCGTGGTGATGACGTCGGCCTGACGTGTGGCGTGGTGGTGGTCGGGGCAGAGCCCCAGCATGCAGCTGATCGCGCGGAGCTACGCGGGCATCGGGCCGGCCGAGGTGGCGGCGGCGCTGGAGGGCGGCACCTCCGTGCGCGTGCCGCTCCGACCGCCCTGCCCGTCCCTCCTCCTGCGCGCCGAGCTCCAGAACTATTTCCGAGAGGCCCGAAACCGTCTCGAGGTTCGTGCGCAACACGCCGCACACATGACACGACACACGCAACACACGACACATACCAACGCGGCCTTCACACTGCAGGTGAACCTTTATCAATGCGAGTGCTGGTGTGTGGGCGACACGGCCTACTTCACCGTGCCCTTCGCCCAGCGGGTCACCGTCGGCATTCAGGCCTTTGCCAAAGCCTTCATGGTAGTACCATTATTCTTTATTATTACTTATCATTTACTTTTACTTATATTATTAATGATATTATTCTTATTATTACTTATTACGTTGTGTCCTCACGCTGGTGTTCGGGCGGGTGTGGTCCAGACGTCGAATAACATGACGGAGCGGATGAGTGTGGAGGAGCTCCAGAGCAAGGTCAAGGGCTTCAAGTACGCGCCCTGCGCGCTGGGCCTCAAGTTCATACAGATGAGCGTCACCGGCGCCCCGAGGCAGGGCCCGCCCATGAAATACAGGGTGCGTCCCCTCCCCAGGACGAACGGCGCGTGTGTGTGTGTGTGTGTTGTGTGTCGTGTGTGGCTTCTGTGTTGCTGATGGGGCGTGGGCGGCGTGTGTAACAGCCGTACAACGAGATCGTGGTGGCCAATGTCCCGGCGCGAGGGGACCGCTTCACGCCAGCCCACCCTTCCAAGAACTGGCTCGAGATGTACACTCAGAAGGCTGACTCGGTACGCACCGCGCACACACACACGACTGTTGTTGAAGAGCGCTAACGCGATTCGAAAACAGAAAAAGCGCAGCGCACGCTCGGCGAAGGAGCACACGTACCACATCTCGGCGATCGAGGTTGAACCCAAGGACAGGAGGAAGGACGAGTTCCACGTCCTTATCGACGACGTCCTCTACGGTCCCTTCACCAAGATCAAGTACGTCGACGCTCAAGGCGCATCATCATCATCAACACCCCATCTCTCTCTCACTCACCATCAACACTCCACTTCTTCTTCTCTTTTCCGCTCACGCGCTTTTGCTTGCGTGTCGCAGGATTGGGCCGGTACTGAGCTCCAAAGAGCCGATGGCTTGCCGCAGTCTGCCGGTGATGACCTACTTCCCCCTGGACCTTTGATGACAACAACACCCGCACGGCCGAAGTGAGTGGAAAAGCAAAGGAGGCGGGGCTTGACAGTCTCTCGAGCAGCCACGTAGAGATGGATATCCAGCCCAACGTTGGCTTGTGACAGACTGCTAAGCAGAACCCACTACAGACCTCCTCCTCTCTTCTTCACACTGGACTTGGGCTCGGGTTGGAGTTGGAGTTGTTTGGACGAAGGGGGGTTGTTGGCTGGAGGAAAAGAAGACGAACGAAAGATTGTATACAAGAGGGAGTGGTCCGGCCCTAGAGCTCCAAGCCCACCGACACCCAATGGTTGCGGAGGTTGTTTCGGCGGGCAAAGATCTCCAGGTACCTCCCTGATGATGATCGTCATCATCGTCCGTGCGAGTAGAGAGCGGTTGGGTTGAAGAGGTCAGTGCGAGCAATGTTTGGGGGAGGGGGTTGATGGTGGGACTCTGGAAGAGTAGAGTACCGTTGGGCACCAGGGCTTCCATGATGTGGTAGATCTCCTCTGGCTTCTGGCTCTGCCCTCGTCGCTCGCTGAAAATGACGTCCGAGCACCGATTGCCGCGCATGTTGGGCGGATCTTCGCCCTTCAGGCCCACCAGACAGGTCTCCTTGGCGTGCTGCAGGTAGAAGCCGTGCCCCTTGGCCATACGACGATTGACCGTCGCCTTCACCCACGCAATGTCGTCCACGAACCTACATCCACACACACATGCGAGTGAGTGCGCGTGTGCGGGTGGTGCGGTGATGCGCGTGCGTGGTGCGTGCTCGTTGTGTGTGATGTTGGGTGCGGAGCGTGCACCTGTAGCCCCACTTCTCCATGAGGTCGAGCGCAAAGGCGTAGCGGGCGTTGATGACCCAAATAAATAGGAAGCCGTTGGTCTGCAGCAGCGGGATGGGGATCTTTTCGATGTCCTTGTTGTGCAGCTGCTTGTAGCCCAGCGCCACCTGTGTGCGCGCAAGACACGGCGGTTCGAGAGAAGCCTTCGAATGAGCGAGTTGTGCGCTGCGTGCGTGTGCGGTATGAGATAGAAGAGTGGTTTCTACGTACACCACGCGTGGGGGCGGAACCGGCAAGCTGCCACGGAGGGTCCATCACGATGACATCGAACTGGACCTGTTTGCCCAGCGCCTGTTGCCCATCGACTTGTTTAGAGGCCCATGCTGAGGCGAGTGAAGATCGCAAAGATGGATTATGTACCTGCCAATCGAATCCTCGCACGTCTGCGCGAATGGGGACGCAGTGCGGGGGAATGTTGGGCACTACCACCTCATAATCATCTGCAAATCAGATGAGAGATTAGGCATTGTCGTCCTACAGGCTGAAGGGCTCGGCGGACATACCATCTTCGTCATCTTCATTCAATTGGTCCTCAATGTCCTCGATTTCCCTCTTGACGAGTGCCATTTCTTCCCGAATTTCGGGAATACTCATCATCGTGGCGTCCTTCCATGTCTGCTCGACCGGTGCCGCGTCTTCCTCCTTCTTTTCGACGACGGCGTCGTCTTCATCCAGCACCACTGCTTCCTCCATCGCGCTGCCGTCGCCCTCCATAACTCAGGGATGATAAAATCAGCTCGTCTCCGACGCGTTCGGAATGCGAGATCTTTCCCGCCCTTTTTTGTCCGCTTTTTACCCAGCAGCATTTCTCAATGATTTTTGATTTCTGGTTGGTTGTCCGATTTCTCCGTCCTCCGGAGGAAAAAACGAGGAAGGCGAGAAATATAAAAAGAAAATAGTGGCATCTGCACTCTTTGTACACGGCCAAGGATTACCATCGAAGCAACACATGCGTACAGCTTGAGCCCAGGGGGTCACCCTGGTTCTCTCGTCTGCTCATCAACCCACCGCTCTTTGGGGAAAGTCTCCGGACACTAGGACAGAAAGTGTCAGCGCTCATGCGCAGAAGTTTGGCTTCACCGGCGGCCGGCTCTCGGGCCGGAACCAAGATGAGGACCTGGCCGTCTCGCCTCGTTGCGAGATGGCCGGCCCTTGGAGTTCACTCGAGTCGTCGGTGGCCAACGAGTTCGTCATAGCACAGTTATGTTCAATCAGCGCCGGGGCCAACTGACCGTCGTGACAGCCCCCGGACGCCAACTCAACGGAGCTTACTCTGGCCGTGTACCTCACGACACCTTTCCCACACTCTCTGGCGGCGAACCACAATCAAGTGATCAAACTCACCGTGGTTCGTCTCCGGAGAGCGTGGGAGACAACCGGAATCGAAAGATTTATGCTTGTACTCTGTTATAAAGAATGAAAGAATGTTACTTTAAACTTTACCAACGACGACTCGCACTTGCAACTCGGGCCAAGCTTGAGAAAATTGCTTCCCATCAATCGCACCAACATCGGCCCTGTGGCTTGCCCTAGCGGAGTTGAAAAAAATTCTCAAGAAGGCAAAAAGAAAAAGAATTGCGCGCAAAAAGTTCAGAACATAATCGTCATCAGAACGCAACAAGCATCATCACCATGCCGCGCACACAACCAAGCAAAGGGAAAGGTACATCTAAAAAGATTCCAACCTTTTCATTCTTTGTGCGCAATCCAATCTTGCTCCAATCTTCCGGATGTTGAGAATCGTGATGGATCTAACCCCATCGCCCTCTAGGAGCGAAGAAGGCCAACAAAATCAAAAGGGATGAAAGTACGCTCAAGAAGACCGGCACCATCACGAAGAAGTACGCATCCGTCTAATTACTGTTAATTGTTTGTTCTTATTTATTATTTATTATTTATTGCAGGAATTTCCGCGTGACCGTGTTGTCCGCGAAGGAGAGGCTCAAGTCGCCGCAGCAGAGGAGCGCAGAGAACTGGTGGGGCTCTCAACTCTTCGGCCACAGGCTGTCGAGGGAGGTTAAGATTCACCACGCTCGCCGAGAAAAGCCCAACGCTGTCTTCACCAGAAATAAGAATAAGGCTAAGAAGGCTATCTGATCAGCCTCTTTTCAAGAGCACAAGTGCAGTGTGCCGCGTTCCTCATGTTGAGTGCCACCGTGCGCACTTGTGCTTGCCGCACGCACCTCCACTCTGGTGTCTTTCGATCGATACCAACCAAGGGAAATCTAAAAGAACTGAAGAAATCAATCAAGAAATTGCAGGACTCGTGGAGAAGAACGAAATTCGGGAAAGAGTGCGGCAAGGCGGCGCCAGAATTTTTGCTTCCACTCCACGTTCAATTTGGCGCAGGGCTGCCAGCAACCTTCTCGCTCTACACGTCTCGCCCCCTCGTACAAGAAGAGGCAGCAGAAGAAGAAGAGAGGAAGAAAGGAGGAGGCCAGAGGTCGCGAGAGAAGCTTCCACGTCGTACGCACGCATCAAGGGCTTCAGGCGATCGATCGATTCGGCAGAAGCGAAGACCGATTCGGCAGCAGACTACACATCACATCATCAATACACACATCGTCGCGAGATGGAGAAGCTAACGACGAGGCTCTCGAACACGTTCGCCTCGAACTTCTACGAAGACGGCGACCTGTTCCTGAAGAAGAGCAAGGACAAGAAGATCTCGGCGCAGCCGCTACCTCACGGGGTGGTGCTGTTCAAGGGATGCCTCGATCTCGAGGAGCAGCTGAGCCTGGTCAGGGCCTGCCTCAAGATGGCCGACGAGGAGCCCAACAGAGGTCTGCTCCCACGATGCAGATACGCGAGCACATCGAAAAAGGCCGTCCCCATCTTGTTCTACAACTGGCCGGCCGTGCCCGCGAGCATGAAGGGCATGAAGGAGCCCACGCGATTGCTGCGCTTCGGACGAAAGATGTTCAAGACGGCCTACGAGGCAGGAAGGCGCAACGGCGACAACATGCAGTGCCCCAGCAAGTACAATCCGGCATCGCTCTACGCCATCTTGTATCCCCACGGGGGCAGCTTCATCCCTCACGTCGACGGTGCCAAGGGCTGGGCTCTGAGCGTTTCCATCGGCGACTCAGCAAACTTCTTCTACTCTGAGGTACGGCATTCTAGAGATTTTGAATTCTACGTGTCGGCCACTGTGCGCTGTGTATCATCAATCAGCTTAAATCGTGAAATTGCCAATCGTCGCGACAGACGAAAACGAGCGAACGAACCTACGTGCGTCTGGACTCGGGCGATGCGCTGATCTTCAACGGCGGGCAGCTCTACCATGGGGTGGAGAACATAATCCCGGACTCGGCCCCCGACTTCTGGCGGTCTGAGGAGACCGACATCACCAAGTACGACATGTCGAGACTCGTTCTTCAATTCCGAGATCCACAGAGAGACCAGTCTGGCCTCAAGTACTACCCCGTGTTCCAGGCCATCGGCGAGTAATCATCGCGCACAGCACGAACCTCCCCCCTTCGATCTTTTGAACAAACGACACTCCTTCTTTCTCTTTCATTCATGCTCCACTCCCCTATCATCTCTGCCTCTGTCTCTCTGCCACTCTTGTGAATATACCTTCTCATGTACTTAATCTGGACACGCAGATAAACCGAGGCAATCACTAGATTGAGTGCACTCCTCTTTTCTCATTTCATTTTCGTGCATGCTTACTCACTCGTGCATCTCACTGCTGCGTCTCTGCCGGCGTCCTCATCCTGCGCTGGCGGTGCACGGACGAGGGCGTACTTGAAACCGTCGAGGTACTGCCCCTGCTTGATGTATGCCAGCCTCTCTCTACACTCCAGCTGGAACCCGGCCTTCTCCAGCACTCGACCCGATCCCGCGTTGTGTGCGTACACCCGCGCTTCAAGCCTGATGCGCACAGGACACACGCACACACACACCGTGCGGGCGCTCAGTCCCGTGCGCCCTCCTTGCGCGCGAGAAAGAAGGTACTACCTGATGATGGGCTGTCCGCCGTTACACCGCGTCGCGAAGTCGTCGGAGAAGAGATAGCGAACGAAGGCGGCGACGGCGTCGGTCATGATGCCACGACCCCAGTGCGACTCCGCCAGCCAGTAGCCCAGGTCCGCCCGGTGCGTGAAGTTGGTGCCGCCCGGCACCTCCATCGCCTCGATGCCTCCCACGGGCAGCCATCGACTACTACTCTTACGGCGTTCCTGGCCACCGTCGGCATCATCGGGTACTGCGTCGTCACTCCCCTTCGCTCGTCTATCACCTTCACCTTCGTCGCGGCCGTCTTCTCTTTCGACGCAGATGCAGAAGCGTCGGCCGTTGTCGTTGCGCTGACAGAAGGCGATCTAGGCGTGGGCGTCCTGGAGCGTGTAGGGGTGTGGAAAGCTGTCCCGCAAGTTGCGCGCGATGTTGGGGTTGTTGGCCACCCTCGCCAGCTCCTCTGCGAACTCCTTGCGGAAGGGAACCATCACGCACCTGCCCCCCCTAATCATCGTCTCTTCTTTTCGTTCCATGTCTTCCTCTTCCTCTCCTTCTTCTTCAACATACTCTACTTTGGCTCCACCAACGCCCAATCGTGCACCAGCCCGCTGAGAATTTTAGCAGATTCGTTTCGCGCGCTGTGCGTTTGTGCTCTGTACACTTGAAAAAAAAAACGAAAGGGGAGAAGAAAGAGGGCGCGGGCGGGCTCTGGCGCGTCACATGGAAGGCGTGGTCTGGTATCGCGGGTAGACGCGCTCCGAGGAGAAGATGGGCGTCATCACGCCAGAGTCCTCCTCGCCTGCGTGATGCGAGCGAGCGAGCGAGCGAGAGAGGGGGATCAGTCATCATGCCTCACCCAGTGAGCGATTGTGGCCTGTGGGGCTGATGTAGTATAGTACCGATGGTGCTGCTGCTTCCGCTTCCCTCCTTGCTGCTGCTGCTCGAGTCGGCGAAGGGGTCGTCGAGCTCCAGATCTTCGAACTTCTTGGCCTCCCAGTGATCCACAATCGCGGCGCCGACAGCATCACCGTACACGTTCACGGCTGCGCGCACCGCAATTAATTGAGCCAAATAAAACGCGTGTGCGTGCGGTGGTGAGTGTGTGCGTGTTCAAGTGAGGGGTACTGGTGCGAAGGCGATCGAGGAACCAATCGATGGAGAAGAGAAGCCCGATCCCCTCCAGCGGGAGACCCACCGCCGTGAGCACCATGATCAACGTCACCTGGCGAATGTGTCTTATTAAAACAAAATGCAAAATATCAAATATCATATTATGATATTAAAACAATACAAAGTATATTATATTATATTATTATTTTAAAACAATACAGAATTAATGCAAATAAAATAGAACAAGGCGGTGCTGGCATGTACCAGACCGGCCTCAGGAATGCCGGCGGCGCCAATGGCAGCGAGCGTCGCAGTGAGAGCCGTGATGACGATCTACGCACCCCCAACCAGTGCCTTGTGAGCAGCAGGCGTCAAGTGAGTACAAAACGTATGAGCGCGTACCTGACCGAACGAGAGCTCCACGCCGAGCGCTTGGGCCATGAATATACAGGCCACCGCCTCGTAGAGGGCCGTCCCGTTCATGTTCATCGTCGCTACGTAGCGATCACGAAGAAGAAGAAGAAGAGGTTGACTTTCTAACAAGGTTGTGTAAGATGGTGGAGGGGTGGTACCGCCCAATGGTAGCACGAAGCGCGCGACCCGCTGGGAGATGCCGTTGTTTTCCTCGCAGCACTTGATGGTGACCGGGAGGGTGGCGGACGAAGAGGCCGTGCCCAACGCAATCAGTAGAGCCTGCGAGAGGCGCGACATGAACTAACATCACACCACACCACATCACAGCACACACCCGTAGTGCAGTGCACCAACCTCAGCTCCATATGCATCGGAAGACCACACAGGACACAATACAGCGGTGTGTTACGTACCACGAAGGGATTCTTGCGGACGATGAACGCGTAGACACACGGTAGGAAGACGAACATATGAAACCCGAGGCCGAGCACCACCGTCACTGCGCCACACACCGCCATTAACTCACGTGAGCAAAAAAAAAGTAGGCCCGGAATAAAAAACCAATTTAAAAAAAGGAAGGGGGCGCCCGGGTTTGAACCGGGGACCTGACGATCTGCAGTCGCCTGCTCTACCACTGAGCTACGCCCCCTTTGCTTGCAGTGATGAGGTTTGACGGATCACACGACGGCGTACTCCTCTGGCTGGGTGGTGGGTCCGCCGAAATGGAGAAACTGATAGACGAAGAGGGAGGCGAGGGGAAGACGTGGTACCAACGAACACGCTGAGTTGCTCGAGCTTGGCCCAGAAGTTGCCATCGTGGCCCAGCTTGGCGATGATCAGCGAACAGATGCCGATCGGCACGCACCAGATCACTACATTATGTGTGCCAAAGAATGAAGTTGGGTCAGTGACGTAGACGAAAGAGGGGAGAGAAGTGGAAGAGTACCCAGGCCGACTATTCGCATGATGGCTTCGTTGAAGGAATTAAAAAAGTCGATCAACGGATGACCCTTGTCGCCCATCATGATCAAGACGACGCCCAGAGCTGGACATGTACACAGCGGCAGAAATGTTATCAGTCAACACACAACTTAATGGACTGACGACGAACAGAAAGATGGACAAGAGCGCGAGCGCTGTACCGACGGAAAAGGTGATGATGCCCAGAACGTTCATGTCGACGGCCGCCTTGAACAGGTTGGGCGGAAACAGGCTCCGTATGATGTCCAGGATGCTCTCCAGCGGGGTCTTCTGTGGTGCGTTGGGCACCGACCCGTCCGTCGGCACCTCGGCGTAGGTACCTGTAACCGAACGTTGGATGAGGAATGCACTGGAATGTGCGGGTGCGAGCGCAAGTGCCGGCGTACCGGGTTGGATGAGGAGCACCCAGAAGATGCCGAAGATGGCGGAGACGATGGTGGTCAGCCCGTAGTAGAGCAGCGCCCTCAGGGAGAGGTGGCCCATGTTGCTTGCACTCCCTGATCAGGCCAGGCCAGCGCGTGTGTGCGTGTGTGTGTGCGTGTGTGTGCGTGTGTGCGTGTGTGCGCGTGTGTGCGTCTGTTGTTAGGAGACACAGAACGGCGCAAGTAGTAGTACCGAGGGAGGTGATGCCCACGACGATGCTGGACATGATGAGGGGCACCACCAGGGCGCGCAGCATGCTGAGCAGAATCTCGCCCGGGAAGCCCAGCAGCTCCATCGTGGTCTTGCTCGGACCCGTGACGCTCGCCGCCCACCCCGCCACCAACCCCACCGCCGCCCCTGTGCCGCCACCCACGCCCACAAAATATGTTAAATTTTATAATGCTTTTATTTATTGTATAATATACTATTATAATATTTATTTGTGGTGTAAAGGATGATGATGGAGGTACCGAGGATGGTGAGGTAGAGAAGAAGATTGCCGTGGCCGCCCTTTGCATCGGGTCGATCGATGGAATTGAGGAGGCGGCCCCACCAGTGTGCGGCGCGCCTCTGCCGCCGTTCATCGGCGAGAGAGGGCAGGAGCTGCGCGCTATCGTCGTTCGAACCTCCGAGCATATCCTCCGGCGGCAGCTGCCCGATGGATGTGCTCCTGGGCCTTCGATCTCGCGTCGCCAGTCGCTCCTCTCCACTCCCGTACATCTTGCAGCTTCGTAAAAATAAATAAATAAGACTGGATATTATTTTTAAAGAGATATTATATTTTTATTGTGTTTTCTCCTTTTTGGGTAAATGATTTTGTATTTTAAATGCACAAAAGCATCAGATGCAGCCGGTGCATGAGGCGGCGAGTCCCACCTTGTTGGGCGCCGAGGGGTAGCTCGTTGCGACGGTACAGTTGCACCGCCGCCGCATGTCGAGCGCCGCAATGTCCATCGTATTGTGCACTGTGTGTGTGTGTGTGGCGTGCATGAGTGTTGCGTGCCATGTGCGTGTCGTCGTAACGAGAAGAAACAGTAAAACGTTGAGAAAGGTGGAGGGAGCTCCGAACCGATGATGAACTGGGTCTTGTGGATGAACTTCTGCGTGATGGCCGCCTTCGAGGTGTCGGTAAAGTAGGACACAATGTCGGGCAGCTCGACCGACTTGAGGGTGCACTTCTTGATTATCTGCATGCACGTGCGATAGAACGAAAGAACGAATGTGATGAGTGATTACTAAGAGCACTAAAGCGAGGTTGACACTAACATAGTTCGTAATAGTGTTAATAGCATAGTTGGTTTTAGTGTACGCACCTTCTTGATGGTGCGGGCGGCAAGAAGGCTGGTGACGAGGTTCTGCTTCTCGAGTTCCTTGAGGTGGGGCAGCATGTCAAAGTAGAACTGTTTGAAGTTGACGAAGCGCGAGATCGGCGTCGACGTGATGCCCACGTCCTCCATATTCAGCAAGCACGTCGCAAACCTGCGCGCTCGCTCTATTAGCGCTCATGGCTCACAACATAAACATAAAAATTTAATTATGCTGAGACAACACAATGTCGGTACCCGCAGAAGGGCGAAGGTTGAATTGTGAACTTGCCGTAGCCCAGCGCGCCAAAGAATGGCTCGAACACCTGGCCCACCTTCATCGGGAAGAAGTCTATGGGCGATTCCACACGCGACACACACACACACACACACACACACAACGCAGGCGCGCGACGCATCAGCACAAGATACGCATTCCAAGGCACACGGACGGGGTGGGTAGAGGACCTGCGGTGGTGATGGCGCCCTCGGTGGCCGCCTCGATGGCCTGCAGCAGCTCGTACGGGTCGAGCGTGTCCAGCGAAATCAACTCCTCGGCAGGTGAAAGGACCACCGACGGGCCAGCCGGCTGGGAAGGGAGCGGGCGCGAGGGAAGTGATGATGACGTCAGCGACCACATTAGGACTTTGGGGCCCGGCTGGTCTCAGCGTACCTGTGGGCTGAACGGCTCGATGCTGGTGGAAACGTAGAGGATCTTCTTTCGCAGGAGCGAGTACGAGTTGTCCCACCGGAGTCTATACACGCCTGGTCGCTTCACCAGCACTTGACCCTGTGCGTCGCGTCAGTGTGTCGTATGTATGTGTCGTGTGTCATGTGTCGTGTGTTGTGCGTGTCGTGTGTGTCGTGTGTGTCGTGTGCGGTTGATACCTCAACCAACTGCTGGCTGCAGGAGTAACGGCGCATAGGCTGGATCTCTTCCTGCGTGAGCGAAACGGTTAGGGCGCGCACACACGACTCGCATGTGGGGACGGCCGTCCGTACGATGGCGTCGTCAGGTTTGCCCGCCTCGGTGAAGACCACGCCGAAGGCGATGTCGTTGTCCTGCGTCTTGAATCGCCATCGGAGCCGGACGCCGACCTCCTTGATCTCCTTGATCATCTCCACCTTGCCCTTGGCTCCGGACGATACAGAGATCTTCCTCAGCGCCTCGGGCTCTATCGTGACCGGCTGCTCCTCCTTCTGCGCTTCCGTTGTCGACAGGTCGACAGCTGCGGCACCGACATAGAGTGAGACACACGCGCGTGGTCAGCGGGTGAAGCTTGCCGCCAAGCGCGACTGCGAGCGCGGTTTAGTCGACAGATTGTAGGTACGTTGCTCGGCGGGTGGGGCTGTCCCGGGGGACTGGGCGGAGTCCTGGGCGAGGGATCGGTTCCTGTTCCTCGCCTTGAGCTGCGCCGAGCTGAGGATCTGCTTGGGCGGCCGCTCCAGCGAAATAATCACGAATCTGGCAGCAGCACAGGTTCCTGGGAGTCAGTTCGCTACGCACACGCACACGCACACATGCACACGCACACGCACACACGCACAACACATCGCACGGGCTCCGTGCGGGTATCGTACCGGATGAGATTACACTCTTTCCTCAAGATGGCCAAGAGTTCATTCATGAATGGGAACGGGCGGCTCACGGAGAGCGTGATCACCAGCTGGATGCCTGCAGCAGGCACGAGAAGGTGACGGTGAGCCCACGTGTGTGTGTGTGTGTGTGTGTGTGCTGCACGGTCGTAGCACACCACAGCGTACCGGAGAATTCTTGGATGGAATAGACGAGCTTGGCAATCTCCTGCCGGCACAGCTCCTCGTCGCCCCTTCGGAGGAAGTACTTGAGCGCGGGATACACCCACGGACGGAGGAAAATGGAGTCGGGCAGCCGACACAACAGCATCAGCCGTTCGTAGGACACCTGCAAAGAAAGTTTGAGTCTTGACGTGATCGCACACGCACACGCACCACCGCACACACACGCACACAATGTACCTCGATCAAGATGGGCGTTGCTGGCAACAGCTTTTCGACAAAGTGGACCTTGGCGTTCAGGGCTTCCATGTCCGTGGTGAGCTTGCCCAATATTTTGAGCACAAACTGTTGAGAGAGAGAGAGAGAGAGCGCGCGCGCGCGCGTGTCGTGTGGTGACGCAGGAGCAAGTGTAATATTAGCAACACGGCCACATGACCCGGGGGGGAGCGGGCAAGACGTGCCTTGTGCCCCGGCGGGTAGAGGGACTGCAAGCGGAGGATCTCCTTTTCGATCGCTTCATCGGAGAGGAGCGCCTTGTCTTGGAACAGCGCGAGCTCCAACTGCGCGCACGCACACAATACGAACATATACGCACACGTCAGTGGGTTGTTGTGTGGTGGCGATGGTGGTGGTCAAGTCTCGGCCATATTGGGTTATGTAGTGCGCTGGTGGTGTGCGTGCCACAAGAGGGAAGTTCTCCGCGGTGGGGTTGGTGTTGATCTTGGCCTGAAAATCCTCGATGTCGGCCACACTCTTTTCTGGGACTGGAGCACCACGGCAGACGATCAGTGAGCCGAGGTGTGCGTGTGCGTGGTGCGTGCGTGCGTGCGAGCGTGCGTGTCACCTTTGGGCGGTGTAGCGTAGGACATGGCGTCCTTGAAGAACTTGGAGTTGGAGCAGTAGTGCGTCTCCTGATCGCCGTGCTCCTTACAACTGTTGTGGGCGAATGTAACCACCGATGTGAGCCGGGTGAGTGCCGCCCAATGGTCCTTCCGCAGAAGAAGCGGAGAAGAGCTGGTCAGCGAGGGAGTGAGCACGGGGCACGTACTGTACAATGAGCCACACCTGCTTCGTGGCGAGGCGCTTCACCACCGAGGCCGGCTGCCATTCCACGCCTGAGCAAAAGTCAATCATCTTTACTCATTCAAAAAGTAATAAATCGCGGAGCAATCAAAAGGAAGAAAGCGTGGGCGAGCGATGAGGAACCGTTGCGATCAATGAGAGCGCACAGAGGGCAGACGGAGAACGTTTCGTAGAGGACCTACAACAAAATGTGTGAGGAAATTCAAGAAAGTGAAATTCCTTCTCGATCCTTGATCGCAGGTACCTTTTCCGGTCCTGCCGCCGGGGCCTGCATTTCGTGGTTATGCCGTTGACGTGGTTCTATCGGCTCTTCCCGATGCAAGCAGCGCTCTGTCCAAGTTTCGCTTTCGTTTTCGATTTATTACGATTTATTCGGAAGAACAGGGTAATTAAATAATAATATATATATATATCTCGTGCAACAGGGAGAAGCTGGCAAGTATTTCAGTTGTTCGTTTGTTCGTTGTTGTTGGTTTTTACACTCAAAATTGACCCACCACCATCAGGGCAAGCTCTTTTCCCTGTGGCGGTGGGTGCAGGTGGAGATGATGGTGATGCTGCGTGCGACTCGTGCGTGTCGATGGTCGATCACTTGCAGGCCTTGGCGCTGTTGCGGCTGGTGGTGTAGTGGAGGATGGTGTCGAAGAGCTCGGCCTTCTGTACGGGCTTGAGGAGGCAGTAGTCGAAGCCCACCTGCCTGCACTGCTGCGTCTGCTCGGTGAGCGAGTTGCCGGTGATGGCGATCATCGGCGTGTCGATGCCCTCCTCGCGCAGCTCCGCCACCATGCGATAGCCGTCCTTGACTGGCATCAGGCAGTCAATCAGCATCACGTCGAATCCCTCCTTGTTCTTCATCACAATGTCGATCGCCTGGTCCAACAAAGAATGTCAGTCAAGAGTGTTCGCGCTTACTGCACACCGGCGCATTGGGTGAGCGCTGTACGGTACCTGTTGTCCGTTCTCGGCGAGGGTGACGTGGCACTGCTCCTTGGAGAGGATGGCGTTCATGGTCTTGCGCATCAGCGAGTTGTCGTCGACCACGAGGACCCGCAGCCCGCTCAGGTGGTTCCGGTTCGATTGGTCGTTGTGCGTCGTCGGGAGGAGCGCCGAGGCCGCCGGTGGACTCGAGAACGTGGGTTCGAGCTGCTGCCGGAGTTGCTGCTGCGTCTCGGGCGCGGTTTGCCACTCACTCGAGGGACTATCGGGGCTGTCGTCCTCGGGCACCGTGTCAAAGGGCACGTGGAAGGTGAAGCTGCTGCCCTTGCCGAGCTGCGAGCGACACCAGAGGTTGCCGCCCATCACCGTGCACAGCCGCTTGGTGATCGCCAATCCCAGCCCTGTACAGTTGTGCAGTGTCAACATTGTTAGCTCAACTCACCTGCCGTGTGCGGTGATGCGTGTGCGTGTCGCGGTGCTGTGCATTGTTTGCTGCAAGTGGCGAGGCGGCGTACCGGTCTTTTCGCTGCACATGAGGGTGGGGTCGTCGATGTGGGTGTAGACGGAGAAGAGGTTCTTCTGGTCCTCCTCGCTGATGCCGATGCCCGTGTCTTCCACCTCAATGCGCAGGTACCGGACGCCCATGGCTTCCAACTCGTCCGCCGACGATCCGTCCGGGTGCTTCTCCCGATCGTCGCCCGATGACGAATCATCGTCTTCGCCGCTCTCGCCGTCCAACCGCAAACCGCCCTCGCTGTAGTCGTGGTCGTCGTTGTCGTTGGTGGTGCTGCTGTCGGGGATGACCGGGATGGCCTTCATCTCGCCGCTCATCGCGCCCTGGGTGTCGACGCGACAGCGGACCACGATACGGCCGTGCTCGGTGTACTTCTGGGCGTTGGTCAGGAGGTTCATGAGCACCTGCTCCACGCGCTTGCGATCGCAGAAGGCCCGGCGCGGCACCGAGCGCTCCACCTCCAATGCCATATCGAGATTCCCTGGAGGACAGACCACACACGAGGATGGGTCAATGATTGTGAGTGTCAATGCGGCCAACCCTCAACGGTAGACTCGGGGCGGTACACTGTGTGTGGTGTGTGTGTGTGTGCGCGCGCGTGTGTACCTTTGTGCCACTCGGTCTTCTTGGCCATCTCGATGGCGATTTGAAGCGTTGATCGGATGTCGAACTCTTCCTTCTTCATCGAGAATTGATGCGTTTCAATCCGCGTGTAGTCGACGATATCGTCAATCTGTATAGCAGTAAGTTTGTTAAAATCTGAGAAATATGCGTGTCGTACACTGTATGAGTGAAGCGAGCTGTGGCGACGTACCACGCGGTGCATGATACTTGTGGCGCGGTGCATGATGGCCATCATGTTCGTGGCAGAGGCACCCGACAAGTCGACTTCCTCTTCCTTCCACTCCGATTGCAGCACTTGCAATCCAGAGATGATGGCCTGCATTCAAAAGAACGAAAGCGTAAAACAACATAGGAGTTAAACTACACATTTTCTTGCTGTCTAAAAAGTTGAGAGTTAGGGGAGGGCGTCATACCTGAAGAGGGTTTCGTATCTCGTGGCTGAGGAAAGCGAGGAATTTGTTTCGTTCGACGGACTTCTTCTTCTGGGAGATGTCGCTGAAGACGGCAGAGAAGTAGCGCTTGCGCTGGAAGATGAAGGACGACAGCGAGAGGTCGATCGACAGCAGTCCGCCGCCCATGCTGCGCGCGTGCGTCGCCACATGCGCGCCCAACATCTTCTGCTGCACCCCGTCGCTGAAGCGCGACCAATCCATCGCCCGCTCCTCGTCATAATAGGGGATCACATCACTAACGACACGCCATCGAGAAATTATCAGCTCTACGATCACTCGCCCTGCGTGCGGTGGTGCGTGTGCGGTGTAACCCGACAGGAATGTGTGGTATGCGGGTGGGAAGGCACCTGAGATGACGGCAGCGAGACAGGAGGGCTCGGCCGCTCCTGTAGCCCAGCATGCGGGCGGCCCCGTTGTTGACGTGTCGCAGACGCAGCTTGGCGTCGAGCACCACCACGCCTTCGCCGACTGAGTCGAGCACCGCGTGGCTGATCTCCCGCGCGTCGAAATCCGCGACGCCCAGCGGCTGCGGGTGGAAGTGGTAGTTCTGTGCTGCTCGGCCCGTCTGGCTTGGCTCGTCTGGAAGTGTTGTTTCGGCTTCGCCCCTCGGTGTAGTCGATTTTGATGTTGACGACGATGCCGGGGTTGTTGGTGCCTCGGTCTTTGTTGCGGGCGTTGAAGAGGAAGAAGATGACGACGAAGAAGATGTTGATGATGGTTGAGACGGCACGCACTCGTAGAGCTGCATGAGGGTGGCCAGCATCGAGAGGAAGCCCTGGAGCCAGGCGGCGTGATGGGGTGCGAACCCACCAGGCCGGTTGGCCAGGGCGAGAAGGCCAATGATGCGGTCGCCCCAGAAGATGGGCACCTCCATAAAGTGGTCGATGTCGGGGTGGCCCGACGGCACCCCGCCGCGGCTGTGGGGGCTGGTCGAAGGATCGTTGCATATGAACGGGGCTCGCGTCCGCCAGCTCATCCCGTAGAGGCGGGGTCCAGTCGACATGTCCTCGAGCGCGAACGTGAAGCCCTCGGGCACCACCAGATCGACCATCTTAGGACTCCACCCGATAGTTGTGATCGCCTTCACCAAGATCTGTGGTGTAGTAGTATAACCTGGTGAGTACTAAGAGATGGGAGGCAAAGGCGTGGATGGCCAGAACGCGCTTAACATGAAATGAAAGGTGTGCCATAGGGGCGCTTGAGCAAGAAGAATGGGTCATTCCATGATGGAGTGCACGTACAGTGAGTTTACCCTCGCGTGGTACGATGCGACCTATGTAGCCGTAGTGGGATGCGGTGACGCGGATGACGCCGTCAAGGAGGGCGTTGAAGGCGGCCCACGAGGAGGCACCCTCGTGATACCGGCGTAAGGCCGTCGCGGCCACGCTCACCAATCTTCGTTCCCATTCCATCTTCATCTTCTGGTGCGCATGTTCTTCCTTTTGTTGTAGATGTTGGTTCCATTGTGTTTCCTCCGTAGGTGGTGGAGGTTCCATCATCGAAGAAAAACCTAATCTTGGGCTACAATGCCCCTCCCTCAACCAGCTGACGCTTCTCTCTCTCTCTTCTGGTGACAACTTTTAAGTTGGCGTCCTCCAGCTCCGTGCGTCGAGGAGGGCAGCGCCACCACACGTCGCGCACTTCAACGAGAGTTGAGGCCTTGCTCCCGTCGTCGCACAGCCGCAACATGTGCTCAACTTCCTGACTGGAATTCCCAAGGAATCGACCAGCAGTCTGACCCTACCCAACCACCAGCGACCCGGAGTTTGTTGCACGTGGAGTTGCCGTGGTTGGCGATCACATGAAACGAGCTCAGCCGTGGATTTTGAGCTGGGTCAGGAGCTCACCCGCGGGACTTGCCTTTCCAAGTCAATTTCAATATCCGGCGGAGTAACTTGCATTTTCTTTTTTCATTTCTGGTTATTTCCTTTCTTTTCATGGGTGAGCGGTGTAACCGAACTTTTACCTAATTTAAGCAGTTTTGGCTCCAGAGAAATTGATGGGGAAAAGATAAGATAACTACTATTGTCACTGCAGGATGCTGGGGCGCAGGGGACTGTTGGCTTCGCGGGGGCCGGCGGCGGCGGTCAGCACGTCATCTAGATTTGTGGGCTTAAGATCCACGCCCCTCGCTTCTCCATCGCCTGCCTGGTCTTTTACTCCAATCTCGGGAAATTTACGGATTGGCACATCGGCCCCGATCTTGAGCCGGTTGCCGCTTCCCAAGACATTAGGCCCTCTCCCCTTAGGGCGCACCCTTTCCGGACTGTACCCACGTCGATGCTATGCGCAAAAGCTGACGCCAGCCGAGGTACTGGCACATATGCAATCAGCCCTCCTGATTAATTCTGCCCCCCTTAACGATTTGTGCATCAAGGTGGCTGCAGAGGAGGCAGCCGCTCGAGGGGCACCCGATCTGTCCAAATTCCCCCCTTCCAAGATCCGCAACTTTTGCATTATTTCACACATCGACCACGGCAAGACAACGATGAGTACTCGCATCATGGAGAAAGCTGGTAATCGATCGCCCTTCATGTCAACAACAGCGACAACAGCACTTTGCCATAGTTTTTACGATGCTCCATCACACCAGGCACGATATCGCTGGACAAGGAGGGGTTGTACCTGGACAAGCTGCAGGTGGAGAAGGAGCGTGGCATCACCGTGCGAGCACACACCACCTCGCTCGTCTACAAGCACAGCGATGGGGAATCCTACCTCCTCAATCTCATCGACACACCAGTAACGCTCCATCTTCCACAGCTTTCCTTTTCAGCCATCGATTGATTGTCTTTGTGGTGTGTGTGTGTGTGTGTGTGTGTGTGTGTGTGGGTCAATGGGCAACAGGGTCATGTGGACTTCACCTATGAAGTGTCGCGTTCCCTGAAGGCCTGCCAGGGTGCCGTGCTGCTGGTCGACTGTACCCAAGGCATTCAAGCTCAGACGGTATACATCGCTGTGTCGTGTCGTGTCGTGTGCCGTTGTATGTATGATGCATGTGCGGCGTCAGCTTAGTAAGCTTTCATTTCGCCCAAAACAGGTAGCCAACTACTTTCTCGCGTGGGAGGCCAACCTCAAGATCATCCCCGTCATGAACAAGATCGATCTGCCCACGTCAGGTACGCCCACGCACCCGTCTTCTGAAAATGTAGCACACCCTAACCCCGTACGCTCCCTCTATTCTCCCTCGGCCCGATGTCTGTCATGCAGATCCGGCGAGGGTGATAAAGGAGCTGGCCAACATGGGATTCGAAGAGTCTGAGGTTCTGAAGGCTTCGGGCAAGACCGGCGAAGGCGTGGAGGGCATTCTCAAGGCGGTGATCGAGCGACTGCCGGCGTACGCTGCCCTCCGCTGCTCCGCTGGATTCACGCGCCTCACCACACACACACACACACACACACTCGTGCCCACATGTGCCCACGCGCGCAACAGACCGTCGGGAGACCCCGCGAAGCCGCTCAAGGCGCTCCTCTTCGAGAACTGGTACGACCAGTTCCGCGGGGTGGTGTGCCTCGTCAACATCCTCGACGGCGCTCTCAAGAAGGGTACCAAAACAACGCACACCTCGACCACTCCACCCTCCTCCCCCCCACAAAGGCCTACCCACGGCAACTTCATCACTCCACTCCACCCCATTCTGTGCTGTGCGTCGCTCACAACTGAGTCAATGACGCGGCGTCATATCAGGGGACCGTATCGTGGCGGCGTCGTCGAACAAGGTGTACGAATTGGAGAACGTGGGCATCCTCTACCCCGAGCGCGCGCCTACCGGAGCCCTGTACGTTGGAGCCCTCCAACCTATACTTTCTATTTATTCTATATTTCAAAATATAACAATACATATCTGTATGATGTTGACATGATGCGACCTCTGACTGTTGCGTCTGTGCGCTGGCAGGTACACGGGCCAGGTGGGATACATCATTGGAGGAATGCGAAGCACGAAGGAGGCCCGCGTGGGCGATACCCTCTACCTTGAGGGCGCGCCGGTGGAGCCGCTCCCCGGTTTCAAATCCGCCAAGCCCATGGTCCGTCCCACACTTCGTCGCTCTATTGCGTGTCGTGTGCTTCGTGCGTGCCGTGTGCGTTGTTCGCTATGCGGCAAGTCTCACGACCTTTCGCCTATTGCAGGTGTTCGCTGGTCTGTATCCGGCGGACGGTGAGTCACTGGACCGGTTGACGGACGCCTTCGAGAAGCTCACCTTGAACGACGCCTCCGTGACCTACACCAAGGAGCGCAGGTTGCACGCACGCACGCAAATGATCATCATCGGCCAACTCACTTTAGACTAAACATGTCTCTGCCGGCAGCGACGCGCTCGGAATGGGCTTCCGGTGCGGATTCCTGGGGCTCCTGCACATGGACGTTTTCCTCCAGCGATTGGAGCAGGTGCCCACTTCCCCTGCCCCCCCCCGGTGCTGTGCGGTGGTGCGGTGGTGCGTGTGCTGATAGTGGACCGGCACACAGGAGTACGGAACCGACGTGATCGCCACCGCGCCGACCGTGCCCTACATCGGTACGCCCCATTGATGCTTTGGGGCTCCAGGGTGCTATTCATATTCCTCTCTTCGGCGCGCGCTCTGATATGTGGACGGCGGCCACGGTTCATGTCACTGTGACGACAGTCACGACGAAGGAGGGCCAGGAGATCGTGGTCAACAATCCGTCGCTGTTCCCCGAGCAGCACGACATCCTCACCTGCACCGAGCCCGTCGCCGAGGCCCGCATCATCGCCCCCAAGGAATACCTCAGTCCTCTGCTCCGCCTCTGCCTCGTACGCTACACTTTTTATATTACATTATATTATCTATATTTTTTTCTATGTTATTTTATTTTCTATTATTTTACCATGTTCATTTATTTATCTATTTTTATTATTTGTTGCAGGAGCGACGAGGCGTCCAGCAGGAGCTGTCGTACATCGATGAGGCGCGGCTGCACCTGCGCTACCGCATCCCGCTGTCGGAGCTCATCACGGACTTCAACGACAGCCTCAAGGCGCTGACGTCGGGCTTCGCCACGTTCGACTACGAGGAGGCCGGCTACGAGGAATCGGAGCTGGTCAAGGTCGACGTGCTGATCAACGGCAAGCCCGTCGAGGCCCTCTCGGCCATCGCCCACCAATCCAAGGGCGTCAACTACGGCAAGGACCTCGTCCAGAAGCTGCGCAAGGTCGTCAAACGGTGCGGACATCATCATCGTCGTCACACACACATACACACAACACACACACTCCCCCCCCCCGCCGCGCACACACACACACACACACAACACGTATACACTAAAAGGATGAGTTGGTTCTGGTGCGCGCAGGCAGTTGTTCCAGGTGGCGATCCAGGCGTCGGTGGACGGTAGGATCGTGGCTCGAGAAACGTACGCGGCTCTCTCTCCCCAGAAAGCTGGGCCTGGCGCAGACCTCTGGGAAGGGGACTCACACCTGTTCGAACCACGTTGGTGTCGCTCATCCGTGCAACAGGCTGCAGGCGCTGCGAAAGGACGTGACGGCCAAGTGCTACGGTGGCGACATCACCCGGAAGCGAAAGCTGCTGGAGAAGCAGAAGGAGGCACGACGCGACCTCCCGCCATGCATCCCCTTCCATGCCACTGACGTCCGCCCTGTGGTGTGTGTCGTGTGTCGTGTGTGTTGTGTCGTGTCGTGTGTGTCGTGTGCTACACACAGGGCAAGAAGAGGATGAAGACCATCGGCAACGTGCAGCTCTCGCAGGATGCCTTCTACAGCATCCTCAAGAAGGGCGACGAGTAAGGAAGGGATCCCCACAGCAAAACAAAGTCACCACCGCCTTCTACGTCGAAAAAGAAATGAAAATATTTTCTTGTGTCAAACGTCTCGGGCAACGGACGAGAGAGCACGATGGTATGATGGTGATGATGTGTTGATGACTTAGTGGCTGAGGTTCTTGAAGAAGTCCTCGCCCTTGTCGTCCACGATCACAAAGGCCGGGAAGTCCTCCACTTCGATGCGCCACACGGCCTCCATGCCCAGCTCGGGGTACTCCAGCACCTCCACCTTCCTGATGCAGTCCTGCGCGAGACGAGCGGCGGGACCACCGATCGAGCCCAGGTAGAAGCCGCCGTACTTCTTGCACGCTGCACCCGCAACACAGAGAGTATTGACAATTAGCGTGTGCGTGTGCGTGTGCGGTGGTGCGTGTGCGTGTTGTGCCGCGGGATATGGCGCACCTTCGGTGACCTGCTTGCTTCGGTTGCCCTTGGCCAGGGTGATCAAGCTGCCGCCGTTCTTCATGAACATGTCCACGTACGAGTCCTGTTGTCGCAGATCTGACCGTCAGCATGCGTGCGGTGCCTTGTTTGCGGCAAGCACACAAGGAAAGAGGCCACGCACCATGCGACCAGCAGTGGTGGGACCGAATGAGCCCGACGCATAACCCTCCGGCGTCTTGGCGGGACCTGCAGGCGCACCATGCGTGAGCGACTGCGAGTGTCGTGTCGTTGGTCGTGCCGTGTCGTGTCGTGTCGTTGTTCGTGCGGTAAGGTTGCGGGAGGTGGGCTAGTACCAGCGTAGTAGATGATGTGGTCCTTGACGTACTGGGGCAGGCCCTGGCCGTTGTCCAGGCGCTCCTTGAGCTTGGCGTGGGCGATGTCCCTCGCCACCACCAGCGTGCCCGAAAGCGACAGGCGCGTCTTGATCGGGTACTTGGACAGCGTCGCCTGAATCTCGCTCATGGGCCTGCGATGCATCGACGCACACGCTGTTAGTGGCTGGCCACACGACACACACAACATACACACGCACACACGACACACGCCAGTGCGGTGGACGGCGTACTTGTTGAGGTCGATGTTGACCACGGTGTCGGAGAGCTTGTCCTCGGTGATCTCCGGCAGGTACTTGGCCGGGTTGGTCTCCAGCTTCTCGAGGAACACGCCCTCGGGCGTGATCTTGCCCACAGCCTGTGCGTCGTGTGGGTCGCGTGCGATCGGTTAGAAGAAAAGTTGACATACTACACGCAACTGGCCAAGCCACTGGGCATTCAAAGGGGCGCACGCACCTGTCGGTCGGCGGAGCACGACACTCCGATGCCGACAGGGCACGACGCGCCGTGGCGCGGAAGGCGGATCACGCGCACGTCGTGGCAGAAGTACTTGCCACCGAACTGCGCACCAATGCTATGCACCGGGAGGAAGGGAATGATCGTGAGCCAAACCGAGCAAGCAATGACGGTGGCGGCGGCGGCGGCGGGTGAGAGGAGCGTCGAACCTGGTCTTCTGGGCGAGTTCGAGGATCTTCTTCTCGAGCTCGAGGTCCCTGAAGGCACGGCCGTGCTTGTTCCCCTCGGTGGGCAGGGTGTCGAGGTACTTGGTGCTGGCCAGCTTGACGGTCTTGAGCGTCGACTCGGCCGACGTGCCTCCGATGACGATCGCCAGATGGTAGGGCGGGCAAGCCGCAGTTCCGAGCGACCTGGTGTCAGCACAACCGCAAGCGAGTGGTCAACACACCATTGCTCCGTGCGTGTGCGTGTGCGTGTGCGGTGGTGCGTGTGGGTGTGTGGTGGCCGAACCTGATGTTCTCGTTGACAAACTTCATGAGGGAGTCGGGGTTGAGGAGGGCCTTGGTCTGCTGGTAGAGGTAGGTCTTGTTGGCGGAGCCGCCGCCCTTGGCGATGAAGTGGAACTTGTAGGCGTTGCCCTCCGACGCGTAGATGTCGATCTGCGCCGGCAGGTTGGTGCCCGTGTTGACCTCCTTGTACATGTCGATCGGCGCCATTTGCGAATACCTGCGCGCGCCGTGTGTCAGCACACACGCATACCGCACGACACGCACGACACACACCGCACGACACACGCGACACGCATTGAATTCTAGTAAAACCTGAGGTTGGTCTGGGTGTAGGTCTGGTAGATGCCCTTGGAGATGGCCGCCTCGTCGTCGCCCGAGGTCCACACGTACTGGCCCTTCTTGGCCATGACGATGGCCGTGCCCGTGTCCTGGCAGCTGGGCAGGATCATGCCTGCACGTGTCGTTGGTTGTGTCGTTGGTCGTGTCGTGTCTCCGGTTAGCGGGTTGGCGAGGACCATCGGTCGACGTCGCGAGGCGCACCCGAAGCGATGTTGGCGTTCTTGAGGAGCTCGAGGGCCACAAAGCGGTCGTTGTCGGAGGCCTCCGGGTCCTTGAGGATGCTGTTCAGCTGCTCCAGGTGGCCCGGCCTGCGCTTGCGGGAAAGAAGGAGGAGATGATGATGATGAAGAAGACGAAGACGAAGACGAGAGTGAACGATTGTCAGCGCGTCTGATGGTCTGTCGGCCCAAAGAAAAGAAGGCGAGGCGAGGTGAGGTGGAGAGGAGAGCGAACCGAAGGAGGTGGGAAATGTCGCGCATGGCCTCGAAGGTGAGGCGCTCGATGGCCTCATCTTCGACGTGCAGGATCTCGCGTCCGGCGACCTTCTCGGTCCTGATCAGCCCGCTCTCCGGCCCGAACAGCTTCCTGGCTCAAGCCACACCAACATCCCTCATGCATTCAATCATTCATCATCAGGGTTCGCTCCTTCTATACGAGCAATTTAATTTTCCCGATTTCTCTCATCGAGCGAGCGCGTAGCGGAAATCGACCGGGAGGGGATTTACCTGTAGGGGGTGGCAGAGAAGGGATCGGCCTGGAAGAGGGGTTCGAATTCGAATGCCGGGGGCGTGCTCTTCTTGGCCGGGGCCGCGGTGGCCAGGGCGCGCAAGCCGATGAGACGGCCCGGACCCGCAGCGGCGAAGCAGGCCGGGAATCGAGCCGCGATCGAGGACAAGAGGGGCTGCAGGCGGCGCATGATTCGATCCTTTGTTCGAATTCAACAATAACCACAAAAAGAAAATGTTAATCATAAGAAAAGCCGAGTCGGTTTGAATTTCGATTCGCCAAAAAATATCACAAATAAAAAATTAAGTTCGCCCCAGGGGCCCCTTGACCTTATCTTGCAAAGTTTGAAGGCAAGCTGGGTGTGGGAGCTCTCTGGGTCACAAGCCCCCCAGTAATGACCATTTCCTCGTCCACTTGATGCCGACTCCTCCCCCCTCCCCTACCCGCCGCGGCCTCTTCGTCTTCGTCGTCATCGTCACCGCCTTCTCTTTCGCTCTTTCAAATGTATCATCAGCCGCCCCCTACACATCATCGTCATCGTCGTCATCTCCACCAACCGTGGAGTCGGCCCACTTCAGCACGCGACGAGCCACCATTGTCGGGCGGTATGGCGGCACGGTCGTGAGCGAAAACTATCAATTCCTCGATGTGACCTTCTCCGAGCCCATGTACGCCCGCGTCGATAATCTTCTCTGCCCGGCCTCTGCCGATGCGAGCACCGGGCGGGCTTCGCCCCGTTGCGCCGCCACCTCATCCGATGGGGGCGCCTCCTGCGGCAACTTCACATCATCATCCAGCTGCCTCGACTCGTCAAGTCACACCTGTCTAGTCGCAGGCCAAGGTTCAGCCCACGCGCCCACAAATCCATCTTGCACACATCTTTTTGTAACTGCACTTATTTTATTTATTTCCAATTATTCCTTTTTTGATGTTTATGTGGATTTGTTTTATTTACTTGTTCTGCACATTTATTTTTATTTTTATTTGTTTGTTTGTTTGTTTAGCTCCGGTGCGGGTGAGCGCGGAGGACTACACGTGGAATTTTTTCTCGATCGCGATGCCGTCGTGCAGCAGCGTCCTCGTCTACGTGCGCCCGATCAGCGGCGATCCCGACCTCTTTCTCAGCCAGACCGCCGCCTACCCCACCTATGCCGACTACACATGGTACCCGCCACCGCCAAGGCACACGCACCATCGCTGCCCATGTTTGACTCATCTGTCGCGTGTGTCGTTGGTCGTGTCGTTGGTCGTGTCGTGTCGTTGGTCGTGTCGTTGGTCGTGTCGTTGGTCGTGTCGTGTCGTGTCGTGTCGTGTCGTGTCGTGTGTCGTGTGTCGTGTGTCGTGTGTCGTGTGCGGTCAACAGGTACTCCGTCATGGAGACCAACCTGGCACCGGAGTGGTACGCGTTCTGCTGCGGGACGGCCCTGTACACCTCCGGCGATCGGCTGTACGCCGGCGTCTACGCCTACACGGGGACCGTCTACGATATCTTCATTCGCGGTACCCATCATCATCACCACCATCACCGTCGTCACCGTCATCATCGCCATCGCCTGAGGCGCAGTACTGTGTTTAACAACTTTTCTCGGTCGCCCGCTAGACATTTCCGACCCGCTGCCGATCACCGACTTCTTTCCCTTTTGTACGTCGTCGCACCCCCCCCCCCCAAAACTGCTTTGGACCTTCTAAATTTTTAACTCCTATTTGGCTCCCTGGCCCGGCGGGAAAACAGCCAACATGCGGTTGCAATGCAAGCGGGGGAGCGAGACGTACGAGTGCGAGACGCAGAATCCGGACCCTGCCGTCACCCCGTGCAACATCCGCCAGGCCTTCCCCGCAATCGACGAGAACTACTCGCGACTCGCCTCCGACAGCAATCCACTGTACTCCCTCTCTCCCTTTGCCGCACGACACACGCGACACGCACACGGCACACACGACGCACGACACGCACGGCACACACTAATTGCGCCTCCTCGTGGCTGGAAGGGTGACCGACCACGATTTTGAGGCGGTGGAGGGCCTCTGGCTGGGGTACCAGGTGATCAGCCAGACGCCAATCACCGGCGGCTCCACCGTCTTCTTCTCCTACAATATCTCCTCGCAGTGCAACGCCTCCTTCACCAATCTCTACCCCGCCAACGCCACCATTTTCATCGATACCAACACCAACAGCAGCACCAAGGTGCGCGCGTCTGCCTTCCGCGTGTCGTGCGTGTGTGTCGTGCGTGACTGACTTTCGTGCTTCACATTGTTGTGCGCGCAGCCGGTGCACGACACCTTCAATTTTCGCCCTCCGACCCACAATGCGAAGAGGCGGCGTTCAACCGCGCCGCGGCGCGCATCAACGAGCTCGGCAACCTCTACAACAACGTCTCCTCCTTCGGCGAATTCTCCAAAATCCAGGGCGCCGCCAAGGACTACGTTACCAGGTGCGTGTGCGACCATTGCACCGTGTGTGTGTGTGTGTGTTTGTGTGTGTGTTTGTGGTGTGTGTGAGTGTGAGTGAGTGTGTTTTGATAACAATATGTTTGTATGGATGGAATTTGCAGTGACGCGTGGTTCGGGTGTATGCGGCTGGCCAACAACTTCCTCGATATCTATTCGACGACGACCGTCACCGAAACCACCACGCGCTGCTCTCGCCCACAAAACGACCCCGAGTTCGACTCCGATCCCTGCTGCAATCCTCAGTACTGATCACCCCTCGCTTTACTCTCTCTCCTGTGTGTAGTGCGCTCACCGCACGCACGCACGCACGCACGCACGCACCACCGTACTCGCACAGAGCGACGTTCGAGAACAACTGCGTGCCCGGAGTGCAGAAGTACCAGGCGCGCACGTACTCGCCGAGGAAGGAGGCCGTGGAGGAACTCTGCGAGGAGGTGCCCGGGTGCATCTACCTCTCGCTGAGCGACTACTCGCGCTTCCGCAAGCGAGAGGACGATCCCACCCGCAGCTGCGCTTCGCTCACCCAAGACGCACGTGCTCCTCTTCGTGTGTCGTGTGTGCGTGTGTGCGTGTGTGGTGTGCTGACGGTGAACGTTGTGCAGTCGATCAACGATCTGGGCGCGATCCCAAATTTGGGGCTCGACTTCGATTGCATGGCGCGCACGTCGGGTGTGTACTGCTATGGCACCTCCCTTAACGACTGCGGACAGACCAACCAAGTCTGCTCCATCTTCCATCGGTAACCTTAACTGACACCGCCACTTTAAGTATCACCAAGCGCCACCTTAACTGACACATCGGGGCCGAAACGCACAACGCAGATGCACGCGGTCGTGCGTCGTGGACTCTGACTGTGCGGACGGACAGACGTGCCAGTGGGGTTTCTGCGAGACGCCCTACGACAATGCCGAACAGATTGACCTCTCCACCAAGGTAACACACGCACACGCACACGCACACGCACACGCGCACGCACACGCACACGCGCACACACACACAACTGAGCGACTCATGGTGTTGCTCGGCGCGACAGTGTATGGTGAGTTTGATGGACAAGCCGCTCGATAACTACCTCCGGACCCTTTGGAACCTGTCGACATCGGCCTCCATCGACACTTTCCACTCCGTCTTTCGCAAAGAGCTTGCCCGAGGTAACGCACACGCGCACGCGCACGCACCATGTGCGACATACAGCACTCGGAGTTAAAATGAGGCTAATGGACTGCACAGACAAATGCCGAGGTGGACCGGAGATCGACGACTACGCCGAGGCCGACTCAGCTTCCGTCTGCCTCAGCACCAAATCCTGCAACTGGGGCGCCTGCATGGTCTATCCCGTCTCCTCAGCCGACCGGTGCGCAAAACACACGACACACACGACACACACGACACACACGACACACACGACACACACGACACACACGACACACACGACACACACGACACACACGACACACACGACACACACGACACACACGACACACACGACACAGTTGGCCGACTGTCGATGTGTTTTGTAGGTCGGGATGCGAGGCTGCGTGCCTGAACAAACGTCCACCGTTTGGACCCGACACCGAGGACCACTTCTGCGGCGTCTGCCAGAGCAACTACTCCGATTCCTGCTTCGAGGTACCCCGTGCCGTGCTGGCACATCTTGAATTTTTGCGCAGTTCTAATCGTGTGTGTGTGTCGTGTGTGTCGTGTGTGCGGTGGTGCGCGTGCGGCGACAGATTTCGGAGTGGGAGGGCTGCTACGTGCGGGACCCGGACATCTTCAACCTGGGCTGTGATGCGATCGGGGCCTTCTCCAACGACATCGAGTTTGAGTGCGTGTACAACGCCACACAGATGCCCACCGTCAACGCCTGTCTCGACTCGACCTACTGTCCCTATGTCCGCGAAGAAGTGCGTCTTCCACACACGCACGGACACACCGCACACTTACCGATCATCGTTGCTTGGCTTCAGCGAGGGCTCTATGGCTCAGTGCGCACCGTGTGCGACGGCTACTGCTACGATCAAACCCTCACCAGCGAATTCGAGTGCCTCTCCGAGTGCTCGCCCACCCACCAGAACTGCTGGTACGTGGTCGCGGTCGTGTGCGTGTGCGGTCGTGCGTGTGCGGCACGCGGTGATGGCGATAACCAAGTGACGCCGCTTGGTTGGCTGTTTGGCCCAATACAACAGGTGGACCGGCACGGTATGTCGGGTGCACGACTACATGGACGCGCCGTCGTGCCTGGCCTCCGGGGCCTCGTGGTGGGCCACCCGCGTATGGAAGCAGGGCGCCCTCCAGACTCAAACCGAATGCGAAGCCGGCTACTGCTACCCTCATCTCGGCCTGTATCAGGTAGGCGGTGTGTGCGGTGTGTGCGGTGTGTGCGGTGTGTGCGGTGTGTGCGGTGTGTGCGGTGTGTGCGGTGGCTTACCGTAACATTCTAGGCTGCGTGTGAGGCGAAGGGGTACTGCACGGCCTCGTGCCCGGCCAACGTCGGCGGCGCGTGCACGAACGAAACCGAGTGCGCCCAAGCGGGCTTCTGCTCCGACGCCAGGGAGCTCACCCACCCCGACCCCACCGTGTACCGCACTCAACTCCCTCGTTCCCCCCCCCATCCGCCCCGCTTCTCACATGCGTGCGTGTCGTGTCGTTGGTCATGTCGTGTGCGATGGTGTGTGTCGCGTGTGTTGTGTGTCGTGTCGACAGTGATGGAGTGTGTGTATATAGTTTCAAAGTGGACGAAGCGGGCCTGCCGGGCTGCCCCAACTACACCTTCCAGGGGCGCAAGGGCTGCATCGACTACACCATCACCAACACGTCGGCCTGCCTCAGCCTCGTCCTCCCCTACCCCGGCACCACCTCTTGGCAGCGCCCTGCAAGAAACCAAAGCGAATGCGAGGCTCACGGTACACGAACACGCACACGCACACGCGACACGACACACGCACACGCGACACGACACGCGCGCACATGACACGGGACACGCTGATGCGTGGTGTGTGGTGCAGGGATGGGGTGCTACGAGATCCGGTACACGCGGTTGTATTCGTTCATCGGGTACCCGGGCGATGTGTTCCTGAGTCCCAAGAACAGCACCAGCTGCACCGCCGTCGGCGGCACCCCCACGCCCTACTACGACTGGCACTCGGGCACCTGGGTCTCCGGTACGCGCGTGTGTCGTGCGTATCGTGCGGCGTGTGCCATGCGTGTCGTGTCGTGTGCTGATGCGGTGCTATGTGTGTGCGCAGGTGGGAAGTGGAAGCCACTGCAGTGGAAGCAGCGCGAGTGGCTGTCGCTGAACAGGGAGGTGGTGCAGGACTTCAGCTACGAGGAGTGGTACTACGCGCTCTACCCGGAGGCCTACGTCGAACTATACTTCCCGCTGCTCAAGTCCGACCAGTACTGCCGGTACAACCGCATCATCGACGTCCTGTCCAAGATCGCCTGCTCGTGCAAAGCCCCCGACGCGTCTGTGGGGAAGACGGCCACCATCACCAACGCCTCGCCGTGCACGCTCGAACCCCAGATCCTCGTCGGCGTCTCCACCCTCTGCACAGGCTTCGACTTCGAACTCGACGTGCGCCTTCTTTCGTTCTTCGCTCTTTCTCTTCGCTTTTCGCTTTCGCTCTTCGCTCTTTCGGAGTGAAAATATCGGAGTTATTCATGCGCGCTTGAATGTAGGCTTCGCCGGTGGGGCGGCTGTACATTGACAAGGACGTGGAGATCACGCCCAAGTGCGTCGAGGGCCGCGTCTTCTCGATCAGTTCGTCCCAGCTCCAGCGCAACGATCCCAAGTTCTTCTTCTCCGACATCTACGTCCGCACGTTGGCCTCACTCCCCTCCAACTACTCCATCATCGAGGTGCGTGTGCGGTCGTGTGTGTGCGGTGGCGCGTGTGCGTGTGCGTGTTGTGCAGTATGCTGATGGTTGTGCGCAGAACGAACACGATGTGGTGGTGGGCCAGTTGATCGGCGACGGCGCACAATTCCTGTTCTTCGACACGCGCACAGTGGACAAGCCCAGCGGTGCCATCCTCAACGCCTATAAAGGCAACATCACCATCTGCCTCTTCAAGCGCCCCGACATCGCCCTCGAGCCCCGCTTCAACCGCTTCGGCTTCGTCGCCGCGTACGCCGCACGCCACACACACACCTACGACGTGACACACACACACACACGCCTACGACGTGACACGCCACACACACGACACGACACGACACGCCACACGACATGACACGACACGACACGACCAACGACACGACACGACATGCTGACGCGATGACACAACACGCGCAGTGCAAAGGACTTGAGCATGTTTGAGATTCAGAGTTGGAAGGTGTGGACGAGGAGGGAGGGCACCGATATGCTGGTGTGCGGGCAGCTGCCCTACCCGCTGCCCGTCTCCGACCGGTCGGCCGTCTTTCCGATCTGGTACGCCGACGAGGGCTGGGAGGACACCACCTTCTACTCGAGCCAGCCGGTCGAGACCGTCTTCTTCTTCTACTTCGCCGTCGGGCTCTACGCGCTCGTGCTCATCGCCAACACCATCATCACCTCCCTCCTCATCATCGACTACAAGGTATTTATTTTACATTATTATTATTATTGATATTATGTTTTAGTATTATTGATTCATTTATTTGTTTATTGTTGACTTTTATCGTTTGTAGGAGGAAGTGGGGCGGATACGGGAGTCGTTGTCGGACACGAGGTGGCACAAGGCCTGGCGCATGTTCATCGACTTCTTCGACATGCCCCGCCTCATCCACTTCCTCATCGAAATCATCACCATCGGTGCGCCTCTCCACTCCGACCGCACACGACACGACACACGCGCACACACCCCGACCGCACACGACACACGCTAATGATGGCGGGGTGCAGACCGCATAGTGTACTTTTCGATGCTGCCGACGGGGGTGCTCAACGACCAGCCGGCGGTGGTGTACATCCTCCTGGGCGAGGTCCCCATCTACCTCTTCTTCTCCATCTACACCGCCCTCGTCTCCTTCTGGTACTTTCCCTCCGTGTGTGTCGTGTCGTGTCGTGCGCGGTGTGTGCGGTGCTTACCACACACGCGTGTGTCATTGGTCGTTGGTCGTGTGCGGGTGTAGGGTGGAACTGGTGCACTTCCGGTTGGGGCTGAAGCGGAGCCAGCGGAGCATCGTGAAGCGGATCAAGATGGTGTTCCTCGGGGCCAACATCTTCATGTACTGCCTCCTCATCGCCCTCATCATCGTCTTCTCCATCCTCGAACACTACGCACCCTCCAGCATGGTACACTTGGCCCTCTCTCTTTTGTCGTGTCACATCGTGCGTGCGGTGCGTGTCGTGTCGTGTGTGCGGTGCGTGCGGTGCGTGTCGTGTCGTGTGTGCGGTGGTGCGTGTGCTGAGGCGAGTGTTGTGCGCAGAACACGTGCGAGGAGAGCGGGTTCCTGGACGGGGGCGACGCGAACGACTTCCAGACGGCGCGTCAGGTGCTGTTCATCTTCTACCAGTGCGTGGTGGTGCTGATGGCGCTGGCGATCTCCCTCGGCTTTCTCGTCTACGGCACCCGCCTCGTGCTCGTGCTCTATCGCACCGAGGCCGTCAACAGCAAATTCTCCAAACTGCGCCGCTCCAAAACCATCAAGGTCCGTATCGCGTGTGTCGTGTGTCGTGTGTGTCATGTGTGTCGTGCGTGGGCTGACACGAAGTACGCAGTTCATCGTCGTGATGCTGGTGTGCACGGTCTCGCTGGTGATGCTGTGCGGATTTCTGCTCTACGCGGCGGCGTCGGAGACGGTCGACGCCATCGCCGCCATCGTCTTCATCATCCTCGCCGAGATCCTGCCCCTCACCCTCCTCACCTTTTCCGTCGGTAAATCCGTACGTCTCCCCTAGACACGCGTGCGGTCGTGCGGTCGTGCGGCGTGTGCGGTCGTGTGGCGTGTGCGGTCGGGCGTGTGCGGTCGGGCGTGTGCGATCGTGTGTGGCTGACGCGAAGTACAGGTGCCGACGCTGTTGTCGTGCTGCGGGCGACTCGACAGGAACCCGACGACGAGCTCGTCGGGCAAGAAGGAGGAGTCCAGAGACCCGGGGCGGGAGGCCGAGCAGCAATGCGGCGACGGCGACCAGGGCGGGCTCGGCGTCGTCGAAATGGACCACCGCGACGACAACGACGACGACACCAGCGAAGACGACGACGACGGGCAACAAGTGGAGATGCAACCCACGCGACACGAGCCCAAGGAGGACAGAGTTGAGAGCGACGAGGTCAAAATGTAAAACAATATAAAAGACCGTGTGCGCACACGACACACGACACACGCGCGCATGTGTGGCAGAGTCATTGCATTGGGTGGAAGTAGAAGTGGCCGACGTTGTGTTGGAGCTGCGGGGCGGGGGCCGGGTTGGTCTTGGGTCGGATGGTGTCGATGCCGTGCATGAAGGGCACCAGCGGCCGCGGCACCTTCACCGTCCCGTCGGCCGTCTGGTGGTTCTCCAGAATGGCCAGGATCGTGCGCGGCACCGCACACCCCGTTCCGTTCACCGTGTGCACAAAGTCGCGCCGACGACCGCTCGCTGCACCACACACGACATGGCATTAGCACGCATGCGTGTGTGCGGTGTGTGTGCGGTGTGTGTGTGTGCGTGTGTGTGCGGTCGTACGATCGTCCTTGGGGTAGCAGATGTTGAGGCGGCGGGACTGGTAGTCGGTGCAGTTGGAGGCCGAGGAGACCTCGCCGTAGGACCCGCGCCCCGGCATCCACGCCTCGATGTCGTACTTGCGGTAGGCCGGCGCGCCCAGCTCCTCCGTCGGCATGTCCAACACCCGGTAGTGCAGACCCAGCTCGCTGGTATGTGCCGTTGTGGGTGTGCGGTTGTGCGTGTTTATCGTGTTGCGTGCGTGTGCGTGTGCGGTGATGTAAGCGAGTGCGGCGATGAGATTGAGGTGGTACGTGGCGGCGGCGGTACGTGAAGATCTCCTGCTGGAGCTGGACGATGGACTCGAGCACGTCGTCGGACTGTTCGGGGGCGGTCAGCGCAAAGAGCTCCACCTTGGAGAACTGGTGCAGCCGGTACAGCCCTCGATCACGCAGACCCTGATTCCGACTCAAGCGCGTGAGACGACCCGACACACGCGCACGACGCACACGACACGACACGACACGCAATGAGCAGGTGCGGTGGTACCGTCCCGCCGGCCTCAGCGCGGAAGCAGTGCGAGAAGGCGACCATGCGCACGGGCAGGGACTCAGGCGGGAGCGCGCACATCTGGTAGTAGCCCGCCAGCGCCAGCTCCGACGTGGCGACCAAGCACAAGTCACTCCCCTCAATGCTGTAGGTCTGCATTGTCATGAGCGCGTGCGTTGTGTGTCGTGTGTGTCGTGTGTGTTGTGTGTGTTGTGTGCGGCGTGAGTGTGGGCAAGCGCGTTGATGGCGGCGATGGCGGGTGAGACCTGGGTGCCGGTGCCGCGGGGCTGGAAGCCGCAGCCCTCGGCGGTGACGGGGCGCACGACGTCGGGGGTGAGCACGGGGGTGAAGCCCCGGGCGGCGGCCTTGCCCATCACCCACTGCACCAGGGCCAGCTCCATCAGCGCCGCCTCGTTCCGGAAGAATACAAAGTTGTTGCCCGCCACCCGCGACCCTGCCTCGAAGTTGGCCTGCGCGCACCACACTCGCCGTCAGCCACCGCACACGCACACACACGCACACACGCACACACGGCACACGCACGAGATCGAGGCGTTGGCAGAGGGTGACGTGGTCGACGGGTTCGAAGCCAAAGTCAGCGGCGTGCTGCTTCTTGGCGGGTCCGCCGTGGCACACGACGCGGGCCTGGTCCTCGCTGCCGTGGGGCACGGCCGGGTGGCACACGTTGGGTATGCGCTTGGCCTCGCGGTAGAGCTCGGCCTCGACCTCCTTGACCTCCTTCTCGGCGGCGTGGAGCTGCTCTCTGAGCTCCTTGCCCTGGGCAACGAGCCGCTCCACGTCTGCATCATTGCCATCTCCACCCTTCAGACTCTTGTTGTTCATCTTCTTCTTGAGCTGCTTGAGCTCATCTGTCACTCGATTCCGCTGAGCGCGCATCTGCTGGATCTCGAAATCGAGGCGCACGAATCGGTCGTGGAGGGCAACGGTTCGGTGGATGTCTGCACCCTCGATCTTGCGTGCCCGGATGCTGGTCGCCAATTCATCCGCATGCTCCTTCATCCATTTGAGATCGAGATGTCGGAACAAATACTCTGGCTGCTGCGGCGTGTGGTGGGATGCCATCGGCGTCTCATCTGCTCCGGAGGCGGCAGCCTGTCCTGCAAAGAAGCGAGCTGTTCGTGATGCCGATAGCCCAGCCCAGGAGGCGGGGCACAAGGGCACCACGCCAGCAGAGCGGGTCCTTCGGGCCAGGCCCGAGAAGCCCTTGCTCAGCCGCTTCATCTTTTTTCTAATGGAAGCCCGGATTATTGATTTAATCAGCTTCGCCATTGTCCAGGGCAACAAAAAGAGCGAAGGGGACGCCCGGGTTTGAACCGGGGACCTGACGATCTGCAGTCGCCTGCTCTACCACTGAGCTACATCCCCCTGTATGTATGCTGACCTGCTTCAGATATAACATCTGGGCTATTGCGCTCGCCCTTGTTATTTGCGTTGTTGGCTTTGCCAGAGTTCATCGTAAAATCACAAGAGAGATGAGCAAAGTGTATGACCTTTCCTCTTCTTCATCTTTGGATGATGCTCACTGTGCATTATAATGTGTTGGTGATGGGCTATGAAGCAAGGGTGTGGTGTCGGTTTCATCGGGGGCCGTCGTGCCGAAAGATTGCACGCTGGAGGGCAACATACACATAGGCGAGGGCACCGTGCTTCATCCGCGCTGCAAAATCATCGCGGAGAAGGGCAGCATCACTATCGGCAAGTACAACATCATCGAGGAGCACTCCACCATCGTCAACTCGCATGGTACTCCACAATTTAACCATTGTTTTTTAACCACGAAAGTGCACCTCGCTAAGCCAGCTGGCTCTGCAGAGGACGTGATGCGGATCGGCAACTTCAACCTCATCGAAGTCGGCGCTCGTAACCTTCCCTTCTTCCCTTTCTCGCCCGCACGCGGCTGACCCATGTCTTGCTGCGCCTCACAGAGGTGAACTCCCGACGGATAGGCGACCGAAACACGATCGAGATCCGCTGTTCGTCTCTCATTCCTCTGCGTGTGCGGTGGTGCGTGTGCGTGTCGTCCAGTGCGCGCACTTACCCGTCCCGTGCGATCGGATTGTTGCAGCGGTGCTGGGCGAGGGCACGGTGGTGGGCAACGACTGCGTGGTGGGCACCGGCGTGAAGCTGCCGCCCAACGATGTCCTGCCCGACTCGGTGGTGGTCCACGCCCCGCGCAACAGCCGGCGAACACTCTCCGATACCAAGGAGGTCGGAGAGAAGCCCCTCTACCCCACCACCACCATCTTGGCTCATAATATCAAACTCACCGCCGTGACGTGCGTGTGCGTGTGCGTATCATCGTGGTGTGTGGTGTGTGCCTGCAGGCGCACATGGGTCTGCACACGCGACACCAACAACTGCTCGCTGCAACGCTGCCCAAGTTCCATCCTCTTCTCAAGCCCAACGTCGCAGGTTCACCGTCCACCGCAACGCGGGCGGCCGGCACCACGGCCGCAAGCTGATCACCGTGACCGTCCACCCCACACCACCACGACGACGACGACGACAATGATGATGATAGAGAAGCGCACGACAAGAGAAATGTACATTGGTGCTGTTTTATTACTTGCTGCGGAGGACACTCGCCTTGAACTTGTTTCGGATGGCGACCACGAACTTGGTGAGGTCTCCTCCGTTGCCGTTCAGTGCCTCCACCATCGCCGCCAGACCGTCCACCGGTGGCTTACACTCCTCCACTGCGAGTGAACAAGAAGAAGAGGAGGAAGAGAAAGAACGCAATGTCAGCAGAGATAGACAAGAGGAGGAAGAGGTAGAAGAAGACAGCAAAGGGAAGACGCACGCACCGTGATAGCGGTCTGAGGAATCGAGGTGCAGATCAAAGGAGAACTGGCGCATAGGGTGGTTGGGGTCGATGTAGACGAAGATGAACCTCATGTGATTGATCCCCACCCGCTGCAGCTCGAGGCCTAGCCGCTCGCGGTACCGATTGACGTCCTGCGCGAGGGCCTGCAGGCTCTGCGCGTGCTCCCTCTGTCGCTCGGCCAACTGTCGGTCCTGCGTCACGAGCTTCTGGTGCTGCTTCTCGACTTCCCGCTTCCTCTGCTCCAACTCTTGGGGCAGGAGGTTCTCCTTGTCGCGCAACTTCTTTATCATCTGCTGCAATCGCTTGAGCTCGCGCTCCTCATCGGCCAGCTCTGAGATCGCAAAGACGAATGAAAGGTGGCGCTTAGCGAAGAAGGAGATAAGAAGGGGGGGGGGGGAGAAGCGTACCTTGGCGCACGCTCTTTTCCGTTGATTCAGCAGATTTCATCTGTTGATGAAGGGAAGCAACCTCTCCTGAAGAAGAGCGATAAGGTCAGTAGCGATTTGGTATCAGAATGCGAGGAGCAAAGCATACCAGTGTACTTGGCCGTCGCATTTTGGTGCTTCTTTTTGATGTCCTCGACATTTCGAACTCGCTCTTGCATCCATTTCTGCAGCTCCTGTCTTGCCTTATCCATCTCGTCCACCACCTCCGAGCTATGCAAGTTCTGCATCATCATCATCGGCTCTTTCTCAACGATCGCACCTCGTAGATGTGCCCGCCGTTTCCCGCCAAAAGCAGTTCTGCTCCTGTTTCCCGCCAAAAGTGTATCCTGGCTACGCTCTTGTCACCTGTCGGCAAAAACAGAAAATGAACCTGCTGACGTGGCCGAGCACAAGTGGTTGAGGTTTTTTTGGTGGCCTTTGTTTTTTTGGAGTCCGTTGCGACCAGGTACTTTCGTTTGTTGAAGTGTTGGTGCGATGGCGCAGTGGAAGGTCAATTTCGACGATTTGGATCTCGGGGAGCGAATTGGCAAGGGTAATTTTGGAGAGGTGTACAAGGGAACCTACTTGGGCACTGATGTCGCCATCAAGAAGCTCTTCTTTGTCGATGACGATTTCATGCAGAAGTACATCGAAAGAGAAATGGACACACTCACGTACGAACTCCATTAGACTACCTTCTCCCTCCTTCTGTTATTCATCATCATTTCCTTTGCTCTTTCTTCCCTAGGGGCCTTTCCCATCCCAACATCGTGCAGCTGATGGGCCTCTGTATCGAAACGGACGACATGTACATCATTACTGAGTTCATTACTGGCGGCGATCTCCGGTCCAAGCTGAAGGACAAGTCAGTGGAGATGGACTGGAAGCTGCGCGTGGGTAAGCACTCACCTCACATTTCCTTATTTAGTGCTCGAATTAACCATTTCGATCGCTTGGCTGGGTGAAGAGGTGCTCAGGGATATCGCCCTCGCGATGAACTACTTGCACTCCAAGAGCATCATGCACAGAGATTTGAAGTCGCACAATCTTCTGGTACGCTCCCCCCTTTTTTCCACATTCTTAGCCATCCGCTTTACCAGTTTCGAGATTGCCGTTTTCTCACTCGCTTTCGCTTCTGCCTCAAGGTGGGTGAAAACTGGAAGGTGAAGGTGTGCGACTTTGGTCTTGCGCGCTCGGCTCCTACCGAGGGAGAGGAAGCCAACCACCTCATGACCATTGTCGGAACCAACGAGTGGTCCGTTCCTCGTGCTTTCTTCTTCTACTTCTACTTCATTCCGTTTTCTTATGAAGGCCGTTCACGTGAAAGATGTTGTTGTTGAAAGATTGACCTTTCACCTTTCCCCTCCGCAGGATGGCGCCCGAGGTTGCCATGGGCGAGAGCTACGACAAGTCTGCCGACGTCTTCTCGTTTGGCATGGTCATCTACGAGCTGATCACCCGCGACAAGCCTCCCATGCGCAAGCTCAAGGACTGCTACGCTTTCAACGGCGACGACCACGCCGGTGCGTTCCTCCTGTAATCTTGTTCTCTTCTTCTCTTCTTCTTGCGGCTGACCTTCTTCTTCTTCTCTTCTCATCCATGATCAGGCAACATTCCGAGCGACACGCCCCCCGCGCTGTGGGATCTGCTCCTTCTGTGCGCCGCTCGGGACCCGCAGGACAGGCCCGACTTCAAGAAGGTGGTCGATTCCCTGAAGACCATCCTCGAGAACCTCCCGGCCAAGGCCGTGAAGAAGTCGACCGACTCGGGCAAGAAGAAGTCGACGAAGAAGGCCGCCACCGCCGACAAGGAGGAGGACGGCGAGAAGAAGAAGAAAAAGAAGAAGAAGACCACCGCCGAGAGCGCCGAGAAGGAGGAGGATGGCGAGAAGAAGAAGAAAAAGAAGAAGAAGACCACCACCGAGGGCGCCGAGAAGAAGGAGGAGGACGGCGAGAAGAAGAAGAAAAAGAAGAAGAAGACCACTACCGAGGGCGCTGATGGCGAAAAGAAGAAGAAGAAGTCAACTAAGAAGGACGACGAGAATGGCGAAAAGAAGAAGAAGAAGTCGACGAAGAAGGCCGAGTAAGAGCTTCTCTCTTCTCAACAAGCCACCAGCCAACGTTGTAACGCCAACGCCAACTGACCTCTCGTTGAGCTTTTAGGCGTGCGCTGAGGCTGGTGGTCAACCTCTCTCGCACCACCTCCTTCTCTTCTCCTCCACTCGTAGCACCAACCCTTCTCGACCAAGCGTATTTATCTGCTCCCTACTACACCTATGCCATCATGTATCATTCTCCTCTTGCGCCCAATAATAATTCTCTTCAACACCCGCACATGCACAACATGTTACTATCGCACACACCGCACACACACAAGGAAAATAATAAAAAAAAAAAAGAAAAGTACCAAACAAGATAAATAAATGTGGCGGAGCAGGACATCAGCTGCCGTGCAGCGTGGGCTCTTCGTCGGCTCTCCGGGCCGTGGAGCCACCGCGGCGCCGCGATCGATTTCGCTTTGGGATGGAGAACGGCGCCGATCCCTTTGCACGAAGATTAGATTGGGAGCAGATTCGCGATTTCCTCCATCTTCATTGCTGTTGAATATTTGCAGCTGGCGCCGACCGACGAGTGCAGCACGATTGGGGCACGCCACAAGGTCCTACGGTCGCATCGCCGAGAGCGGGCAGAGCCGAGCGCAGTCGGTCGTGGAAGAGACCGACAACGACGAGGATGAGGACGACAGCGAGTGGGACAGCGAAGATGAGGATGTCGAAGATGACGATGCCCATCAAGCTGCGCAGCAAAAGAGCGGCAAGCCTAACGTGGCAGCTGCCAACTCACGGCCGCGCAAGCAGGACACCGAGTGGCTGCCGCCCCGTACGTTCCTCGTGTGTGTGGTCAGTGTGTGTCGTGTGTGTGCGTGTGCTGACCGATGCATGTGTATGTAGAGGAGTTTAAGCAGCAAAGGCTGGAGAGCGAACTCGAAGCACTCCACGAGCGCCTGCTGGACGCGCAGCGAATCGACGCCGACCACTTGTCACGTTTGGCCCACCAGCGGTACCGTCCCTCTGCGCAGCTGCGTAGCCACGCGCCATGGCATGACCAAAACTGATGGCGTTCCCCTTCTGCTGCTGCTTCTGCTGGCGAACCTTATGATGATCGATTCAGGTGCCTTCTGGTGAAAGACCCCGATGACGGTGTGCTGCAGTACATCTGGGACCTGGCCAAAGTGGTACTCAGTCCTATGTTGATACGCACGACACGCCCAACGACACGACACGACACGACACGACACGACACGACACGACACGACACGACACGACACGACACGACACGACAGATGGGACCTGATCTCACCAACGCATTCGAACAGGGTCACACGCTGGGCATGGTGGGTCCCGACGCGTTCGGGATGCTGATGGGCCGCTTTGCCGCCCACAACCGGATGGCCCTGGCCGAGGAGGTCTACGCCCACATCCTCAACGACCGCCAAGCCAGCACCGACAATGACGTACGCCCGGTCTCTCCATCTTAAACACACACACACACACACACAACGCACGCACACAACGCACGCACGCACGCTAATTCTGTGGTGGTGCCGGCTGCAGGCCAAGACGCCCAGCGTCAAGCAGAAGGACTTCGAGCATCTGATCACGGGGCTGGCTCACGCGGGGGAAGCCGACCGCGCGGTGGCCTATCTGCACCAGCTGGCGGCGAATGCGCAGAGCTCGCCCGAGGCCGCCGACGTCACCGCGTCACGGCCGGATGATGTGCTCAAGAACAGGAAACCGATCGACCCAGACACCTTCACCGCAGTAATTCGTGCCTTGACACGGTACACACGCATAGCAACGCGATACACACGCACGCACGCACGCACACACACACACACACACACACGCACGCTGACACCACTCGACACTAACCACTCTCTTCTCCAGAAACAATGATGTGGACCGTGCACGCGGCGTACTTCGGGTCATGGAACAGACCATCTCCAACAGCGTCGATTCCCGTAACAGGTAAACCCGAATCATTCGCGTTCATTTTTATAATAATAACAATAACAATAACAATAACAAATATACATAATAATAATAATAGTGCGACTGCTCACTGCTCTCGTTGATCGATTGATTGTCTGCGCGTCAAGCTTGATGGCGGCCCGGAATGCGGTGAACGATCCCGAGGGCGCTCTGCGCGTGTTGGGCGAGATGGGAGGATCCGAGCCCGGCAACGGGAACGTGTGGACGTACGTGGAGGCGGCGGAGAGCTACCTGCGGCTGGGCGACCGCGACCGAGCGCTCGCCCTCATCGACACCATCGCCGACCAGGTCCGACAGGAGGGCTCCAAACCCGGTGGTCGGCCGCGGCGGCCAAGCGCCCGCGAGAGCGAAAATGAAAGCGAAAGCGAAGACGAAGACGATGAAGTAGAAGAAGAACGAAGGGCGACGACGGTCGAGCGACAGGGCGAGCTCGACCTGTGGAACCAGGTGCTGGCGCGATTCGTGCAGAACGGCCGCACGGCCGAGTGCTTCGAGGTGTGGCGGCGGATGCGGGAGGGCGAGGGCCTCGCCCCGGACAACCGGACAGCGCGCCAACTCATCCGCGCCTGCGTGCAGGCCAAGAACATGGCCCGCGCCCACCAGGTCGCCACCAACATGCTCAAGTTTCACAAACTCAAGGTAACGTGCGTTCGTGCGTGTGCGTGTGTGCGTGTGCGTGTGCCGTGCGTGCGCGGTGTGCCGTTGTGTGCGCGTGTCATGCGTGGGCTGACCGTTGAGTGTTGACAGCTCGACTCGGCCGGCTGGAATGAGATCATTGAGGGCTACGCGGCCGAGGGCCAGCTTGAGACGATGTGGAAGTACGTCGAGAAGATGTACAGGGAGGAGGGGACCTACCCGGGCGCGACGACGTGGGACGTGGTCGAGCGGACCTGCAAGTCCCACGGCGTGTGGGACCAGTGGCGCGCCAAGGTGGCCCGCCTGAAGCAGGCCATCGACAGCGACAAGCAGAAGAAGGCGCAGGAGCGGACGATGAAGAGGAACCAGACCAAGTTCACGACACGCCGACAGACCACCAACAAGAAGACCGCTGTCAAGAATAAGGCGAAGGAGAACCAGAAGGTGGTTCAAGACAAGCAACAAAAATGAACGCGCTCCTACTTTCGCTCAAGATGACGATGTTTGTTGGCCTGGTGGTGGTGATGATGGTTTGGTATGGTCCCCCGCGTGTGCCGATGGTGATGGCCAGAGCAGCCGATGAGGAGGAAGAGGGTGGCCTGGTCGAGGTCGGCGAGCGTGCGGCCAGCGTGCGGCCGTCGTCGAGGTCGTTCTTGGTCGAAGCCAAGACAAGGCGCTGGCTATCCGCCGGAATCCCTCTTTCTCCTCGACCTTGCGCTTCCCGTCCCCCACTGTCTCCGTCCTCTCGACTTCGAGCTGGATGACCTGACCCGTGAGAGTCTTGGCAAAGACGTGCATGTTGTTGCCCGGTGGTTGGTTAGTTAGTCATGTTTGCACTTCGCCTTTACGTCATTTTTTACTTTTGAGTGGAAGCCACCACGTCTAACGTGTTGCGTGTCGTGTCGTGTTGCGTGTCGTGTGCAGTTTGCGTGAATAAATATTTATACTTGGCGATCGTTTGAGAGGGGAGATGGCTACTGGCTCCAGCGCTGGATCATGTTCGATATCCAGTACTGGCCCTCCTGCGCTTTCATCAGCACGAAGACGTGATTGATCTGCAGCTGCGCGTTCGACATCTACACGTTGAGGGCGACACACACATGTGGTTAGCATGGCCGCAACTCAGTTGATCAACGCTTGGGGGGATGGTAGGTACCTGGACGGAGCCCATAACCAAGATGAGCACACTGCTCATGTCGGGTCCCGTTGGATGAGACTCCAGGTTCCTGATCTGTAGGTTACCGAGGTCCATCGGCAAGCTCTGGCATGGAGGGCCACAACACACCAAAGCGAGAGAGAAAAGAAAGAAAGAAGGAAGAGGAGCAGAGTAAGCAAGCGAGCAAGCGAGCAATTCAGTTGCGTGGTTGGTTCAGCTCAGCCTCAGTGGGTACCATGAACTGTTGCATGATTCGCTCGCGGCCTCCCAGCTTCTGGTCGTTCAGCGTCAAGCAGCTATCATCCCTCTGTGCGTACAGAGACACACGGCACGCATGAGATCGTGAAGTAGAAGTAGTAGAAGAAGAAGTAGAGCGAGACGTACCAACAAAACTTGAAGCTCGCTTCTTCTGGCGGAGCAGAAGGCCTCGTAGAAGAACTTGACAAACTGGTGGGCCACGTCGCTGAAGCCGCTCGGGGGCTGCGGCTGTGGCTGGGCGGCGAAGGGGGAAGAGGGCTGAGCGCCAAAGGGAGAAGCCGCAGCAGCGCCGAACGGAGAGGAAGGAGCCGCGGTGCCGAAAGGAGAGGAAGAAGGAGCGCCAAAGGGACTCGAGGCCGGCTGAGCGCCAAAGGGCGAAGATGACGAGGCACCAAAAGGGGAGCTCGAATCTGAGGAAGGTGCGCCCTGGCGATCGCACACAATGAAGCGAGAAGAAGAATTGAGCTGAGGATGACTTCATTTCAATCGGCAAATGACGCCGGCAGCATATTATTACCTCGTGGATATGCCTGCAAGTGTCTCCCCATCGACACGTCCCAGTTCGACTGTAATTGCGGCACACTTGTCGCTGGCCGCCTCCTCCACCTCCACCACCTCCACCCCCCGCCTCCGCCGCCACCGCCAAAAACGCCTCCAGAGAGACGCCCAAATGCGCTTCCTAATTGGTGAGGCTTCCATCAGTTCACTTGTCGAAATTTGAGAGATGAAGAGCAACTGAAGCAAAATCAAGGACAACGTGCGTACCTCCTCCAAAGGCATCCCTGGATTGATCTACTCTGTCGTTCCGTCCGTCGCCGCCACCTCCACCTCTGCCTCCACCGCCTCTGCCCCCCCGGCCTTGGCCTGATCTCACATGCTCGAACCGGCAGTTGTCTCCAAATTTGCAGGTGCCCGTTCGAGCGAAGTGATCGCATCGTCGCGAGCCCCCGCCCCCGCCGCCTCCACCTCGGCCTCCACCTCTGCCCCATCCACGATCATCAATCTCCATTTCAGTGTGAGAGCAGCGGCAGGCAGGAATCTATCGTCTTTAGCTATATCAAGCGCTGTTGATAAGAAAAAGCGAGATTAATTGTCTATCTCGAGCTGTGGCTTTCGTGAAGATTCAGGAAGAACGACAAACGTGACGTCAGCTAAAATGTCGACGATGGTTGTGTTTTTGCATTTCTTTTTTATATCGAATTAAAAGATGGAAAAGATGGAGGAGGACAGGGAAGGCGTGGGAGGCGCCTCGTCATCTTCGCTTCTCTACAACCCGTTTGCAGGCGTGGTGTCGGCCACCAAATCTCTGTTGGGCGTGCGTGACAGCGAAGACGAGAAAAAGCGAAATGATGGCGAAAAAGTGGCTCTTGTGGCGTCGATCCCCGAAATCGAGCATCACCATCACGATCAACAACAAATCGACGACAAGCGGCAACGAGGGCGTATGGGGCACGTCAAGGAAAGCAGCTTCGACGAGCAGCCCGAGCTCATCACAGTCGATCTCGACGCGCTGCCCGCCGCGGTGGTCTTCGGGCCGCGTGGGCACGTGCACACCGTGGGCAGCAACATCAGCAGCGGCCGGGCCGAGCTGCGGCGGCTCAAGGAGGAGCTCGCCGTGCTGTCCGCGGCGGATGGCGACGGCTGTTCGCGCCACCGCTCTCGCGACGATCCCGACGATGACGATGACGATGACGACGAACAAGAAGAGGAAGAAGATTTGAATGCTGATCGCCAACGTACGTTGTGTGTGTGTGTGCGTGTTGTGCGTGTTGTGCGTGCGTGCGCGTGTGGTGGAAAGGTCGTTCCTCGGGTTCACGGTGGCGTCGTGTGAGTGCAGTTGCGGTGACCACGCAGTCGTGGGCCATCTTCGAGACGGCCAAGGCGTGGTTGCCCACCATCAACGTGCAGGCGGCGTTGTCGTCAGTCGGCTCGAGCATCAAATATTCCATCATCTCACCGCAGACGTACCTCCACCTCACCTCATCATCACCATCATCTTCTTCTTCTCTATCCAATTGCTCGTCGACGCTCGCTCACACTGCCCTCACTCAAAAGCGAAGAGACGTTCGGTAAGATCGCAGCCATTGTGTCGCAGTTCTTTGCCGACGTGGAGGTGAGCTACTCCGAACTCATCATGGGCCTCATGCTGCTCAGCAGTACGTGCCGCCCCGCTCCGCGGCCCTGCTCCCCTCTCCCCCAACGTGCCACGTCGCTCACCCAACATCGTGCACGTTCTGCAGTCTGTCAGCGCAAGCTGCGGGAGACGATCCGCACCGATATCCCGGTCACGCGCGTACGGAGGCCGCCGCCCCCTCCTTCTCTTGGGCTCACACGCACAACGGTCAATTCATTGTGATTGATTGACAATCGGTTCAATTTCAATTCGCCATACAGGCGGCGCTGGAGGATGGCTACTACTACATGCGCTTCGCCGCCGCGGTCTACGGCTGGCAACTCATTTACGGATACAATTTTGAGGTACGACACGACACGACACGACCAACGACACGACCAACGACACGTTCCGAGTGCGGCGTCAGCTTGGCGTGAGTTGTCTGACCGATGATCGACGATAGGGTAAGACCAATGGCCTGTTCAAGGGCCTCATATCGGGCGACTCGGTGAATCCCCAGATCGTGGCGGCCAAGACGGGCATCGACGAGGCGGACCTCATCACGACGCAGTGGGACTCGAAGGACTTCAACCCCGGCCACTACATGGCCTACGACCACTCGCGCAAGACCGTCGTCATCGCCATCCGCGGCACGTTCCACCTCCGAGACGCGCTCACCGATCTGGTGGCCAGCTACGAGCCCTTCGAAGACGGCGTTGCGCACTGGTGCGTGCTTCGCATTCCTTTCCTTTGCGTGTCGTGCGTGTCACTGTGGCGCGTGTTGTGTTCACCGATTCACTTTTTCACTTTTCTTCTTCGATTTCCAGTGGCATCCTGCACACGGCGCAGAAGAAGCTGGAGTTGTTGGAGCCCTTCTTGATCGAGGCCCTTCGCGCTCACCCCGACTACGGCCTCGTCATCGTGGGCCATTCACTCGGCGCCGGCGCCGCCTCGCTCCTCACCATCCTCCTCCACAACAGTGCGCACCGCTTGACTGTTAACCATTTTTTATTATTTGTTTGTTTATTTATTTATATTTGTATATTCTTTTATTGTCCATATTGTAATTATTATATATTGGGCTGCGCAGAGTATCCGGACCTTCACATCAGGTGTCATGCGTACGCCACACCGTGCGTAGTCTCGCTCGACCTCGCGAAGAAGTACCGCCACCTGATCACCTCCTATGTGATGGGTACGCGCCTCCCTCTTTCCGATTCCGGGGCCGGTGCCCGTGTGCGCTTCTTTCCCAATTTACCTTTGTTGTGGTCGCCGTGTCGGTGGCAGGCGACGATTTGGTGCCGCGCCTGTCGTACGGTTCGATGGAGGAGCTCAAGGGCAACATCCTCATCGTACTCGCCCAAGAAAAGGGCACCGTGTCGCGCATGTTCAAGCTCTTTGCCGCCGGCAATGCCCTGGGTGCGCGCTCCGCCGCGTGATCGCCGCTCCCTCCCCTCAATCAAAGAGACTGGCTCTGGCTCATGCGCGCGTGTATGTGCGTCGCTTCAGGCAATGCGGCAACGAAGAAGCTGGAGAAGCTGCTCAAGTGCAACGCCACACTCGACATCGAAGAGCTTCAGCAGAAGCGAAAGATGCTCGTGCTCCCCGAGAAGCTCTGGCCGCCCGGTACCTTCACCGCTCACGCACCATCGCACGCATCGCCGCACACGCTTACGTTTTGACGAATCGTCGTCACGCCATGGCACACCAATCTTCAATCACACAGGGGTGGTCTACCACATGTACATGCTGCCCAAGAAGACCTGGAGCAACGAGGCCCGAGAGCGGCAGCGTAAGCAGGAGCAGGACGACGAACAGAAGAGCCATCGAACGCCCGAGGAGGCCATCATGGGTACAAGCACCACCACCACCCTGTGGACGTCGTCTCGCGGTGACTTGAGTGAACACTTGGCTGATGAGCGCATTCGTCGCCCCTGTCGCCACATGTGGCGTGTGCGACGTATGCAGAGATGATCATGCAAAACGAGCAGCAGCACAAGCGACGCCAGCACAGCATGGACGGCGACTTCCCGCAGGCCGCCGGGGCCAGGGACGATGACGGCGATGATGAGCACCGTCGGCTCGTCCACGAGTTTGATGCCGAGCGAGCCCAGCGCGAGGCCAAACCGAAGCAAGCCGAGCAGCAGCAGCAGCAGCAGCACGAAAAGGTGGAGGGGGAGAGCGGTGAGCAGGTGGGCAAGTGGAGCGACGAGGAGGGCAAGGGCAAGGAGAAGAAGGACGAGCTGCCGCCGCGCAAGACGGCCAGGCGGGCGGGGCAGAAGCGCTACGCCATCGAGGAGTCGGCGCCGTCGCTCTTCTCGGAGATCATCGTCTCGGGCAAGATGTTCAGCGACCACTTCCCCGACGTCTACGAGAACGTGCTCAAGGCGCTCGTCGACGAGCTCGAGGAGGAGGACGAGGAGGAGGCGCGCGGCGGAGCCCAGAGGTCGCCGTCGTCGATCGGCGTCGAGCGCGACGACAACGTTGGGGGCAGCTCCGAGGAGGTGCAGCTCAAGAAGGCCGACCTCATGCGCGAGTACGCGGAGGGCAAGTCCATCCTGCGAAAGGAGGCCGCCACCACCAACGTCGAACACGACGACCAACCCGAAGAGGGCGTGATGATGAACGAAGAAGACCAGGAGAAAGCGCCGCAGGAGCAGCGAGAGAAGAAGGATGAAGAAGATGAAGATGAAGATGGTGATAATGGTAGTGGCGATGGTGTACCAAGGCCTCTCCGCGACTGAGGCATGGAATGTATGGAATGTACATAAATGTGAAGAGGACAGATATGGTAAGGGCAGGCAAGTGCATTCCTCGCCCACTTGCAGGTGCTTGGTGTGTCGATGCTTTGTGCTCCGAGCTCTGTAGGTGGCGAGTAGAAGCGACAGCGTAGAAGAGGAAGAGGAGGCCACGATCGTGCATGAGAGAGGTTGTGCAGAAGCTCTGACGAGAAGACAAGAGAGGATGAAGGGGAACAAGGCTGGCTCGACGTTGGTGGAGAAGAAGAAGGGATCTTCAACCTCGTCTTATGCTTCCATATCTTCGAGCCCGCAGGCCAAGAAGAGGCACGCACCTTCTCCCAACCGCAACAGCCCTGCTGCCAAGGAGAAGTTCACCGTCGGTTCACCTCCGCCCAAGGTTCGTCTCGCTACTTGACCACACTTCCGTTCAGAACATGGACGCTTAACTGTGGGCTAGTCTTTGCAGAAGAGGAAACTCGACAAGTTGCACGTGGTGCAGAGGCTGGGCAGCAAGAGCCTGAAGAGGTACCAACGCTACTACAAGGTTCGTTACCTCCTCCGACTTGACAGCCTCTTTCGGTAGAAGAGGGCCATAACAGCTCGTTACCTCTTCTGCTGCAGCTGAAGCCGAAGCACGACATCACGGTGTTGCCAGAGATCGCGAGCCACTTCGATGGACTCCACGTGGACGAGAAGGAGGTCATCACCCGCTTTCTCCAGACCCTCAAGCAACTCAACCGCGAGAAGAGAAGGGTAAGCAGGCAGTCTCTCGAAGTGAAGGTCGAACAGCGCAAGTGCTCGTCAAAGCACGAAGGTAGGTGCTGAATGAATACACGTTGGGTCCCACTCGCCCACCTCAGTGGTAGTCGCGAGGTACAAAGGGAGGCGAAGACGTGGGCGACGAGGCGATGGCTGGCGGCGGTGAGTAGGAGGGCGGCACGTGCGCGTACTGGGCCACCCCACTCGAACTCGTTCGCAGCATCTGTCTTCCGCTCAGCACTTGAAGATGAACGCACCACGAAAGAGACGACACGGCAGTTGTCAGCGCCAATCTTGCATCAACTCGAAGAGGATCGCGTACCTTGATCGGCTCCTCTCGGCTCCTCGTATCGCTGGTACGATGCTTGCGGCATAGCGGTGGGCGAGGCTGGTGTGCGAGAGAGGGTGAGCAAGATCACGGGGTAAGAGGTGCGACGAGAGAACGGGTACAGGTGATCTCTGGTCGCTGGTAGTTGTGCATGGCGGGGTAGTGGTTTCGTCGCGTGTTGGGTTGTGGTGGCTGAGCCCAGTTGAACAGTTGTTCCTGGCGTTCACCAAACAGAACATCAACATGACGCTCGGTCGCACACGGCACGATACGATGACACGCACCGCACGCGCACGCGCACGCACACCACAAGGTGGGCGCCAGTACCTCGATTATTCGACTCTTCACGCTCTGCACGGCTTCGTCGAGGGCCACCTTCACCTTGTCCACGATCTCGCGCTGCATGGGCAGCGGTGGCGACGACGACGAAGGCAAGAGGCCCAGCTCAATACCGTGGCCGTGTCGCGACGGTACGCCCGACGACGACACTCCCAGCGTGCCCAACGCGTCGCCCGAGTTGAAGAGCGACTTGCGCGTGGGCACGGCCGACGAAGAGCCCGATGGCGTCGACGACGAAGATGAAGACGACGATGTGGAGACAGACGAGTGGATGTGCTGACCAGAGTACACCAGCGTGGCGCGCTTGTAGGGACTGAGGCACACCTTGGGCGCCTCTCTGGGCGTCGGACTCATCGTAATATCGCCAGCCAGGCCGCCGACCCCGACGCCGCCGCCGCTGCCCAGGAGCTCGTCGCGCTGGTAGGGATAGGGCGACGGCGCCGTGTTGCGGTTGGGCGTGGCCGCCGACAGCCCCATGGGCGGGAGCGACGTGAAGTCGTCGTCGTCCTGCGGCGGCGACAGCAGCGCATGTCGGTTGCGGTGGAACTTGAGCACAATGTCCTTTAGCTGGCCGCGCTCGGCCTCGCTGCGGGCCAGATCGTCGTCATCGTCGCCGTCGCCTTCGCCTTCGTTGACATCACCGCCGCTCCGGCCGGTGTTGAAGTCTGGTGAGTGCTGCAGTTGCGGATGCATGTCCACTCTGCTGTGGCGATGATGCTCAACGTTGTTGGTGGCGGCGCTGCTGCGCTCGGCGGGCGGCGACTGGGAGTGATCGTCGAGCAGCTGCTTCTTGATGTGCGGCTGAGGCGAGAGGATCGAGCTCGAAGAGACGGCGACGTTGTCCCGTTGGCCAGTGTGTTGTGGATGTGGGGGTGCTGGCTGGGGAGCAGGGATGTGGAGGAACGCGTCGAGGCCGTCATCGCTCAGTCGCGGCTGTAGCTGGCGAGACATGCCATCCTCGGCGAAGCTGTGGTCGACGGGCTTGAACAGGCCCTCGTCAGCTGCCTCGACCAGCAGCGAACGGATGAATGAGCTCCTGCACGTGGACCCGTGGTGTCAGTACGACACGTGACCGTCGCGGTGCGACACGACACGACACGCGCAACAAGCGCACCAGGCGCAACACAGACACAGCATGGCAGATGACCTTACCTTTGCTGGAACTCTTGGAGCAGCTCGTAGGACGACTTGGGGAGGTGGCTCAACTCGGGCACCCTACACACGTACACAGCACATGAGCGCCAGCCAACAGCAAAGCGCGTGGAGGGGTGTGCGGTACTCGAAAGGAAAGAAGCCCTCTACGTGGAGGGTCTCCCCGGTAGTTTCATCGTTGGATAGGTGGAAGCCGTTCACGCGTGCATCCGGCTGTATTGAATTGATTTGCGCTACGCTTCCATCTTGTTGGAGATGGACCGTGATCCAGGCGCGTTGCAGCACCTGGGGCGCCAGCTCCTCGCCCTGGTAAACAAACTGGACGTTGGGCAGAAGGACCTTTCCCGTCGTCACGTCGTGCAGCACCACATTGCTCAAGATGGGTCCCATGCGAAGCGCTTCCGTCTCTTCCATTTGCAAGTGCAGCGTGGAATAATCTCTTTTTTTCATATTGGCGAACTATTTCTTCATTTTTCCTTTTTGTTTAGCTTGGTAGCGATAAAAGCGCGGGAAGGCTTTGCAGACACATTTCGGATCGAACGAAGGATTGGCTGATTTAGCTGTCAATTGGGTTCGAATTGCTGGAGGCCTTGGTCGATTGCATAGATAAGAACGAAAAAGAAAGAAAATGAGCTTCAATTGGGGCTCCCTATCAACGCCGACCACGGCGTCTACGCCGACCCTGTCATTTAACACGGGTGCTGCCACAAGTTCCGCTCCTGTCGGCGCTCTCTTCCAGACACCGGCAGCTGGCACAGGCACATCTACAGGCACCGAGCAGCCGAAAACAGTTGACATGGTCCACACAGTTCGAAGATCTTCCTCCCGTTATGCAGCAGGATCTGACCAAGATTCAGTACCTCCCTCCATCTGCAAGCTTTTGCCCTTTCGCCAGCACAGGCCCTGATCTATTATTCATTCTCTTGCAACGAAAGGACAAGGATCTTGGAGGAGAAGATGAGAAGTGATGAGATCGCTCAGCACTCCTTCGATGCCCTCCCCAAAGTCAAAAGCGAGGTCGAAGTAGCGACCGAGGTGCCTCCGCCTTCCTTCTCGCTCTTCGTATGGTGCCCCTCTGTCCAAGCGGCCCACTAAGCGTCGTGCTCGGTTGTGTGACTACATTCAGCGGCTGAATGCACTGTACAACACGCTTCAAGGTGACATGGAGACGGTGGCTGAGATCAGAAGCAACATCACCAAGGAGCTTAAGAACGCAGAGGTGGCCGTACGCTACACCGAGCGACTCGCGGCCAATGTGCCTCTCATCTCGCAGCAGAACCTCGTCCTGCCCCCACAGTACAGTACCCGCTTTTCTTTGTCGATTGAGCTTGAGAGTGTTGGTGTTTCCCTAACCGTAACCGCTCGTTGTACGACCTCGCGTGCGCAGGTACTTCCGTGAACTCCTCGGCACGTTCGAGAAGAGGATGGAGCAGTATCGACATGTCCTTCATGAGATTCTGCAACTCAGGGAGAACGAGCCCAAGACCTACACACCCCAGAGTACGTACTCCACACGCCTCACGCCTCACGCCTCTTGAACCGGCCGTGTCTTGCCTCCTCACACACGCGCTACTTGGTTGGCACTGTGATCTCTCCAGTGCTGCAGGACATCTTGCGCCATCAGTACGAAGCGTTCATGGCGGCTGCGGCGCGAGTGGCCGATCTGCACGAGGCCACCGAGGCGTCCAAGGAGCAATACGTCGCCCTGCGCAATCAGGCCACCGGCGGCAACGAGACCGTGGAGGACCTCTTCGAAAAGGAGGAGAAGAGACGACAGCGACAAAAGGCCAAACGTACGCCATACCTCCCCCTCACCAAGCCCGGACCTTCGTTCTCGTGAGGGCTAACCACCCAACCCCACTTCAAGTGATGCCACTGGCGACCCCCGCTGCCTCTGCGCCGGCCCCCGCCGGAGCGTCCACCCCGGCCGGCGCCGCGACGCCGTCTGCTGGCGGTGGTCTATGGCCTTCCACGGGAGCGACGCCCACGAGCGGCACGGGCGCCGCGGCGTCGACGCCCTTCAGCTTCAACATGGGCTCGGCCTTCACGCCAGCAACCACGCCATCGACGCCGGCCGCGGCCACGACCACCTCCTTCCCGAGCTTCGGCGCGGCGGCCACCACCCCAACCGCCTCGACGCCCGCCTCCCTCACCTCCTCCCTCTTCGGGTCGTCGCAGACCAGCAGCGCCGGCGGGCTGGGCTTCTCAACGGCCGGCACTGCCCTCAGCTTCCCCACCACGCCCACCGCGACGCGGCCCTCGTCTTCCGGCGGCGGCCGACCCACCACCGGCCGCAAGGGCAAAGGCAAGTAGGCGCTAAGTAACCACGTCATTCGCTTGGCGCGAACGCCAGACTACAATGAAGGAGAAGACTCTTCCGCCACGATCGATCAGTCACATCTTCTTGCGTTTCGTTTCGAGAGAAGCTGGAGCGGAGCCTTTGCTCCGTTTATTCAGCTTGCGCGTTGGTTGATCAAGTCTAAGAAGCGAAGAAGGAGAAGAAGTACTGTACAGGAGGACAACCCCCCAGCCGGGCAAGAGAGGAGCTCCCTCTGGCCCAAGCCGGAGGCGCTGAAGCCCGGGGCGTTGTGCGATGTTTATACGTTGGTAGGTGTACACGTGAGGATAGAGCAGGCGTCCTCTTGTTCGGTAAGGTGGTGATGATGATGATGATGATGATGTCGACGAGGCGATGATGATGATGACGAGCCAGCGGCAGCAGCCGAGGCTTAGAAGAGGCTGCAGCCCTTCTTCTTGCCGCCGGAGAGGCCGGAGCCGGTCTTGCCGCCGGGGCCGGGGCCGCCGGTGGACTGCTTCCTGAAGCGCCTGATCTCGCGCACGAGCTGGTCGAAGGCCTCGTCGATGTTCTGGTGGTTCTTGGCGCTGGCCTCGAAGAAGGGGATGTTGAAGTTCGCGGCCTGGTCCTCGCCCTCCTTCTTGGACACCTCCCTCTCGGTCTCAAGATCACTGTTCGGAGTCAAAAAAACATATTAAAAACTGTTTATAAAAAGAACGAAAACGAAAGCGGCACAGGAAGTAGAGAAGGGGAGGGAAGAAAGAAGGGTGGTGGTGGAGTGACATGGTACCTCTTGTTGCCCATGAGGACCATGGGTACGGCGGCCTTGTCCTTGATTCTGAGGATCTTGTCTCGTAGCCGAGAGATTTCCATGAAGCTCTTCTTGTTCGTTATGGCGTAGATCATGAGGAAACCTTCTCCCGTTCGGAACCACTGGTCCTGCATCGACTCGTACTCCTCCTGACCAGCAGTGTCCAGAATGTCCTGTGAAGAAGAAGTGGAGGTTCAACACTTGCTCTTCTTCACTTCGGAGTTAAAATATGGAGTAGTGGATGCTTACCAGCATGGAGACCTCGCCATCTACAGCAACCTGCTTGCGGTGCGAGTCCTCGATAGTAGGATCTGGAGAGCGAAGAGAAGGAGAAGATGGGGAAGGTGAGAAGAAAGAAGAAGAAGCCCAGCTTACCAAAAGCCAGGTGGCGGTGCATTCCCTCCGCAGCACAATTATTATAACGACGGAAATTGCGTCGACAATAATGTAGATCACAAGAAGAACGAAAGAGTACGACCGTGCAGCACGGAGGGGGGGAGCGGGCAACGTGGAATAGAGAGCAATGAAGAGGAGAGAAGAAAATGAAGAACGAAGCGACGAAGATAAAAGAACGAAACGAAAGGCCAAGTGATAAGTTTGAAGTGAAGAGGAGAGAAGAAGCTTACCGTAGTCGGAGATCCAGATGTTGGACACGTAAGTGATGGTCGAAGCGGACTTGCCCACGCCACCGACGCCCACCAACACAACCTTAAGTTCGCCCATGTTCGTTGTGGATGTTTCTATCTATCTAAAACCTCTCTTTAGATGTTACGACCTGGGTCGCGAATTGAAGATGGAGAGAAGAAGATGGAGCGCTGTGATGCGTTTGCAGTCTCTGTCGGCGGCGAAGAAAAAAGAGTCACACTGCCCCAAGCCGGCATAAATGGCTGGCGATGCTCGGTTCCGCGGCGATGGTGGTCCTTCTCGAAATTTCCATAAGCGAAGCGAGATAGGCCGGCGCTATATTTAGACGACCAATGGGCATGATCGATAGGTGAAAATACGGAGTTAAAAGAGCGAATGGTGTGGGTCAACGCCCCGATTGGGTGGTCTTCGCCCATCTGATTGGGTGCAGCAACCCTTATCACCGCGAATGAAGGCAACGAGGCATTTGCACAGGGCGACACCGCACGCTTTTTGCCGCACAGCACGACACGCACCAAAGTAACACACGGTGTCACGCAGCACACGCCGCAACAGCGTGTGTTGTGCGCGTGTTGTCCCCAGCGGCTTTCTGTGCTGTCCACGCTCGGGCGAATCGCCAGCCGAGCACACCCACAAACTCCACAAACGTCACCCACCGACACCCAGTTGCCGCGCCACCACAGGAAAGGAGCTCTTTCGGTGGTGCTGTTGTCACGCCATCACACTGTTGTTACTTTGGTGCCGCGGTCATGGCCGACGTTGTCTCGTCCGCTCGAGCGTCGCCGAAGCGCTTTCAGGGTCAGGGATAGTGGTCCTTGTAGCCAAGGCTGGTGCTGGGGCCGCCCACGCTGTTCCAGCTGATGCCACTGCTGCCGCCCGCGGAGGCCGACAGACCGAAGCCGCTCGCGCTGCTGCTCTGGGCCATCCTTGTCATGTCACTGCAGGGTCGTGCCATGTGTGATCACAGTTAAGAACAACGAGCGCGAAGGGGCTCCATATCAGAACACACACCACGCGCACGTGTCGTGTCGTGTGGCGTGGCGTGTGTGCCATGTGCGGTGTGTGTCGTGCGTCACGTGTGTGGCGTGGTAAGCGTACATCTGTACGTGCGGCAGGGGCGGGTGTGTTCCCTTGCGGTTGGTGGGCTGGTCAAAGTATCGCGTGCACACCTGGTCCAAGAAGGCGCGCAGACGCCGCAGCGCGTACGTGTTCTCGCCGAAGCTGGCCGCGTCCATGCAGTTCTGTTGCGGCGACGTCAGCGCGCCAGCTCTGCGCGGAGACTGGGAGGTCCCAACGCACCACTTCGATGCTGTGTCGCTCCACGACCTCGGGCTGATTGGAAATGGCCTTGGTCTTGTAGCTTCGCTGTTCTCGCGCAGCCAGGTCGGCCATCGTACCTGCGTAGGGGCGCGAGAGTGTGAGACTCACAAAGTACCACCCAACTCACATGACCGCACACGCACGACACTCACAAAGGCAGATCATGGGGGATTAGTACCGACGATTAGCACCGGCAACGGTCCGTTGTATGTGTCCAGTTCGAGCGTGTGTCGATCTTTGTGTGTTGCAAATCCGCCCTCTCCATCGTCAACCTGCGGACGGCACCGGCACGACACAGGCACAGTTGATTGTTGTGTGCGTGTGTGCGTGTGCGTGTGTCATGCGGGTGCGAGGGAGACCTCAACCTTCCACTTGAAGCTGTCAGACCCAATGACCTGCTTGATCCAGAGCCCTATGTTCTTGTATGACTTGCGGTTCGTTAGGTCGTGGACCAAAATGAGTCCTGCGCGCGGGTCCAAAGTGGTCGACCAAACGGTCAAACGGGGCCTGGTACGTGCGCGGGAGGCAGGAGCCCAGGGCCGGCCGTCGTACCGTTGATGCTCAAATGGTTGAAGACCACACCGCGGCTCTCCGCGTACTTCTTCGAACCACCGAGGTCCCAGAACTCTATGTAGTACGGCCGTCCCTTGAACTCATGGATCTGCCCCCAGCCACCGCACGCGCACACGCAGGGAGCACACACATGCGCCGTGAGTGTTGCGGAGGAAAGAGTGAGCCCGCAGAAGGGTGGCACCTTGACTTCGGTGGAGCAGCCGATGGTGTAGGAGGAGTTGGGCAGCACTTCGCCCTTGCACACCAGATGGGAAAGCACAGTTTTGCCAATCTGCGCATTATAAAGATGAGTCGATGGCAAAATACAATTCAATCCTTCATGTGGCACGTACTCCACTGTCGCCAACAACCAGAACACGAATCTGGTCTGACAGAGAAGGCCCGCTCGAGTTGCTCACGCCCCTACCACGATGCATCGAGCGCGTGTTTGTTCGTTGCTTTTCTTTTGTTTGTTTTCATTTTTCATTTTCATTTTCCCCTTTTCGTATTTATTCTATTTTATTTTTAAAATGGAAGAAGATGTGCCCAAGCGAGGAAAGCCTGTCAGTCGGTTTCGAGGTCGATGTGCTTGGCGGAGGGGAAGCGCCGCCTGAGCTCGGTCTCGATCCGATCCACCTCATCCCCCAGGTGCTGCACCATCCCATTGCCGTAGGTGACCAGCAGCTCCTGCACAAAGGGAGCGTGGTGAGTGTGCGGCTTCACGGGTGGCGTTCCGTCACGCACGCACGCACGCACACACACACACGCACTTCTGTACCTCGAGTTGTGCGGGGGTTTGGACTGTCTCGTGGAGCTCGCCGATATTGGGGTAGTTCTTGTCGATGTACCGCCTCGCGATCTGTCGGCCATCGAACTCGATCTCGGCCTGCGCACGCAGTCATATCGGTAACGTAACTCTTCTCGTTGCGTTGCGTTGCTGCGCGACCACCTCAAGGTGGTGGGTCCGCAAGCGTACCTTGAATCGCATGTTGCCGGGGCTGAAGATCTCTCCCTTGGCGTCGTGCACTGCCAAGATGGTCGGGTCGGCCTCGAGGAACTGACGCAGGGCCACGATGGTGTATGGTGAGAGACGAGAATCTTGGGGGGGGGATGACGTGTGAACCAACCTTGATCATCGAGATGCGTTTCTTCTTGGGCACCGAGGTGCCCAGGAGCAGGCGGCGGTTCTTCTCGATGAGGAAGAGCGCAGCGGTGCCCATCAAGCCGCCGATCATGATCGATCCGCAAGCATCGAACAAAGCGCTCCCCGTGTAATGCGTGAACCTAGATGTCCGCGCGACACATGACCCACATACTCACAAGCGTCAGCCGAAGTGTCTTAATGTATGACACACACGCGCATGGCATGATCACGCATTGTTACCCAAGCGCAAGGCCGGCTACACAGACTCCAGTGACCTGGGCCACACAGATGTCAGTGAACGTGGCTCCTGCTCCTGAGTTCTCTCAGGCACAAACGAGATGGGGGAGTACGGCGATCGAGTCCTCGACGAGCACGGCCACCGACATTGGGTCAGGCCCGTCCAAGATGTACTCCTTGATGCTCATTCCCGTCTCCTTGGCGCCATCTCGCACAGCCCTGTCCATGTGGGGGGGGGGGTTCACACGCGTGGGGTGAACACACCGACAGCGCAGATAGAAGGGGTCCGCGTGGTGCGTGTATCAAGGCGGTACCTGAAGGCCATGAAGAGGGTACCGCCCTCCAGCACAAACGATATGCCGAGCACTCCGAAGGCGATGGGCAAGTCGGCGAGCTCCGGCGGCACGATGAGCGAGGAGATGCCGTGGTACACCGTCACTCTGGACACGACCAGCATCGCGCGCCATGATGAGCCCACCGGCCAATGGTGTGGCCGTGGTGAAGGCCAGAGCCAGAGAGAGAGAAGCGTGTACCCGCTCCCCAAGAAGAAGACACCCACGGCCGAGATGAGCGACCACACGAATCGTTCCCGCCCGTAGCCATATGGGTGCCTGTATTGTGTTGTGTCCGGGCGACGCGTGAGCATCAAGACAGAGACACTCACCTCGCGGTGAGTTGTGGGTGCGGGCGTACCGTCTGTCGGGTTTCTGTTGGCTTCGCTATGGGGCCGGCGGTGGAGAGATCAATGTTAGGCGGGCAGTGGGGTGAGCGTGCTGGTAGGGAGAAGGGAGACACGCACTCGAATGCCGATTGCCAGCAGGACCTGGTTGAGGGAATCGCCCAGGGAGTGGACGCTTTCGGAGAGCATGGACGCGGAGCCTGTGGCCAAGAACGCCCCGAACTTGACCGTCGTGACCTGCGGACAACATTGTCAAGCAGCACACGACGCACAGCGCGCAAGCACGAGAGAGAGAGAGAGAGAAGAGCAATGAGTCAGCCCCGCGGCACTCCTAACGCTACCGGCTGGTAGAGAGCAGTCGTGAGGCCACTGGTGAGAGTACCAGTGCGTTGGTGACGATGGCGGTGTAGACGGTGCTCACGCTCTTGTCCGATGTGCCGGTGATGCGCTCCATGAGGCCCTTGCGCTTGGGCTGGCTCCTTTCCCTCTCCTCCCGCTCCTCCCGCTCCTCCGCGCTCTCCTTTCGTCGACCCTGCCAGAAGCCTTGGGGCAGGCACACCACAGTTCAAGCCGCCCAGGTCACCACCCGCTCAGAGGTTCATGAACCACAGCAAGGTACCTCGCTGGCGCACGTCGGCACAGCCCATCACGGCGGGCAGGAGGCCGGTGGTGGCCGGTCGCAGCAGCAGGCGCATGGGTCGACTCGGGCACCCCGAGTAGGTGGTGGAGTACCGCGGGAGGAGCGAGGCTGGGCCGGTGCACATGCGGGCAGTGGCGGGCTCTCGAGCACGAAGCGTGGATAGTGAGGTGTTGCAGCACCAGGCCGGGTGCCGCACGGCAGACCGCATTTGCAGACCCCACCCCCTCTTCATCTCTTCTCTTTCTTCTTCCCTGAGTCGACAAAATTCGAAAAGACTTTTTGGCGGGCTTCGGTTCGCGTAGAACATAAAAACAACAACACCGCATCGCTTGGAAGAGCAGCAGAAGGTGAGGCCGCTGCCCATGGTTGTTCTTGTTCGCCTATTGTCTCGTGCGTCCCGACTAATCGTTGGACGTGATGGATGTACGTGGCGTCAGAAAAGCTCTCTCCGAAACTCTCTTTATCATGACCCTTCAGGCGGACTACACGACCCTACTGGCGGGCCTCGCAGCCTTCAAGGCGGACACGGACGCTATCAAGGCGGAGACTGCAGCCGTGAATGTGAAGAACGACGCTATCAAGGAGGAGATCGTGGCCATGAAGGCGACCTTCAAGGCGGACAGGCGCGCCATCCAGGCGAAGACTGCCGCCATGAATGCGAAGACCGACGCTATCAAGGGGCAGATCGCGGCCATCGAGCTGGCCATCAAGGCGGAAACGGACGCTACCAAGGCGACCTTCAAGGCGGACAGGCGCGCCATCCAGGCGAAGACTGCGGCCATGAATGCGAAGAACGACGCTATGAAGGGGGAGATCGTGGCCATGAAGGCGAAGATAGCGAACGTCAAGTCTCGCGTGGACAGCAACAGAGCAGCCGACGAGGGGCATTGATCAGCACGCGACCCTTCCATCCAGCCTGGTTGTTTTCATCCAACGTTATCTCGCAACAAATCGGGCTTGTATTGCTCAGCTGGCCTTTGCTTCCGAAGGACTGTGAAGAGCTGCGTTAGGGAGATGCGCTCACGAGAGATGCGGTGTGGTTGGCGCCGCAGGAGACCTTGGCCACGCGACCCCTTGGCGGTGCGTCCTCGCTCGGTGCAAGAAGGAGCGTGGCGACAACCGTGGGGCCGTGTCGGTCGTGTCTGTCTCCATGGCCCAGTTGCCCCTCGGCATTCTTGCCCCACGTGTACAGCACGTTCATATCTGAACACCGCACCACCATGACACACCATGAGTCATGTCCCAAGCGCCTCTCTTTTCTTGAAGAGACAGAGAGAGAGTCGGTCCGTACCAGAGATGGCGGCCATGTGTCCAGCCCCGCAGGCGATCGCGCGGATGGGCACCTCCGCCAGTGCCGTGACCAGGCTGGGGACCGTCCGATTCTCCTCATCGCCGTGTCCCAGCCGACCACCCAGCCCGTGGCCCCCTGGGAGAAGAGGAGGCAGGTGAGGCTTGCGGGGGCGATTGAGGGGTGGGAGCAAGGTGGTGCCTGCTGGGGGCAAAGTACAGGTGAAGAGGTGGCCTTCGACGTTGATCGCGGCGGCAAAGTCGTAGCCGCACTGAATGCTCTTGATGCCCTTACCCTCCAACGCCCGAACGAGCACGGGCGCAAAGTGGCTCTCGTTGTCGCCCTGGCCCAGCTTGCCGTCCTGTGGTTGGTAGCACCGCGACGAGTGAGTAACGTTCCAATCATAACGCCGGACCATTCCCTTCCGACGTGGTCAAGCTCGCAAGAGTGTCGCACCGTGCCACTGCCCCACATGAAGACCTGCCCGGCGTCGGTGAGCACGGCGTTGTGGGCTCCGAAGCAGGTGGTCTGCACCACCTTCTTACCCCTGAGTCCCTCGATCATCGTGGGAAGACGCCTGTACGCATCGTCTCCGTGACCCAATCGACCTATGTCGTGTTAAGAGAGAAACAATGGGTGTCAGGGTTATATAGCCTGGCCTGCGCTGTGTAGCTGGTTAACATGAGCACGTACCGTGTTTAGGGAATCCAAAGCTGTACACCTGGCCGTCAGAGGCTGCAAACGGTGCTGAAAGTTAGTGATGCCGCATATATAAGGGATTGCCCAGCCAGATAAGCGTACTGACGACGAGGGAGTGGTTTCGGGCAGCGCACACCTGGGTCACCTTGAGGCTGGCCAGGGCATCGACCAACAGAAACGACCGAATGTTGTTCTGATTCTTGTGTCCCAGAAAGCCCTGCTCATGTTTCCGCATGAGAAGAAGGCTCGAGCATGCTTGGACACACTGCCCAGGGCCAAGGTCGCGTAAGCGTACCTTGTACCCTCGTCCGCATGTGTACACCTGGCCTTTGGACGAGATGACCATCGAGTGAAAGTAGCCGCACACGACGCTCTTGGCCTTGATCTGCATGGCCACCGATCACCGCGCCAAGGGATCAGCGAAACACAACTGAAGAGGAGAAGAGGTGGTGGGTGCTGTGCAGGTGAGTACCCCTTGCTTGTGCAGGCTTTGGACTAGAGTCGGGTCTCTGTACTTGCGCTCGTCGCCATGGCCCAGCCGGCCCGTTGAACCCAGACCCCCTGAGTTGCACGAACGCCCACAGCTCATCATGAGCCTCGCACATGCCCTGCCACCACGTTAACCTTCACGTACATGTATACACGGCACCGGCCCCTGCAAGGTTGTTGGGTAGAGGCCAAAGTTACCGCCAGACATGGGCTTTACATTGTGGGGAGGGGTGAGGACGTACGCGTGCAGAGGGCTCCATGGGTGGCACCTAGCGAGATGGTGGAGATGGCAGCGCCATCGCCAGGTATCTGTGCGCCCGTACGACTTGACGTGGAGGCGGACGGCTCTGCGCCAACGTGCAGGAGGACAGGGCAGGGCAGGTCTGCCGGGTGGTCCTCGCTCGCCTCGCGCCCTATGAGGCTCTGGTCACCCCACGTGTACAAGACGTAGGTCGCTCCGTGGCGTGTGGGCCGCTGCATGGGTCTTGACAAAAACCAACAAACTGCTGTTGTTGGTTGCCTCCCCGCCTCTGCCGCACTTGGCGCGCTTTACCTTCGCGGGATCACTTTCCTGTAAATTATGAGACGAGAATTCTGTTGTTGGTTTTTTTTTGGAATTAGTTCTTTCGTTTCGAAAACCGTTTCAGGAACATTAGAAAAAAGCCAAAAAAAATTAGGAAAAAACAATCACGACTGGCGTGGATGGAAGACGAGAGACGTGACACGGCTTTGGTGCTGGGACTGGACTCGAGCACCCAGGGAGTGAAGGCCCTGGTGATTCGCGCTGATAATCTCCAGGTCGTGGGCGAGTGGAGCGTCAACTATGACCTCGATCTGCCCCACTACGCGACTCGTGGCGGCGTGCACCACTTCAAGGACAGGGTCGGCCAGATGGACGAGGGCGAGGTCACCGCGCCCCCTTTGATGTGGGCCGAGGCCCTCCAGCTCCTGCTTGAGAAGATGAAGAAGGCCGATGAAGGCACCATCTTCGGCCGCATCAAGGCCGTGTCTGCTTCAGGTCAGCAGCACGGCAGCGTCTACTGGCGCAAGGGTGCCGAAGCCTCCAACCTCGCCCAGCTCCTCAACGAGGCCCAGACCGGGCTCCCCAGCGACCTCATGCACGCCTTGAAGCACGGACAGGGCGCTTTCTCTGTTCCCGTACGCCACCGCCCTCTGCTCAGAGCTGCTCTGTCGTCTTGCTCAGTCTCTCTCTACCTTGGCGTCGTGGTGGTGGAGCAGAACTCGCCCATTTGGATGGACAGCAGTACCACGCCGCAGTGCCGCAGGTTGGAGGAGGCCATGGGCGGTCCGCAGCGGGTGGCCGAGATCACCGGCAGCCGAGCCTACGAACGCTTCACCGGGTGCGTTTGCGACACTGTCGGCAGTGCTCACTCTTTCAGGCTCTGATCAAATGAGTTGTCTCACACCGAGTGCGCCCTGCACAGGAACCAGATCGCGCGAGTAATCGAGAAGCAGCCGCAGGCCTACGCTGATACGGAGAGGATATCCCTGGTGAGCTCGTTCGTTGCCTGCTTGTTCGTGGGGCGCTATGCGCCCATCGACAGGAGCGACGGAAGCGGTAACCACCTCTGTCGTTCCCATCTTTCCAAACGAAGCGCGCTGTGCTGGACTCACTGACTGGGGGTACACGTCGTGGTGGGTGTTGGTTTTGAAAACAAAATGCCAGGGATGAACCTGATGGACATCCGCACGAAGGATTGGAGTGCGGAGGCGCTCAAGATCGCGGCGGGAGACACGTCGGCCGAAGAGTTGGCCGACAAGCTCGGCAACGTGGTGCCTTCCCACAGTGTGGTGGGTAAGGTGGCGCCATTCTTCCGCGCCAGGTACACCGCTCATGACCACCCTCGCGATAGCTTCTCGCGCACCTTCGTGCGAACTCACCCGAAATCGGTCTACAGGTACGGCTTCCCCGAGGACTGCCTCGTGATTGCTTCGTCGGGCGACAATCCCAACAGCGTGGCCGGTATGCGGCTTGGCCTTGGTGATGTGAGCATCAGCCTGGGCACCAGGTGCGGCCTTTCCCCGCCTGCTTTCGCACCAAACGCCAACGTAAGCAACTGAGACTTTGCGTCGCGTGTGTGCCTAACACTGTAGTGACACGGCGTTCGGCATCCTGAGCGACCCCAAGCCATCGGCATCGGAGGGCCACATCTTCTGCAACCCCGTGGACCCCGATGGCAGCATGGCCATGGTGTGCTACAAGAACGGCAGCTTGACCAGGCAGCACTTCAGGGATCTGCACGCCGGCGGTTCCTGGGACGAGTTCAACGCCCTCCTTCAAACGGCCCCGATCGGTACCTCGCCCACTCACTCGCACGCAGTTGTCCGCGACAATCAAGTGAACGACATTACTCGTACCAGGGAACAACGGCAAGACCGGCTTCTTCTTCAAGGAGATTGAGATCACGCCTCCGGGCGCGAGTGGCTTCTTCCGCTTCGATGCCGACGGCAAGACGGTAGACTCCTTCGCACCCGAGGTCGATGTGCGCGCCGTCGTAGAGGGGCAGTTCTTGTCCATGCGCCTGCACGCCTCCAACATCGGCATGCGGCAGTTCTCGAGCATACTCGTCACCGGCGGCGGCTCGTCGAACACCAACATCTGCAAGGTCGTCGCTGACGTGTTCGGCGTGCCTGTCTTCAAGGCGGAGACCTCCAACAGCGCATCCCTCGGCGCGGCTTACAGGGCTCTCCACGGTTGGCTGTGTCGGCAGCAGCAAGTATTCGTCCCCTTCAGGTACGCTCCAGCCGGCCACGGCCAAGTTCGTTGCGGTTGTGGGCTCACGCACGGCCTTCGACCCCAACGAATGTCAGTGAGGTGCTCTCGGCGGCGGCTCCGTTCACCAAGGTGCACGATCCCGATATGGCCGCGCATGAGGTGTACACTGCGATGCTCCCTCGCTACGAAGCACTCGAGAAGGAGTGTCTCGAGCATTAGATGAGCGCTCGCCATCGATGTTGATGAACGCATCCGGCCCTTGGCTTCGCGCCAAAACCAAACGACATTGTTGTAATTTCTTGGAAGGTCGGAAGCGCAAAAAGAACCAAAGCATTGTCGTGTGCATTTAGCAAGAATCTAACAACAAGAATCGAACCAGCAGGACAACAACAACAATGAGCAAGGGACCCCTCATCGAAGCAGTCTTCAAGCAGCACTCGCTGGCCAACAAGACCGGCAAGACCATCTCCAAGGCGGCGATCGGCCGTATTGTGGATTCAGTCTTCGAGCAGGTCGGCAAGCAGATCGTGGGCAAGGGTTACTTCAGATACCCTGGCTTCGGTTCCTTCCTCATCAAGTACGACCGGCATGCATCCCTGCGAGCAGCAGCGCGGCATGTTCGCTTTGGGGGGGGGAGAGATGAAATCGCCCTGTTGACACGGCTCGGTGCAGGGATCGCTCGGCGAGGACAATGTACAAGGCCCTCCCCAGGACAAAGGGCCAGACGATGGATAGGTCAGAGGCGAACAAGATCACAGTGCCCGCGCGCGGCGTCGTTGGCTTCAAGCCTGCGCCTCCGCTCAAGGAGTCCGTGAAGGACCTTAAGAGGGTGAAGCGAGCCAAGGCGTCCAAGAAGGAGCAGGAGATCGTGTAAATTGACCAAACCAGCACCAATCTAAATCGATTGGAAACAGAAGACGATGAATGAAAGGCGTTTTTTACTTACATTGCTCTAAGCGGCACCGCACATCAGGAACTGCGCTTGATGTGGCCCGTGAGGAGCGCTACCACGAGGGCCAAAAGGCCACCGATAATGAGAAGAAAAATTATGATGAAAATCGTGAGCATAACCTTCTGCCGTCGCTGTAGGCGTCGTGGTCGCCTGAGGCGGTGGCCCGGGCTTCGATCGTACTCTTCTCGGCTTGGGGCAGCGAAGACGGCCGTCACCGCACCAAACACCACCGAATCGCTTCCCTTCTCCAAATCGACCCAGCTCACCCTCTTGCTCTTCTTCGATGATTTTCGGGCTAGCTCCGCCAATCGCGTCCCGATCTCGCCCCCAAAGTCATCAAATGAGCCTGAGCTGCCACTTGAGACTTCTCGCGAGCGTCGTCCTTCCTCATCCTCCTCATCGCCGCCCAACAGGCTATCTGTTTCTAAATGATCGTCGCCTCGAAAATTGTTTGCAGCTATGTGATTTCGTCCCGCCAGAAGCAGATCATCGTCGTCGTCGTCTTCAGCCTCCTCTCTTCGTCCTCCTGTCGCCTCTTGCAGGTGTTGTGTCGCCAGATCCCCACTTCCATTGAAGTGGCGTGCATCGCCGTTCTGCTGATGTGATGAGACGGATGGTGGTGGCGAGAGGCTCAGCGCGGTCTGTGTGGGCGACGAGGACAAGAGCTCGAGCTCGTAGGGGGACAGACGCTCCATCTCCTCCTCTTCGCTATCTTCTTCGTGAAGATTGGTCTGACCGCCCCAGGTAAAGCTTGGCCGTCCTTGGCGACGAATTCCGCCACGACATTCCCTACCGTGATCATCACTTTGGCTGAAGTGAAGCCTTTGAAACTGGAGAAGGAGTAAAGAAGTAGTATGTTATGTTTATGTGACACGGTCTCTCTGCTCCACCAAAGGCGAACACGTTGTTGTTGTTGGGGCAGAACACGTCTGCTCCTCTCTCACGAGGACTCGGCGGGGACAGCCTCTTCCGAGCCGTTCTCCTCCGTTCCGTTGGCCTCGGGCGTCTCCTCCTTCTTCTGGCTCAACTCGGCCCTGTTCCTCTCGTCCTCCAGCTGCTTGTCGAGCCCGGCCGACTTCTGCTTCTCCTCCTCGAGCAACTTCTCCAGCTCGGCGGTCTTGGCCTTGGCCTCCTCGAGCTGTCGTTCGGCATCGCTGGATCGGCTCTTCTCCTCCTCGAACTGCCTCCAGTTGTCGCCGGCCTTGGTCTGCTCCTCCTTGAGCTGCCGCTCCAGGTCACCGGATCGGCTCTTCTCCTCCTCGAACTGCCTCCAGTTGTCGCCGGCCTTAGTCTGTTCCTCCTTGAGCTGGCTCTCCAGATCGCCCGTTCGCTTCTGCGCCTCCTCGAGCTGCTTGACAGCGTCGGTGGCCCGGCTCTTCTCCTCCTCGAGCTGCTTGGCGGCGTCGGCGGCCTTGCTCTTCTCCCCCTCGAGCTGGCCCTCGAGCTCGGTGGCCTTGCTCTTGGCCTCCTCGAGCTGCTGGGCGGCGTCGGCGGCCTTGGTCTTCTCCTCCTCGAGCTGACGCTCGAACTCAGCGGCCTTGGCGCGCTCCTCCTCGATCTGCTTGCCCGAGTCACCGGCCTCGCTCTTGGCCGCCTCGAGTTGGCTGGCGAGGTCGGCCGACTTGGCCTGCTCGGCCTCGAGCTGCTTGGCGACGTCGGCGGCCTTGGTCTTCTCCTCCTCGAGCTGGCGCTCGAACTCGGCGGCCTTGGCGCGCTCCTCCTCGATCTGCTTGTCGGAATCGCCGGCCTGGCCCTTTACCTCCTCGAGCTGCTTGGCGAGGTCGGCCGACTTGGCCTGCTCGGCCTCGAGCTGCTTGGCGAGGTCGGCGGCCTTGGCGCGCTCCTCCTCGATCTGCTTGCCCGAATCGCCGGCCTGGCTCTTCGTCTCCTCGAGCTGGCTGGCGAGGTCAGCAGCCTTGTCCTTCTGCTCGCTCAGCTGTCGCTCGAGATCGGCAGCGCGGCTCTTCTCGTCGTCGAGCTGTGTGTTGAGGCTGGCGACCTCGGCCTTGTGCTCCTCGGCCTGGCTGTCCGACTGCGCGGCCTGGCCCTGCAGCTCGCCGAGCTGCTTCTCGAGGCTCGCGGACTTGGCCTTCTCCTCCTCAAGCTGGCCCTCGAGCGCCTTGGCCTCCTCGAGCTGCTTGTCGAGCGTGGCGACCTTCTCTCGCTCCTCAGCCAGGCGCATGCCTAATTCTACAACCTTGTTACCGCCGGACAGGGACTCCTGCTCGAGCTGGGTCACCCGCGCCTCGCGCTCCTCAAGCTTGGCGCGGACCTCCTCGAGCTCCTGCTTCAGCGCAGCCTCGGCCTCGGCACCGGCTTCGCTGGCCTGGGCGGCCTTGAGCTCCTCGGCGGCCTCGTCGGCACGCTGCTTCTCGGCCTCGAGGCTCTGCGCGGCCTTCTGGGCGATCTTCTTCTGATCGGCGAGCTGAGCGCTCAGGTCGGCCGACTCGTCCTTCTGCTTCTGGAGGGCCGCCACGAGCTCGGCGTTCTTAGCGGCGAGACTCTGTTCGGCCTGCTTGAGGCTCTCCAGCTCGGCGGAGATCTGGCCGGCATAGCTCTGGCTGGAACGGTAGGCCTGGTCCTTCTCCTCGATGAGCTGCTCCAGGCGGCTGACCTCGGCGCTCGAGCTGGCAGCAGCGGGAGCGGCGACGGCAGCAGGCTTGGCCTCGACCTTGGCCTTGCCGGCCTTGGCGGCCGAGAGGGCGACCTTCTTCTTGAGCTCGTCGACGGTCTCCTGCAGCTCGCGCACCTGCTCCTGGAGAGCGGCCTTCTCGGCGCGGAGGGAGTTGGCCTCCTGCGAGCCGCTGTTGGCGACGTAGTTGCGCTTGCTCAGCGCGGCGAGGGGGGAGTCAGCCGAGAGCTCCTCGTCGGTGCGGCCCTCGAGCTTGGCCACCTTCTCGTCGAGCGAGGCCTTGAGCTCGCGGGTCTTGGCCTGGAGCTTGGCGTTCTCGTGCACGTACGCCTCCATCCGCTTCTTGCCGTCGCCGATCGTGCGGGTCAATCTCGCCGTCTCCTCCTCGAGGGTACGGATGCGATCCTTCAATTTCTTGAATTGATTGCCCGCTGTGCTGACCTTGTCCCAATCGTGGTTGTTGTCCTTCTCCTTGTTGGCCTTCTTGACGACCTTGTCCTTGGCGGTGGTCGTCGCATCGGGCTCCTGGAAATTGCGCGCCCTGCTGTCGAGGCTCAGCGCGAATTGATAATCTTCAGCCGATACGGACGGGGGCAGAGCTGCGGGGGCGGCGACAGTGGCAGCGACGGGGACGGCAGCGGCCTTCTTCTTGTTCTTTTTCTTCTTCGGCTTGGTTTGCTCCTTCTTATCGGCGGTGACAGCGTCGGCCTTCTTCGATTCCGTCTTCGTGGCGGGAGTGGCGGGAGTGGTAGTGGTGGAAGAGGAAGTCGAAGTCGAAGTCGAAGTAGAGGGGGCGGGGGTCGAAGCAGCGGTGGTCTTCTTGGTCGCAGCCGCCGGGGTGGCGGTGGGCGAAGTAGCCGTCACCGCCTTCTTCGATTCAGCCTGCTGAGGCTTCTTCTCAGCCACAGCGTCCTTCTTCGTAGCGACGGGAGCGGCGGCCGGCTTGGCGGGGGCAGCGTCCTTCTTCTTCTCCTGCTGCTGCTGGGGCTTGGCAGTGGCGGGGGCCTCGGTCTTCTTCGTCGACGCATCAGCCTTCTTGGCCTCGGCCTGCTTCTTCTCAGCGGCGGCCGGCTTGGTAGAGGGAACGGGGGCGGCGTCCTTCTTCTTCTCCTGCTGCTGCTGGGGCTTGGCAGCGGCGGGGACCTCGGTCTTCTTGGCAGCAGTGGCGTTCTGCTTGGGAGCGGGGGTGTTGGTCTTCTTCTCGCTGGGCTTGGCGTCCTTCTGCTTGGGGACCTCCTTCTTGGTGTCGGGTTTCTTCGACGTAGAAGGAGCGGCGACCTCCTTCTTGTTGGCGTAGAGGTAGAGGACCACGATCACGCCAACGAAGAAGGCCACAGTCGGCGCAACGATGAAGAATACGTCCATCATGATGGCCTGCAACAATTGAAAATCATTAATGACAGAAAAATGGCAACACTCGCCATCTCTTGTGCACAAGAGTAATCGAACAGTGAAATTAACGAAAACAAAGGCCAGTAAAAGCCCTCCATAAATGGACGATTGCAAAATGAAAGAGATAAGCGTCTCTACATACCAAAAATGGGGAGATTGAGAAGGCTCAGCACACCACAATCGTTCGTTCAGTCCACAGCGTTCACGCGACCAGCGACGAGGCAACCGCAACAGTGAAACTACAGAGCGAAGAGGAAGGGCCGAGAGGGAGAGAAAAGAAAAAGATCAACAACGCTCACCCGCCGCTCGCTAAGTCCACGCCAAGCCCAGCGCGTCAGGTGGACGAGTAGGAGCGGGCCTCTTGCGAAATCCTGCACGCACCACGGAGACAGCCGATCTAATTGACCTGTTTTGACGTCGACAAAAAGAAAATAGAAGAAATAAGAAAAGGAAAAGAGCCTCTTTCTTGCGTACTGAAAAATGCCAGTTGCTGGTGGTCTTAGCCACAGCGCACAGCAGGGAGGCCTGCTGGTCTCATCGGCGGGCTGCGCTGTGGGTGCCTGGGCGGTGGCGCGGACTCGCACAGGCGGAGAATGCAGCGTTGAGGTTCCCTCTTTTTTCCTCCCGCATGTCCCATAAGCGCGGAGGCTCCGCCACTCCAGTGGGTTCAAATAGGTACCCTCCTCCCCACCTTGTGGTAGGGACGCGGATGGTCTCAAACCGTTGGGTCCGTTCACGGGGCCTAACGTACCGTCCCACTGCTTGCCGTGGAGCACTAGGGGTGCGACCTTTCGGGGTCCGGATCCCCGTAGATGGTGTATGGTCCAGCAAGAACGTTCCAGACCGACAAGAGCGCAAAGGGAGGCGCCGACTGGTTGATGACTCTTCGTGAGGCATCCTGGGAGGTGGTTGACCGGAGCAACATGTTCGACTTACGCATATCCCTCAGGCGACCCCAAACCCCTGGGTAATGAGCGGGGAGCTACAACCATGCGGGAGACATTTATCATTTTTTTGGTTTATTTGGAATTAATTATAAATAAATTATAAAAAGGGTCTTCTTTGAGTTATCAAAAAACAAAAACAAAAAAGAAGAGAAGAGAAGGCAAAGCAATCTTCCACACGCACGAAGGAATGGAAGCACGGAAGGAGGAGGAGCCTACTGGTGGCTTGCAGCCGTCGTTTGGGCTGGAGGTCGAGAACCTACTGAAGGCCATTGATGCCGTGGAGAGGCTGCTGCACGAGGCGGGTGAGCCAGGCGCGGTAAAGCTCGTGGAAGCGTCGAATCAAATCAAACAAATAACTGCCACCATACAGGTCGCCTCCCCCTTCATTTGCTCTTTGAGGTGATTAACGCATTTATATTGATATTTTTTTCTTTTGTGATGCAGGCCTTGGCCAAGCTGCCGGAGAGCCGAACACCTGCAAACACAGCCACGGCGGCACAACTTCGCCACAAAACGAAGCACGTACGTAGTCCCTCGCACTTCTTCCGGTAAAGTTGTGGTGTTCGTCCACTGTGGACATGACGTGGGAGCCGTCCCCTTCTTACACCTTTTCCATCACCAGCTGGTACTGTGGGTGAAGCAGCTCAAGTTGCAGCACGACCAGCAGCAAGCCACCAACGTCGGCGGACCCGCCTCGCCCGGTGCTGCTCCCAAAGGCGCCGCTTCTCCACTCTCCGCGCTTGGCCACCTCTCCACCGCCACCAGGCGCACGGCGAGTCTGCCTCAGCCGCCCACGGCTGCGGCCGCTCCCTCCAACGCCACAACCAGCCCGCAGTCGGGCGTGCAATCCACGCTCGCCTCGTCGTCGTCGTCGCGCCCGATCCGTGCGGCCACGTCTTCGTCGCCCACCACCTCGCCCACGCTCCTGATACGGAACGAGTTCAATCTCTTCAGCGACACCTTCTCCATGCCATCGGCCCGCTCCTCCGAGTCCACCTCGTTCGCGCCCAGGTCCTACCTCAGCGGCGGCGACAGCGACGACCCGTCGCCGGCCTCTTCGTCGCCCTACGCTCCACCACTCAGCCCCCAGCAACAACAGCAACAGGACAAGGTGCGTTACCGCGAGGGCGACGAATCAATGAAACCGCGGAACAGTGCCAAGGAGGAGGAAGAGACCGAGAGCGGCACGAGCGAAGACCTCTTCACGCCTTCGTCTCCGCCCGCCGACTCGACGTTCTATCTGATCGACGCCAAGGGTCCGGGCAAGGACGTGCACATCCTGCAGCACGAGGGCGGCGACGGCGGCGGCGGGGGCAAGGGCCGGCGGGACCGGAGCACGAGCAACCATGTGAAGGCCGGGCGGATGAGCGGGCCGGCCGGCGCCAGGAACCCGCTCTGCGGGTGGCTGCACAAGTCCGGGAACACCTTCATGTCGCCGTGGAAGCGGCGGTACTTCGTGCTCGATGCGTCGGAGCGGCCTCTCGCTGTCCAGCAGTACAGCGGTTTCATGACATGGGGCGGTGGTGGCGGCGAGCGGCGACACAACAAGACCGCGTCGCCGCCCATGAAGCAGACCCTCCGACTGTACTACTACATCTCCAGGGAGGACCCCGTGCCCAAGGGCTTCATCGACCTCGCCCTCCTCGAGGCCATTCGACCCGGCGTTCGCTACAAGAACACCTTCGACATCACCATCGCCAACAGGTGGGTTTCTTCTCGGCTCCTTGCCTCGTCGACGCTGACACACGTCTGCCTGCTCTCGTGCTCTATGGAATGTAACTTATTTGTTGTGTCGTGTGTGTCACATACGTGATATGTGCGCGCAGGGTATTTCATTTAAAGGCGGAGACGAAGGAGGAGGCGGACGACTGGATCTGGGAGCTGCGGAGGTGGGCCGAGTGGGCGCGCGGGCGGGAGCTCGCGCCGAACGCGAGGGAGCAACAGGAAAAGGAAGAGCGCGAGCGAAAAGAAAAAGAGGAACAAGATAAAGCCGCCGCCAGTTACAGGAGCCGATCAGGTGCGCCGATCTGCATTTCTTCGATCAACAGCACCACACGCACGCGCACACGCCCGCTCACCTTTACTCTTTTGCTTCAGCGTCTTTCCCGGCGGAGTGGTTCCCTAAGCTGGCAGACGCGCTGCTGGGCAAAAGCGAGGTGAGCCCCCATCGAGTGTTGGCCTTGTGTTGGCTTGCGTGCACTGCTCACAGTGCTATCTGATGACTTTTTTCCGTTTGTTTTGTTTCATGATACGTGCGTGCGCAGCAAGCGGCCGTCGCGCCAGCTCCAACGGCGGTGCAGGAGGAGAAGAAAGAGGAGCCGAGACGAAGAGGCGAAGCCGAAGATAAGTACAAGCACGGCGTCGCTGCAGCCGCTGATGCGAGAGCGAAGGAGGTGGACACCGCAGCGCAGTACGAAGCGAAGCTGCAGTTGATGGAGGAGGTGGTGGAGTACAAGGAGCGCGAGCTGTGGAACATGCGCCGGGAAGCGGAGAAGCGCACTGGACTCAACATCGACGATTGCAGCGTGGAGGAGCTCGAAGAGCTCGAGTCCGAGCTCCTGAAGGCGCTCGTGCGCATCAAGACCGTCAAGAAGAAGAAAGCGAAGGAAGTCAGGGACTCCATCAAAATGGATCTCCTACAGGTATGCACACTACCCTGTGTGTCGTGTCGTTGGTCGTGTCGTGGTCGTTGGTCGTGTCGTGTCGTTGGTCGTGTCGTGTGTCGTTGCTGTACTCACCCACACTCCCTTGGCGCGCGGCAGCTGGACGTGTGCCGGGCGTGCTTCGTCAACACGCGGAGGGTCGTGTTCCTCCCCTGCGGTCACTTCGAGGTGTGCGAGGACTGTGCCGAGAAGGCGAGCGAGTGCCACCGCTGCAACCGACCCATCGAGCGCCGCGTTGAAGTCCGCGAGACTTAGGCGCGTCCACCACCGCATTCGTTGTACATAAAAGCGCGTTGTGCGTGTGTGTCGTGTCACCCGAGTGCGTGTCGTCCCGGTGTGCTGCGTCTCGCCACGCACGTGCCCAGCCAATGGGAGAAGACACCGAAACAAATCGCCTTTTGCGCCTGGGCACCGAACTTCGACCATTCCAAGCAAATGAGATTGAGCAGATGAAAGAAACATATTGAAAGCAGAGAGCGAGATGAAGGGCGGGACTGGACGGCAGATGAGCGAGAGCGCGTGGGAGAAGACGGCGAAGGACTTGTTTGCAGGGAGCGTGGCGGGGATGGTGTCCCTAGCGGTCTGCTATCCGCTGGACATCGTGCGCACGCGCCTGCAGACCACAGACGCCTCGCGATTCAACGGTGTGATCGACTGCTTCGCCAAGACGGTCAAGGGCGAGGGATTTCTCGCCCTCTACAAGGGCATGTCCTCACCTCTGGCCGCGCAGGCCCTCCAAAAGGCCATCATGTTCGGGGCCTACGGTGCCGCCCAGCGATTCATCGTTGGCGGACGAGATCGTGGCACCACGAGCTCTCCTCAGCCACTGAGCACATTCGAGCTCCTTCTATGCGGCATGTTTGCGGGCAGCGTCAACACTGTCGTGGCAGCACCCATCGAGCTCGTACGCAATCGATTGATGACCCAGTACCACGCCAAGGCCGCGTCAGGGGCCGCAGATGCGACCTTCTACACCGGACCGATCGATTGCTGCAAGAAGATCGTGCAGCAGCACGGCCTGCGCGGCCTGTGGAGGGGTGTCGGTCCCACGCTGCTGCGAGACGGCCCGGGCGTGGGCGCCTGGTACGCCTCGTTCGAGTTTGTCAAGGTAAGTCGGCCTCTTGTAGATGGGTGTCGATCTAGCCAAGTCTGATCTATGCTCGTTGTCTCGTGTCGTTGGTCGAGTTGTGTGCAGCGCCTGCTGATCCCTGAGGGCAAGACGGCGAAGGACCTGGGCTTCTCGCGGCTGCTTCTCGCGGGCGCGGCGGGTGGTGTAGGGTACTGGGTGACGGCCTTCCCTCAGGACACCATCAAGTCGGTCATGCAAACCGACAAGGCGGGCAAGTACCGCAACATGGCGCACTGTGCACAGGAGCTGTTCAGGTGCGCCTGGCCCGTCTTCTTTCCATTGTGTGCTATGCTGACCATCGGTGGGTGGTGCGTGCAGGGAGGGAGGAGTGCCGCGATTTTACCGAGGGTTCCTGATGGGCATCACGAGAGGCGTGCCCGGCGCTGCCGCCACCTTCGCCACCTATTCCATCATCATGGACGCCATCGCGTAATCGTTTTGAACCTACACACCCACGTTATTCTCATAAGCTCCACTCGACTCCTGTTAGCTCGCACACACGCACACGTTTTTAATCGTTGAATTTATTAACAGCTATGGACATGGTCTAGTTGGCGATGGCGGCGGGCTGCTTGCCGAGCCGGACGGCCTGGGTGGCGATGTGCTTGCCCTGGAAGCGGCCGCCGTTGAGTTCGTTCTCGCTGGGCTGCCTCGCGCCCCACACGCCGGCCACCACCGACGATCCATACGGCGAACCACCCGACACCTCGTCCACGGGGAATTGGCCTGTGCACGCGCAGGTAAGACCATCAGCGCGCGTGTTGTGCGTGTGCGGCGTGTGTCGTGCCGTGTGCGGTGTCGTGCGGTGGTGAGAGTGTGTACCGGCGAAGGTGTAGGGGAGGCCGACGACGAGCATGCCCAGGTGGAGGAAGAGCGGGAGGAAGCCGCACACGATGGTGGTCTCCTGCCCGCCGTGCTGGGAGTTGCTGCTGGTGAAGGCCGACGCGAGCTTGCCCACGAGCGCGTTCGAGGCCCAGAGGCCGCCCAGCGTGTCGATATAGGTCTTGACCTGGGCAGCGATGTTGCCGAACCTGGTGGGCGAGCCGAAGGCGATGGCATCGGCCCACTGGAGGTCCTCGTGGGTCACCTCAGGCACGTCGGCCCACTGCTTCTGTCAGACGCCGGCCCCCACCACGGTAAGCTTACGACCACTCATCGACGAAACACGCACGCTCTGCCATGTGGGTGTGTGTGTGGTGGGTGTGTGTGTGTGTACCTTGGCCTCGAGGGCGCCCATCTTGGTGAGCACCTCGTCGGAGAGAGTCTCGGGGAAGCGGGCGAGACGGACGGTGACGCCCTCGACAGAGCCGGCGCCCTCGGCGATGGCCTGTGCGAGCTTGTAGATGTGACCGTAGGTCGAGTAGAACACTGCGTGATTCGTGTTGGTGAGATCTCAAGACCACTACTCCTTGCGACACTCAGGTGCGGATCGTACCAACAAGGACGTTAGTGGTGGACATGGTGGTGAGTGTGTTCTGGAGTCGAAGAAGAAAGTTCGCTGTTTGAAGTTGTGGTCGAGTGGGAGTTGTTGAAGTGATGTTTGGCGGGGGAGGGTGACATGTTTATCTCTCGCCCAAAAAGCTTCCCGTCGTTGCTGTGATTGGCGGGTAGCTCGGACTTTTTTCGGCCCGAAGCCGGCGCAACAAAGAGAGTACCTGCCGTTGGGGACAAAAGGAAGTTGGACGAAGTGGGATTCGAACCCACGCCTGGAGACCCAGACTACGACCTGAACGTAGCGCCTTAGACCAACTCGGCCATCCGTCCTTGGACAAAAGATCATATCTGTGACCTGCTTCTGCAAAAAAAAAAGAAAAAAAAAGACCAAGTGGACAGGCCCGCTTCAAAAAATGTGATTGGTGACGAACCAGTTGATCATGTACAGGGTGGGTTGACTATTGGTTGGGCGCAATCTCGAAGACCGCCATGAGGGGTAGATGGTCACTGCCAAAGTCAGTGTTGGGGAGGCCATTGTACTTCCTGGCTCCCTCGGCGTCGGTCCGGAGTAGCTCCACCTCCGCCTCACTCTTTCCCCTCACGCGCGCCTCACTCAGCCGCCGCTCGTTTTCCCGCTCCACCCACCCCTCCGGCCCCGCCTCCGCTCGCAGCGCCTCCTCCTACCCCCAACCCAGTCAACATCAACATCAATCCATCACCATCACCTTCACCACCACCATCATCAAGAAGAGAGAGTACCTCGGGCACTTCAAGAAGGTGCGTGGGCCGAAGCGAGGCGGGGTTGTACCAGATGTAGTCGATGGTCCAGCATCGACGTGACGTCACTGTGGTGTGGGTGGGCTCCTGTTGTGGGCCTGCTGCGTTGCCCTCGGCGGGCAGGATGCGGCCCTGGTCGGGCTGCAGCGAGCCGTAGACGTCGTAGGCGCTGCGCATGCGGGTGCTGCTGCGCGGGTCGGCCCGCACCCCGATCTCGTCGCGCATGTAGCGGTAGATGGGCGACTGCGGCGAGTTGTTGAAGTCGCCGCAGAAGAAGATGGGCAGCTCGCTCTGCTTGTACTCGCGCTCCACCAGCGACCGCATCTCTTCGATTCCCTCACCCACTGGTCATCGCATCTTGTCAGCACACACCGCACACGCACGCACCGCACGCGCACACGTACCCTCTCGGAGTTCCTTCATCTGGTCGTCTATCTTGGCGGAGTCCCAGTATAGATGGGTGGTGGTCACGAGCACCAGGTCGCGCTTCCTCTTCTCGCCCTCGTCGCGCTTGCCACCGGTGCCGGTGCTGCTGGCGCCGTTGCGGTCCTCGAGGAGCACCATGAGGGCCACCCGGTCGTGCTGGTCCTTGAAGTTGATCGACCTCTCCATCACCAGCTTGAACCGGTCGTCCTTGAAGAAGATCCCGCAACCGTCCTTCTTCTCCACCCCTACGCACACACGCGTGTCGTGTCGTGTCGTGCGATCAACATGACGAAGAAGAAGAAGCGGAAGAAGAAGAAAAAGAAGAGTTGTAACGGAGGGCAACAAGGGGTGCGTACCCGACCACGAGGTGCCGTGAAGCGAGGGCCGCTTGACGTAGACGCTGGCGTAGCCCAACTGGGCCAGCTCGCGCTGGAAGAACGCCCAGTAGTCGGTCAGCTCCTGGAAGCACAGCACGTCCGCCAGCGACATCGATGAAGCTGAAGCTGAAGGTGCAGATGAAGATGAAGAGTCTGCCCGGGTTGCGGTGCCCAGCTGCTTGATCTCGTTCAAGAGGGTGTGCTTGCGTCGCTTCCAGGCCAAGTGCTCTGGCTTCACGTAGGGGAAGTGGGCCGGAGAAGCTAGATTGCTGCAAAATCAAATGTCAACAGCCACAACGTGGAGAAGGAAGGAGAGACAAGCTGAGAGCAAACAAACCTGCCCAATATGTTGAATTGGGCAATGGAGATGGTGGGCACGGCTGCAGGCAACTCAGAGGCGCCTTCGCGAGATCTGACGATGGGGAACAGTCGACGCGTTGCCGGCGAAGCCTTCGCCACCCCACCAACCCCAACCACCGCCGCCGCTGTCGTCGCCATCTGCTTCCTCATCAATCTTTCCAATAAATAAACTAAATAAATAATTATTCGAAGTCCTAATAAATAAAACAATAACAATAACAAGAGAAAAATTAATCGCTCTTGTCGGAGGCGGTGAAGGAGCTCTCGCGGCCTGTGTGGTCGATGGCCTCGGTGAGGGCCTCGGTCCACTCGCTCAGCTCCTTGGCGTCGGCGGCCTGGAGGTAGAACGTGCGGCGCGAGTCGTGGTAGATCGCGAACGAGTGCTTCTTCTTGGTCTCGCCCTCGGCCGGCGTCACCACGCACCCCTCGAGCAGCACGCAGCCCTTGCCCGTCACCTTGTTGGCGTTCTCGTAGTAGTACAGGTTGCCGTCTTGCAACACGAACCACCTCTGATCCACCACACGCATGAGACTGTGCGTGCGCGTGTGCGGTGGTGCGTGCGCGCGCGCGCGCGGTGTGTGTGCGTGCGTGTGCGTGTGCGTGTGCGTGTGCGAACCTTTTTCCAGTTACGAACGAGACCTCCTTCTTTGGTGAGCCAACCCTCCTTCAGCACCACGCCGGCCAGTTCGCGCCGCTTCAACGACTGATCGCTGACGTCAGCACCAGCGGCACAGCCCAGGGGGGAAACCAAGAGGGCATTGGGGGACGGTACCTTGCGCTGGAAGAGCTGCTCCTTGATGGAGGCGCGGATGGGCTTGACCACCTTCATGGTGGTGGCGGCCCCGCGCCTGCGGGCGATGTCCTCGGCCTCGCTCATGAGCTCAACCTGACGCTTGAGCTCGCGCTCGCGCTGGGCCGCGCGCCGCTTCTCCTCGTCGAGGGCCTGCTCGGTCTGTCGGGCCTTCTGGCGGAGCTCCTCCATCTCGCGCTCCATCTCTTCGATTCGCAGCGCCGCCGCCGCCGACTTCTTGACGTAGAGCTCCTCCTTCTTGCGCCACTCCTCCGCCTCTCGCTTCTCCGCCTGCGCTTTCGCCTCGGCCCGCTTGGCCTCGCGCCCCGCCGGGTTCTTGCGCAGCTCATCCACTGCGTGTCGTGTCGTGTCGTGTGCGCGCGCGGCTTGGTTAGCACCGGTGCGCTCGCGCTCGCAACGAGAACAGAGAGCGTACGATTGATCAGCTGGGCCTGCTCGGGCTGGAGAATCTTGGCGAGCTCCTCAACGAGGCTCTCCCTGTCGCTGTGGTGCGATGCGACGCGAAATGGCAGAAGGCAAGCATTAGGGGGCTGCGTGCAAGCGCGGCCCACCCGGTGGGCCACAAGTACCTGATCAGCCGCTCGACCTCCTCCTTGGACAGGGTGAGCTCCTCCTGCAGCTCCTCGTTCGCGCTGCCGGCATCCTTCAGCTGCGCCGTGGCGTTTTCGACCTGCATTGCAGAGCCAAGCATGAGCCCCTGCGCACTGAGAAGCAGCGGCGGCGGTGGTGGGAGGCCATACGTCGAGCAGGGCCTGCTTGAGCTCGTAGTGGAGTCGCCTGACCTGCGAGCCCAGCTCCATGTCCTTGTTCTCCACCTCGCGGACCAGCCGCTCCTTCTCCGACTCCCTCTCGTTCAACTCCTGCTTGAGCCTGGAGATCTTTTCCTTGTTCTGATACTCCTCCTCTTGCACCTGGCCATCCGCACACGTCTCAGCCCTCACGTCCATGACACTCGCACGACACCACCGCACACGACACCACCGCACACGACACACACACACACACACGCACAAGCGCACGACACGACACGACACGACACGACGTGCGTACCCCTTTGAGGTCGTCCTGGAGCTGCTCGATCTGGACGGAGGAGGCCATGAGGAGCTTCTTCATCTCCACCCGCATCTCGGCCACGCGCACGGGGTCGAGCATGTCGCTCATGCCCCCGACCTCGTCGCCCAGGTCCTCGCTGTCCCGCCGGGTCGAGCCCATCATCAGCGACGCGCGCGACGGCGTGCCGGCGCCGCCCAGGGACCGGGCCGACGACGATGGCGTGGAGGGCTTGTAGGGCGACGCGGCGGGGCCGCTGCCGGACGCGGAGCGGGCGGAGGAGGCGGGCGAGGCGGGCACCGCGCGCGGGATGACGCTGGGCGGCGCCCAGTCGCTGCCCTTGAGCTTGCGCATCTCGGACTCGAGGAAGATGGCGTAGCGCTTGAGCGCCTTCACCTCCTTGCGCAGCATGGCGATGATCTCGTTGAGCTCCTCCACGCTCCGCTGTTTGTTCACCTGCACCGAGTTCTTGATCGTCTTGGCCCTTTGGCCGAAGCGGAGCGTGGAGATGGTCTCCTCGGCGTTGAACTCGTGGGGCGAGCAGGTGCACACCAGGGTCGTCTTACTGTTGCCGCCCAGCGATTCCTGCACGAATCACCGCACACGCGCACAGCCACCGCACACGCACACGCACACACGTTAAGCATGTTGCGTTGCTAGGCAAGTAGATGAGGTGCTCGCGCGAGTACCTTGAGGATGTGAGTGAGTTTGGAGTCGCGGTAGGGGACATGCGACTTGCCCTTGGTGGTGAGCGCGTTGATGCAGTTGCCCAGCGCCGCGAGCGACTTGTTGATGTTCTTGGCCTCCTCCAGTGTGTTGCCCTTGGCGCCCGTCTTGGCCACCTTCTCCGACCCGGCCAAGTCGGCGAGGTTGAGGCGACCGGTCTTGGTCGAGCCATCGGGCATCCGCTGGTGCAGCGTCAGCACGAATAGACTACCGAAGAACAGCCAAACAACAAAGTGAGTGCGTGTCGAGCGTGCGTGTGTCGTGTCGTGCGGTGTGTGCGGTGTGTGTCGTGTCGTGTCGTGTGTACACACCTGTGGGAGCGACTGCTGGCGTCGTTCATGCGGGTGGGCGTGACAGCCCGGAACTTGTCGCCCAAGCGGAGGAGCTCGAGCACGTCGTCTTCGGTGGCGACGAACTCCTCGGTGAGGTCCTCCACCCAGACGCCGCGCGTGGGCGTCTCGTGGACCTTGAGGTTGACGCTCTTGGGGTTGAGCAGATCCCGCACCCGCTCCTTGTAGATCTCCATGAACGAACATTTGATCGTGAACTCGGTGCCCTCCTTGTCCTCCGTGATGTGTTTGAACAGTTGGCTGTCGTTGAGATTGTTGTGTGGCGTGAGCTGCAGGCCACCATCATCAAAGAGAAGAAGATGATGAAGATGATGAAGATGACGGTGGGGGAATACCTGCAGGCACGAGGGATGATGCCACGTTCCTCGGTGTCGATGTCGCGGCCGAACATGGTGAACGACTTGCCCGAACCCGTTTGGCCGTAGGCGAAGATTGTTCCGTTGTAGCCGTTGAGCACATCCCTGCACGCCGCCACCACAACGACAACAAACATGCACTCAGCCTGGGACGAACTATGACGTCTTGTACGCACGATCGGACAACGTACACGATCGTCTCCTGGGCCACCGCACCGTACACGTCCGCCTGCAGCACAGATATAACATAAACGATAAATCAAAATTATTTAATTAAACAAAAAAATAAATACGGACACAAACGGACGATAAGTTGAGAAATAAAAATAATTAAAAGAAAGGGGAAGCTGGTGGCACCTGGTGGGCTTCGCCGCCAAAGACGCGGTCGAAGGAGAAGACGTCGGGAGAGCCGCGCTGGACGAGGAATTGGCCGTCGGGTCGCGCCACCTCGACAGAGCGTTGGTCCTCGCGCACCACGAACGCCGTGCCGGCGCCCCTCGCGCCTCTGGTGTCCTCCGTCTTTTCCCGCTCGTTGACGGGTCGGAACCGCACCACCACCCGCACGCTGCAGTCCATCTTCTTGTTTGCGAGGTTGTGCACAGCCGCCAAACAACACAACTTAGTTACACCAAAGTTGAGAAAAAAGATGAACGACAAGGGGTGTACCCCAAGTTTTGCGTGAAGCGCCCACCAGGAAAGAAAAGACCTAACCACCCGACCGGGGTTGGGTGGCCCAAATCCTCCGACGCAACGACAAAATGGCGCCAAAAATATGCGCCCCAGGAATGCGAATAATGCGCAGAAAAGTTAAAAAATTGACAAGTTGACAACATTTTTGCAGAAGATCGACGAAGAAGAGCACGACAAGATGGTACGTTGATGTGGCTCCCTCCTCGCTGTGAGCTCTGTGAGCCACTGTCCATGCACCGAGGTGAGCGGCGTGCACGAGTGCCAACGCGTTTGCGTCTACAGAATTCTGGCAGGACGGCGTTTGGCGCAGCGCAGCGCAGATCTGCAGATCTGAGGCTGAGGCAAGCAAAATTCGTTAGCCTTTGTTTGGGGCCATCTTCAACTGGTGGCACCAGCCGATCGATCTTATTGGACCATCCTTCAATTATCACAAATTTGCTGGGTCGTCCCAGCACTTCGCTCTTTCTTCGAATGAGCTTCTCATCCTCCAGACCCAGCCTACATTCATCTTCGCGTGATCCGACTCATCTCAGAGGTGGGCGTTCACATCATCATCAGGAGAAGGATTTGAAGAACATCGACGAGCAGGTCCAGGGCTTCCTCGACTTTGTCAACGCCAGCCCGTCTGCCTTCCACGCCGTCCAGTCGGCCAAGGAGCGCCTCCTCGCTCAGGGCTTCGTGCAGATCAAGGAAACCGAAGAGTGGAAGCTCAAGGCCGGCGAGAAGTACTTCTTCACCCGGAACCACTCCTCCATCTTTGCCTTCGTCGTCGGTGGCAAATACGTACGTACACGCACCCCACCCAACCGCTCCACGCGCTATGAGACGTACCGCGACTCAACTCGGCTCTGATCACTCACGCTACACATCCTACAGGAGGCCGGCAATGGCATCAACATCTCCGCCGCGCACACGGACAGCCCCAACTTGAAGGTAACAGCATCTTCATCTACATCTACACCCGCTCTACGCAGTCGTGCTGTGCCACGATGCGCACGTGCCCAAAGGCCTTCGGCTGACTATGAAGCAAAATGCAGATCAAGCCGGTGTCGATCCGCGAGAGCAAGGGCTTCCTCCAGGTGGGCGTCGAGACCTACGGTGGCGGCCTGTGGCACACCTGGTTCGACCGGTAACGTCATAGTCACACGCCACACGCCGCACGCACCTAAGACGAATGTTGAATGCCTATAGCTGACCGAGCGCCTGGCGTGTCGTGCGCGCAGAGATCTGACCGTGGCCGGCCGAGTCGTGGTCGCTACGGGCGAGAACAAGTTTGAGCACCGCCTGGTCCGACTTACCAGGTTCGTTTCCCGTCTGTGTGTCGACACCGACACCGACCCGCTGCTGGGGGGCTAAGGTGTGGCATGTGCGTGTAATAGGCCCATTCTGCGCGTGCCCAACCTCGCCATTCACTTGACGTCCGGCGACGAGCGCACGGCGTTCAAGGTCAACACCCAGACCCACCTCGGTTTCCCCGTCCTCGCCACCAGCATCAAGAAGTGCGCACCTCCGTCGTCACTCCGCCAAACAACCCCCCCTTCTGCAGAAGATAAGCCTAATTTCTTCCTCTGCTTGCTTGCTTGCCATAGCACGCTGAACAAGCCGACCGATGCGAAGCCTTCGCACCAGCCGTTGCTGCTCAAGCTGTTGGCCGACGAGCTTGGCGTTGAAGGTAGGCCAGCCACCTCTTGGTTCTCACAACCAGTCCATCGCTCACGGGCGCGCGTGTGCGCATCGTGCAGCTTCGCAGATCCGCGATTTGGAGCTGAGCGTGTGCGACACCCAGCCCGCGTGCGTGGGCGGCGCCCTCAACGAGTTCATTTTCTCGCCCCGACTGGACAACCTCATGATGTCCTACTGCTGCCTCACCGTACCCTCATCGTCCATTGCGCCTCTTGATGTTGCCGACGTTCTCATATTCGCGCTGATGCGTTTCTGTGTGTGTGTTGTGTGTGTGTGTGTGTGTGTGTGTGTGTGTGGCTTAGGGCTTCCTGGCTGCCTCCACCCCCGAGTCGGTGGCCAACGACACCAGGATCAGGCTGGTGGCTCTGTTCGACAACGAGGAGATCGGAAGGTAGACAACTCAGCTTGTGCTCCGAACGCGCTCAGCAGGAGAGCCCATGACAGTCTGGCCCGCACATCTCACACCCGCCGTGCTTGTTTGTGCGCAGTGAGTCGGCCCACGGTGCTGCGTCGAACCTGATGCCGCAGACCATCGAGCGCATCCTGGCCTGTGCCGGTCTCGGCAACTCGGTGGACGCCGTCCAGCGAGCCTACCGGCAGAGCTACCTCATCTCGGCCGACATGGCCCACGCCGTCCACCCCAACTACCCGTACCACTTTCACCTCCGCCGCACCGCACCACACCGCCACGCACTCACCCACTCACCCGATGGGCCATCGTACGCCATGACACCACCAGGGAGAAGCACGAGGAGAACCACCAGCCGATGATGCAGAAGGGAGTGGCGATCAAGTACAACGCCAACCAGCGCTACGCGACGACGTCGATCACGGCCTTCCTGCTCAAGGAGCTGGCGCGTCGCCACGGCGTGCCCATGCAGGAGTTCGTGGTGCGCAACGACAGCCCGTGCGGTTCGACCATCGGCCCCATCCTGTCCGCCGGCTGCGGCATCCGCACCATCGACATCGGCCTGCCCCAGCTCTCCATGCACAGCATCCGTGAGATGTGCGGCGCCGACGACGTCTCCCACGCCGTCAACCTCCTCAAGGCCTTCTACTCCGACTTCTCCAAGCTCGACGAGTCCCTCGTCGTTGACTGAGCCTCCGGCCAACATCGTTTGCGTTCCTAGAAACACACCGACCATACATTGTTGATAATAAACAACGCACCACGCGCATTGCTCTTTACATTTACGTCAAAGAGACCACCACCGCAGTAGTGCTACTACTGGAAAAAGAGGGAGCCGGAGGCGATGTGGAGCCTGAGCAGAGCGTCGATGATGTGCCAGACCACTTCCACCGGGAGGGCCGCCACCATGTTGTCGCCGCGCTGCCGTGCCAGCAGCAGCAGGCGCACTTCGGCCCGGAACGCACGCGGGCACACGGCGTGCATCTCCGGGCGCCACCGGGGTCCGCCTTCGCCCACCGCGGCCAGCCACCGCGCGCGCCGCGTCATCTCGTCGCCGTCCGTGATCCACTGCATCACCGCCGGCGTGGCGTCCGGGGGGTGGGTCTCAGTAAAGTGCTGGGCACAGGCCACGGGCTCGAAGAGCCACTCGTCCCGGAACCACGCCAGCAGTTGGTCGAGCGTGTGTTTCGTTGATTTCGCGTTGAGATGAGCGCTCCCCTTCGGAGCTAAAAAGGCCATACGGCCGGCTTCGTGGATCGACGGCTGGCGCCCGCCGGCGGGGCCGTTCTCGGCCGGAGAAGCCTCGGTCGATCGCTCGTTGTTGTCGGCGTCCCCGGTCAGGTCGAGCAGTGGTGTGACGAGCGGATGGAGAATGGGCGTGAGCATGCGGCACCGCTCACGCGCGAGCGGATACAGCGGGGACAGCTGCACGTGAACGACGAACTCTGGCGATTCACGCGGCTCGGTGGTCGACGACGACGAGTCGCCGCTGCCGTGGTAGGTGGTGGCTTTGGCGGGAGCGCGCAAGGCGACGAAGAAGTCGAGCGGGTGGTTGTTGATGTCGTCGGTTATGCCCTTCATCAGCTCGTCCACCATCTCCTCCTGCGTCTCATCGCGCTGGCCTACCAAGCGGAGTCCCTCCCGTTCCACGATCTGTGCGCCAACAGGTTAACAACCGCACACGCATCACCGCACACACCGCACGCACCACACACCGCACACCGCACACACCACATGCGCACCTCAAGAAGGCAGGATCGGATGTAGTCTGCGCGACCTGTGATTTGGAGTGATCCGTGGTTGGCGACGACGTCGCTCAGGCCGTCGTCCCACCCGGCAGGCAACGCCCAGCTCGACGTCGACTGGGCGGACCCTTGCCACCACTGGCGCCACCGCCCGAGCAGCCAGTCACCGCCGCCACTCGAGTCCCGGCCGCCAGCTTCACAGTGGCCTCGAGGCAGAGCGCGCCAGGTGGTCTGTTCGGGAATGACCACGTGTAGCGTGGAATCGCGCTGGAGGCCGCTGTGCTGGCAGATCTGCCGCGCGTCGGCCATCGACGAGCCGGCGAAGATGGCCCTGGGTAGCTTGCGGTCTTGGCCTGACGCGGGCAGACCTTCGACCAGCTGCAGCCGCCGGTGCCGGGCGGGTAGCAGGTGGCGCTGGCAGCCCAGCGGCGAGTCGTGCGGATGGTCGAGCTCAGCATCGTCGTCGTGCAGAACCATCACCACGCGGCACACGTCGCCAAAGCACAGCGCGATGTTGACTTCGAGGCGGAGCGTGCAGCCGCTCAGCAGCCGCCAGAACAGAGTGTGCGAGGAGGCCTGGTCCCTCGGCAGCTTGCCCGTGCCTGAACGCCAGACGGGGTAGCGCGGTTCCTGTTTTATTATGTTATTGTTATGATTTAATCTATTTTTGGTATAATGTTGTTTTGTTTTGTTTTCTGGTCTTGTTGTTGTTGTTGTGAGGTACCTCCATGCGGTGTGGGGGGATACTCTGGTCGTTGCCCATGCTGTGCGGCCTCCTTTCTCCGAGTCTTGCCTCGGTTCTTACAACCCCGGGGACGAGCTGTTTTAGTGAAGCAGCCGATGTCGGGGCTCGGGAGCAGAAAACCGCACCGCATCCAATGCGGGCGGACCTTTAGTTGTGGAAAAGTGTACACAAGCGCGGCGGCTGAGAGAGGAGAGAGAGAGAGAGCAAACGTCTGCGCTCAGTCCGAGTAGTTGTCGTCTTCGTCCATGTAGGACTCCTCTTCGTCTTCATCGTCGTCGTCGTCAGAGTCGTCCTTCAACTTCTTGGTGAGGGCCTTGGCCTTTGTCCTGCGGACGGGCGCGGCCGCTCTCCTCGGGGGTGGCTTGCTCGCAGGCTTTTCGTCCTCGCTCTCCTCCTCGCTCAGGTCTTCCTCCTCCTCGCTTTCGTCCTTCGCCTTCTTCGCGGCAGGCTTCCTCGCAGCAGTGGTTGTCGGCTTCTTCGGCGCCGGCGCCGCGGTCTTCTTCGTTGCCACCACCTTCTTGGCAGCGGCGGCCTTCTTCGGCGCCTCCTCTTCGCTTTCCTCGTCGTCGCTGTCGGACTGGATCTTCTTCTTGGGCGCCGCCGCTCTGCCCTTGGGCGCCGCCGTAGGCTTGGCGGCAACCGCCTTTCCTCTCGCCGCCGGCTTCTTGACCACCTTCTCCTCTTCCTCCTCATCTTCATCGCTGCTGCTAAGTTCGACGAGGGCCTTGGTCTTCTTGGCGGTGGCGGTGGCGGTGGTCGTGGCCTTGGTCGTCCTCTTCCGCACGACGACCGGGGAGTCCTCCACTTCGCTCTCCTCCTTCGGTGGCTTGGGCGCCTCCTTGCCCTTGTCCGTGTCGACGTCGGAGTCGTCCTCGTCAACGATGCTGATCACGCTGGCCTTCTTCCCCATCTTGGCGGTCTGCGCCACCACCTCGTCGCCCGAGTCGTAGTCCTCCTTCTCCTTCTCCTTCGATGCCGCAGCCGTCTTGCCGGCGGGCTTCTTGAACAGGTCGTCCAGCTTCTTCTGCGCGGCGTCCTCCTTCTTCTTGGCAGCGGCCGAGGTCGCTGCCTTTCTGGGGGCTGGTGCACGCTTGGCGGGAGGCGGAGCGTCATCTTCGTCCTCATTCTCAACCTTCTGCTTCTTGGCTGCCGCTGCCGCAGGCCGAACTCGTACTGCCGGGGCTCTCTTTACAGGCGCTGCGCCGAAATCGTCGTCGTCGGAGTCGTCCTTGCTCTTCTTGGGCGGGGGCTTCCTCTTTGGCGGGGCCCTCCTGCGACCGCGTCCGGCCTTCTTGGTCTGGAGGACCTGCGACTCGATGTCGCGGATCTCCTGCTCGTGGGCCTACAGCACAAACAAATGTAGAGGCGTGAGTATTCCACCGTGACACCTCATTGCAATGGCCGAAAGCAGGAAAGCAATGGCTAAAGCGTACCTCGAAGGCCTCGAGGAAGGCGTCCAGATCCCTTTCCCACAAGTCCTTGATCGGCGTGGCCTTGAGGGTGTCGAGCTCCTCCTGCTTTTCGTCTCTCTGCTGCTGCAGCTTTTGCACCTGTGGTCGCGGAGAGAAAGAACAAACAGACACATGCTCTTAGCGTGGGCAATCACAAGGGTACCAAAGCGAGCGCATACCCTCTCCATCGTCAAGTTCCAGATGGGCATGCCCAGCAAGTAGTTGTAGCCCGTCTCAGCCTTCTTGACAGATTTCGAATCGCCTTCCTCGTCATCGTCGTCTTCGGCATCGCCCTTCTTGGCCTTGCCGCTGGTCGCCTTTTTCTTCTTCTCCTTGGCGTCATTCTCGAACTTATCGAAGCCCATGTCCTCCAGCTGCTTGAGGAGCTCGACCTTCTTGCGATTGTTGACCACGATCTCCTTCTTGATAACGCCGAGAATGAAACGGACTTGGTTGTCGAGCTTTGACAGCTGCTTGTTCAGCGTGCCGATGAGGTGGGCCTAGAGTAAAGGTGAAACGTCAGGCACTTTCCCAGAGTAAAAACGAGCAACGTCTAGCTTTACCTTTCTCTTATCATAGAACTCGAGGCGGACGTCGTAGAACTCCTGAAGGACCGACATGCACGAGCCGTACCGGGCGATGTGTCCGTTCCGATCGAACAGGTGCATGTTGTTCATGCTGATGTACTTGGAGAGCTTGAACTGCTTCTCAATCTCGGACTCGTCGAACACGGATGCCTCGTCGGTGAGGGTGATCACGAAATGGACCTTCGAGTCCGTGTGGTGCTCCGTGTAGTCCTACGAAACAAAGATCATCAGTCGGGGGCTTACGAATCCGTTTGAGCAATCAGACTGCCATGAAGCGCAACTAGGGAGAGCTCCTACCTTGACGAGCGCATACTGCCTCTTCTTCTCGGGCTGGAGCAGGGTCTCCAGGAACTTCTTGAAGCCCTGGGTCCAAACGCCGATGGGCAGCTCGGTAATCTCGAGCGTGTGCGGGTCAGGCTTGTTCCAGATACCGAGAATTCGATACCGAGGAGTCTTGCCGTCCTTGTCTTCCACAAGCTGGCCCTGTGATGCGTATCGCATGAGCACCTCTCACATTTCGTCCTTTTCTCCTCGGCAGAGACGTGGGTGTCACATACCTCGAATGCGCGATACCAGGGGATCATCTCCTTGGGCGTTTCGTTTCTGAGCATGCGCTTGATGTTGTCGACGATGTCTCTCGGGTTGTAGTTGGGCACGAACGTGCTCCAGCCGGTACCGATGCCTTCGCCACCATTCACCAGGGAGAGCGGGATGATGGGCACGTAGAACTCGGGTTCCACCGGCAGACCGTCGTCCTCGAGGTAGTTGAGGAGCTTGTCGTCGTCGGGATGGAAGATTGTTCGAGTGATCTCACAGAGCCGCGTGTGGAGATACCTGCACAAAGAAAGAATGCGCTTGGCCTCAGAGGCTGACGGCTAAAGGTCGATGAGTAGACGAGTAGCACGTACCTAGCACTGGCCGCGTCCTTACCGCCGTGGAGCCGAGAACCGAAACTTCCAGCGGGGAAGAGGAGGTTGATGTTGTTCGACCCCACGAAGTTGTGGGCCATCGCTACGATCGCCTTGTTCAAAGACTCCTCACCGTGGTGGTAGGCCGAGTGCAGGGAGACGGAACCGCTCAGCTGCGCGACCCTGATCTCTTCCTTGATGTTCTTGCTCAGGCAGGTGTAGAGGATCTTGCGCTGACCGGGCTTGAGTCCGTCGACCAGAGAAGGGATGGAACGGGCACAATCGGCGATCGAGAAGTGGATCAGCTCCTTGTGAATGAAGTCGCTGTACGGCAGCTCGTCCACGTCTTGGTCCAGGAACGTGCCGGGCTAGTAGGATAAGCGGGGCACCAGGTCAGATCGAACTGGCTATGAACGGCTGTGACTGAAGCCTAGAAGGGTACCTCGAACTTGGAGATCCAGGTCTTTCTGTCTTCAACCCGCTTCTTGCTGAAGGCCATGTCTATCGCGTCGCCGTCTTCGTCGCCTCCCCACGCGAAGTCGATCTTGTGGCGCTGGAGCTCGGAGAAGTACTCCTTGGCCTCCTGCGCGGAGGAGGTACCGAGACCCTTGTAGTACTTGATCTTCCAGCCCTGTCCGTTATTGTTTTCCTCCTTCCAGGTCTCGTACTCTGTCATCGTGTAGAACGAAATGGTCTCCTTCTTCTTCGTGGCCTACAGTGGAGAGAACATGAAGTGAGCTACAGGCATACAGTAGAGACGAGAAGCTTCAATAATGATGGCTCGCATAGAAGACGCTTACCTTGACGATCGGGGTAATGAACTCAGTGAGGAATCCAGGAGTCTTCAGCAGATCGGGCCAGAAGTGGTGGACGAAGTTGATCACGAGACCCTTGATGTGAGAACCATCGTGGTCCTGATTGCGACAACCGAGTTACGGTGAGCAGGCCTTGGCAGAGCGGTGTAAACAAAACGTCGAGCCAAGGAAAAGAGAAAGAGCAGTCTCACCTGATCCGTCATAATCATCAAGCGCCCGTAGCGCAAGCCCTTGGTCGATTCGTACTTGATGTTGGGCTTGAGACCGAGAATCTCCATGATGTGACCGAACTCGACGTTGTCCATGATCTGCTTGTGCGTAGCCTCTCGAACGTTGAGGGGCTTTCCCTTGAGCGGGAAGACGCCGTAGCGATCCCTTCCGACGACCGAAAGACCGCTCACCGCCAGCGTCTTGGCAGAATCTCCCTCCGTGAGGATGAGCGTGCACTTGTCGGCGTTCTTGCCGCCGGCTTCGTTGGCGTCGTCCAGCTTGACGATGCCGCTCACTCGGGTCTTCTTCGAGCCACCCTTGCGGCCGAGCTGCTGCTTCTGCTTGAACTGCGCGAACTGGACAACGTTCTCGACGATAGCGCATTTCTTGACAACTGGGGGGGGGGGAAGAGAGATGTCCGGTGTCAGCGAAGTGATCATGCGCCTAGGCGGCAGGCTTAAGTACCCTTGTTTACGAAGTCGGTTGGGATTTCGCACTTGGAGCCGAACTTGGAGGCCTGGCTTGTGAGCGTCTCCTTGGTCTGCGAATCGAAAGCCGGGTTGACGATGAGCGAGTTGACGAAGACCCAGATGTAGTTCTTGATCTGGTGGCCCTTGATCTCGGCACCGCCCTTGTTCTTCTTGTTGATGATCGGCGTGAGCTCCTTAGTCAGCTTATCCGTCACGTACTTGACGTGCGTCCCGCCCTTGGTCGTGCAGATGCTGTTGACGAAGCTCACTTGCTGGAACTGGCCGGAGCTGCTCAGCGCGACGCAGACGGACCACCGATCGTTGATCTGCTGGAAGACGTGGGGCACGTCCTTCTTCTCGAAGTAGAGCTCGACGTACTTCTCGAAGCTGCTGATCTTGATGAGCTGCTCGTTGAGGTAGACCTTCAGCTTCGGATTGCAGCCGGCGATGTCGTACACGCGCTTGGTGAAGAGGGCGATGATGTCCTTGTCGAACGACTTCATGTTGAACCGCTTGAGGTCGGGTGTGAAGCTCACTTGCGTGTAGTCGTTCTTCGTCGCGGTCGACTTGATCACCGGCTCGTGGCGCTTCGTCATGTTGTGCTCCCACTCCATGAAGAACTTCCTCTTGCGCTTGCTATCGAGACATTCGACGCTGAAGTGCTTCGAGAAGATGTTGGCCAGCTTGGCGCCGTAGCCGTTGCGACCTCCCGTGACCTTGTTCATGTCGTCGTCGTAGTTCGAGGAAGTGAGGAGGTGGCCGAAGATGAGCTCGGGGACGTGCATCTTCTCTTCTGCATGCAACTCGACCGGAATGCCTGCCCATAGGTTCACAAGGTGAGTATGATTGCGAGATATCCATGGCCCGAGCAAACACGCCAAGAGATAAGTGGCACACCTTGTCCGTTGTTCCAAACGCTAATGGTGTTGGTGTCGGCGTTGATGGTGACCTGGATCTTGTCCATGGTCTTGTCCCGCTGGAAGTTGTCGGCAGCGTTGACCAAGATTTCGTCGAAGATCTTGTAGAGGCCAGGGACATACGAGATCTCGCGGTAGTTCATCCCTACCACCTCGTCATAGACCCACATCTTCTCTTCTCGCGACTCGATCGAACCGACGTACGTGTCTGGCCTGAGAAGAACGTGCTCCAAGGGCGTCTTCTTCTGGTAGATTTGTTCGATCGTCTTGCCGTCGTAGGACTTGGGCTGCACCTCTTCGAAAGATTCGTCGGTACCATCGGTGTCAGCAGCGATTACTTTGCGAGACTGCTTGGCGGGTGCCTGCTTCCTCGCGGGGGGCTTCGTTGCCACTCGCTTTGTGCCTGCCGCCTAAGTGGCCATTCAAAGAAATTAGCTAATGGCGATGCTGGATCCAGAGGCGTGAGCATGTACCTTCTTGGCAGGTGCCTGGCGATGATTCGAGCGAATAGATGGATAGATGCAAAAAGCGTGAGAAATGCAAACAATTCTTACAGAATTATTGTGAACGTACCTTCTTGGGCGAATAGCCATCGGAGAAGTCGAAGTCATCGTCGTCAGACATCTCGTCGGTGGAAGGAGCTGTGTGCGCCGGCTGCTCGTGGTCGTGGGGAATCAAATCTGTCAGGCGCGTTTCTTGAGCGTTGGCGCCTTTTTTTCCCGCCACACCCAGCTATACTCGCAAATGATATAGGCCTATTTCATATTCTTGATTTGATATTTAAATTCACAAAACCAGCTCACTTGGCCATCATCATCTTGACGAACTCCTCGTAGTGAATCTGACCGTCGCCGTCGACGTCGGCCTCACGGATCATCTCGTCGACCTCCTCATCGGTGAGCTTCTCGCCGAGGTTGGTCATGACGTGCCTCAACTCAGCAGCCGAGATGGTTCCGTTACCGTCCTTGTCGAACACTGGGAAGAGAGATGAGAAGGGCGTGAGTGTGGGAGGAAAGAAGGGGAAGGGCGACTGTGTACCCTTGAAGGCCTCACGGATCTCTTCCTCGCCCTCAGAGTCCTGCATCTTCCTTGCCATCATGGTCAAGAACTCTGTGGGTAACAATGATAACATTAGTTGAAGATTCAAGCAGGGTAGGCGTTTGGGGAAAGAGTTACCAGGGAAGTCAATGGTTCCGTTTCCGTCCAGGTCGACGTCCTTGATCATGTCCTTGAGCTCGGCCTCCGTGGGGTTGGCGCCGAGGGACCTCATCACGGTACCCAGCTCTTTGGAGGTGATCTTACCATCACCGTCCTTGTCGAACAGGGAGAAGGCCTCCTTGAACTCGGCCATCTGCTCTTCAGTAAGTTGCTCAACCATGGTGTAGTTGTGGAGGTGTCGATTTCGTGGGTCTTCGGTTTCGATGTGAAGGCAGCGCTGTGTGCGGGCCTAGAAGGCTATGGAGTTACATACCAAACAAGGCCTGGGCACGCGACGCACACTGCACCAATGGCCAATTTCCAAAACCGCGTAACTACCCCACATACCAGCCATGGAGTGCGCAAATGTAAAGAATGTGATGTCACACACGCTGTGCATTCTTCACATGCCGGGGCGCTACATTGCAACTTGAGTGAGCACCCTGATGATAGATAACAGTATTTTACAACATATTTACATATCCCCAGATTACTGCGCGTCGGCAACTACGCGCGAGAGAAGGCCGGAGAGGCACAGCTCGTAGGTCATCTGCTTGACCAGCAGGTCCGCCAGCAGCAGCACCACCACCTCGCCCTCGGCAGCGCTCAGCTGGTGATGGGCCTCTCTTCGCTTCATCGTAATCTTCTCCGCCTCGAGCTGGAGTCCCTCTTCGTCTTGGCGAGGGCGTGGGCGAAGCCTGGCCGTTCCGGGCGTTGAGGGGAAGGAGGGACACCCGAAGATCGTCTCCTCCAGCGGTGGCGGCGAAGAGGCGGCTGTCGGCGACGTGGAGGGTAGGGGCTTCGCGGGCAGGGAATCGGCTGGCATTGACGGCGAGGGAGGCGGCGAGGTAGAAGAAGAGGGCAGTATGCTGTTGGTGAAGTAGCCGATCGATGACATGAGAGTGAATCGGAACGACGCGACCTTATCTCCGGCTTCACACGTCGGGCTTGACGTTGAGAGAGGCTGGCTCGGCGGGAGGTCGACCAGTGTCCACGTCGCGCTGTCCTTGGCGCGTCGAAGCCGTTCCACTTCGAGCTTGCCCAGCATCAGCTGACGGGCGATGTCCCAGATATGGTTCATCTCCACCACTAGCCGCGCCGCTGCCTGCAGCTCATCGCCTCGATCCCAGCCGAGGGCGTCGTTCCTCTTCTCCCCTTTCTTGTTGCTCGTACGCTTGTGGTGCCTGCTCCGTTTTGCGGTGTTCGTCGACGGGACCTTGTGGGCGTCGCGATAGGCCAGCATGAGGGCAGCCTGCCATCGAGCTCGCGAGGACGACGCCGCGGCTGAGCCGACGAAGTACTTGCTCACCTCGAACTGCTCCAGCAGCTCGCGCCACTCGTCTTCGTCTTCATCGCCCATCGTCGCGCCCTTCTCTTTCTTGCCGCTCGACTTCTTGCTCTTCTTCTTCGTAGCTTGGGGGCTGAAGAGGTGCTTGAAGTAGTCCTTCTCATCTTTGGAGGGTCGTACGTGCTTCTTCATGGAGCGGGCGAGCTTCGAGGGTGCGAAAGTAGAAGGCGACGATACGGGCGAAGAAGAGGGAGACGAAAAGGGAGAGAGGAAGGAGAAGGAGGATGAAGCTGCAGCAGGCTGAGAAGAGAGCAGCCGCGAGATGGTGGGGGACGAGGGCGGAGAGACGAAGAGGGAGGAGAAAGAGGCCAGAGAGGAGAGGGAGGACATGGCGGGTAGAGGCAGCACCGAGTGGAGGTGGGCCTCGAGCATCTCTACAGCCGTCTGCGCGACAGACTGCTCGCAATCTGCAGCTTCCTCGTTGGCCGCCTTCTTCGCCGGGGTAGAAGGTGCGGCGAGGAACATGGGCGGCTTGTGACGGTCGGTCGTGGGCGAGTGGACAGGCGATGACGAGGCGAGGAGGGCCAGGCGACGGGGCATGAGTCGAGAGGGCGATGGCGGACAAGAGGTGAAGTCATGGCGACGAGAGAACAGGAGCAGCTGCTCTTCCATCGTGGGCGTGTAGGTTGAGGAATGGTGGCAACCGTAGCCCTTCCCAGCCAGGCTCGCTGCGGGAATGGGTCCTGTCAACGCCATCGTCTTGTCGAGTGGCTTACGTAGGGTGCTCGAGGGTGCGTAGTGCGAGGGGGACGGGGGGCAGCTCGTGGTCTGGTTCTGTAGGCAGGAGTGACGAAAACGCACTGGGCGTTCCAGTGGAGGAAGTGTGGATGGACTGTAGAAGACGGCAAGCAGCTCCGAGTTGTTTGAATTGCTAGTGTACAGTGCTGCTCTCTCACTCGCGGTCGTAGGCCGAACTCTGGTCTCTTGTCTTGTTTGGACGTCCTTCGTTCCGCTGCTATCCTACAGGAGTCTTGTCCCAGGTACGACGCGCTCGCGAATTCAAATTCCGCCTCTCCGCCGGACTCAAGCTTCGCCGCAAGCGTAGCACCATCCAACCGCTTGAGCCAGATGCCCAGCGCCCATGAAGAACTACATGATTCGTCTTCCCTAGGCCCTCAAAGTCTGAGATGGAGGCGGTGTCGTGACACAACGTGTCGGCTGTGGACGGCTAGTGCGGCTTGCGGACCAAAATACCAAACATACCACCTCAAATTTCCAGCAAGAGTTGGAACGATGTCCTGGAAATTTCAAAGTACAACTGAAATTTATGCAAACGCACGCGCACCACGGTGTTGGGCTGCTGGGCTCGGCGGCGGATCGAGCCCAGATGTCGCCGTTTTGGTTCGTGTTGGGTTGTAGCGGCGTTGTGCAAACGCTGAAGAATCATCTTCAATCGATTCCTGAGGCTCTGGGCAAACAGAGGCTGCACCGTCAACCACCACGAGAGCCGCTACAACACTAAGGTACTGCCCGTCTGCAGCCCTCAAGGGCACAAGAGGGCTTGCAGGGAGGAACCACTGGTGGTCTGGTGCCAGACGAAACCCAATCAGATCGTACTCGCTCCACGCGCAGGCCACCGCAACTAGGCTGCACCCAGGTGCCACACTGGCCACAGCCCCAGCACGAATCTACAATGCAAGTGCCCGACATTGGCTGGAAGATTAAATGAACAGAGATTGAGAATGAGGAATCGACTCATTCTCTCGCTTGGCACTCACATCCACCCTTCTTCTTCTCTTCTTTCGCCACGCAGACATGTCCACGTACAGAGTCGTGCCTGTGCCAGTGCTGTCCGACAACTATGGTGCTTCTTGCCTGGCTCGGTGAAGATGGAATAGGGAGTGGAGTGGAACATGGAGGCTGACAATTCACCTACGACTGGACGGACTATGACCGCGCATAGCCTACTTGCTCATCGATGAGCGAGACAAGGTGGCGGCCGCCGTCGACCCGGTGGAGCCGAAGAAGGTGCTCGAGGCCGCGGAGAAGGAGGGCGTGCCCATCAAGGCCATCTACACCACACACCACCACTGGGACCACGCCGGCGGCAACGAAGAGCTGCTCAAGGCCCTCCCTGCCGGCACGCCTGTCTACGGCGCCGATGACCGCAGTACGTTTGCCTGCACCCTCCAGTACGCGCCTGTGTGGGTGCGCCTGAGCTCACTCGTGGTCTTGTTTTACGCCTCGTCTCGCCAGTCCCGGGGCTGACTCACAAGGTGGCCAACGCCGAGGTGCTGCAACTGGGCAGCACCGGTGTGAAGGTCCTCTTCACGCCCTGCCACACAGCGGGCCACGTACTGGTACAGACAATCTTCTACACACACACACACACACACACACACACACACACACGAGCTAACACGTGCTTTTCTCTGTAGTTCCTGGCTGGCAGTGACCACGCTCCTCGAGCACTGTTCAGCGGCGACACACTGTTCATTGGTACGCCCCCGCCTCGTTTGCCAATGTAAAATAATATATAAGTATCATAACACGAGATGTTGATGATACCACAACACACACACACACACACACATGGTTAGGCGGATGCGGTCGGTTCTTCGAGGGCACGGCCCAGCAGATGTACCACGCCCTGCACGACGTCTGCGCGCAGCTGCCCCAGGACACCCAGGTGTGGTGCGGCCACGAGTACACCGTAAAGAACCTCCAGTTCGCCCAGTCGGTCGAGAAGGACAACCAGGAACTTCAGGTCCGTTGGGTTTCGTTTTGTCATGCACGCGCGTACGTGTGCGGTGTGCGTGTGCGACTTGCTGACGTGGTGGTGCGACGATGTGTGTAGGCGAAGCTGAAGTGGGCCGAGGAGAGGAGGAGTCAGGAGCCGCCATTGCCGACGATTCCGTCGACCATCCACGACGAGCTGCAGTGCAACCCGTTCATGCGGGTCAACCGCGAGTCGGTCAAGCGAGCGCTGGGCCTGGCCACCGAGGCCGACCCCATCGAGGTCATGGCCAAACTGCGCCACATGAAGGACAAGTGGTAAATTAAAACTGTGAGCTTCTTAATGTTACTGATGACGGAGAAGAACCAGGGTCCGATTCTATGTACAATGGCGCTGGCGTGGTTGGTGCACTTTTAGCTGCGGTGCAGCTTGCGCCTGACCTGGAGCACCGCGTCGAAGAACGCCTCGAGCCGCGCTTCGAGGGCCTGGTCCCGCTCGGCGGTGGCCGTGGCCGTGATGAACTCGATCTCGGTCTCCCACTTGCGGTTGCGTTCGCCGTTGCCGAAGCCGGTCTCCGACACGCGCGTCGTGCGCACGAAGCAGTCCTCGCTCAGCCGATAGATCACATCTTCCTTCTTGCGCAAGAAGAACGCATGGAAGCGCTGCTTCGTCGTCGCTGCCTCCTCGCCCGCCGCATTCACGGTCTGCGCGTCCGGGGCAGTCGCCGGCGCGGGGAATGTAAGGACCTCGTCTTCGCTTTCGCTTTCGCTTTTGGCCGCCTCTGTGCTGCATCGGATTTGGTGGATGAAGTCGAGGAGGGGCGCGGTGGCCTCCACCGCGCGTAGGGTGTCGAGGCAGATGCGCACGTCGGGCTCGTCGGTCGGGAAGAGGTAGTCGCAGATCAGCTTCTTGCTGCTCACCATGAACGCCTGCCAACGCGCGCGTGCCGTGTGCGTGTGCCGTGCGTGTGTGTGTGTGTGTGTGTGTGTGTGTGTGTGGAGCGTCGGCGTCAGCGTGTGGCACGCGTATGGGCTCAGGTGGAGACAGGATAGCTTGTGCTTACCTCCTTGAGGGCGAAGCTGCCGTCCGCGTTCTTGCTCAAGGTGACGGACAAGGGGATGTGGCTGGCTTCGTCCCAGACCTTGAACTCATAGAGCACCTTGACCTATGTCATGTCCACCCCATCGCGTCAGCAACGAAAGAAGGAGAACGAGAGGTACACCACCACACACACACCACATACGACACACACCACACACAGGCGGTACCTCCGGAGTGTAGCTTTCGGCCAGAAGCTGGGTCAACGCTTCATGCGCCAGCTTCGTCTCAGTTTCATCCGTTCTGGACAGACCCGCGAGAAGCAGCTGAGTTCAGTAACGGACTACTCACGGCGAGGACGAAAGCCGGAGCGTACATGGTCACGAAGCGCGGGGTGCAGCGGTCGCGCAGAATCGGCTCCATGGTGGCATAGGGGTGGGGTTTGTTGGCCGGCACCACCATCTGGCCCATCGCCCGGAACGTGATCTGCCCGAGCCGCGCCACCAGCCGCACCTTGCCGGGAAAGCCGCGGGTCTCACGAAGCAGTCGCGCCACGCGCTCCACCGCCGTTCTGCTGTCGGTCGCGCCGCGGCCTTCGCGCTCTACTTTCAGCAGCCCCAGGTTGAGACTCGCCATCCGCTTTGCAACATCGTCCACGTCCTCTCCCTTGTGTGTCGTGTCGTGTGCGATGAGAGGCAACAAAGAAGGAGAAGATGAGAAGTTGAACACCGTACCGTAGTGGTGGCGGCGGCGGCGGCGGCGGCAGTGATCCTGCGCAGGGAGTATGTGTCGGCAGGCCCGTAGACCTGCCTGGCGCTGGCCGGCACGAACTGGACGAGCTCCTGCGGGCCGATGCCGGTGTTGAGGATCAGGAAGTTTTCTTCGCACTTGTCCCTCGTGAAGCCGCCCGACTAGACAAGCCGTGTGCCACGCACGACACGATACGACACGCAACACGGTGAGCGTGTGCGATGGCCAGGAACATGATGACACCGGCACGTACCACGGCGTAGAAGATCTGCAGCTTGGCGTTCTCGATGGCCGTCGGCGTGCCGCTGATGGTGAAGGCCAGCAGGCCCGGGTTGAGCGGGTGGTCGTACCCACTGGAGATCTCCACCTCGGCCGAATCCCTGCGCGTGCGTGCGTGCGTGCGTGCGTGCGTGCGAGTGAGTGCAGCGCAGGCGAGACGCTGTGCGACAATGATCGCGTACCCGATGCGCTGGAGGTTCCTGCCATGCTTGCCCACCACGATGCCGCCGTACTCTTTGGGCACGGACACCGACTGGGAGACCTCGTCGCCTCGCCGCCTCACGCGACCCCGCGCTACCCGCGGTTCACCACCTCCTCTGCCTCCATCTGTGTGGACCCACGTTGAGCGAAATGCACTCGCAAGATGCGCGCATCTTTGAAAGATGTTGTGGAGGTGATTGATTGTACCGTGGTAGCTGCTGCGTACATCTCGCTGGAAGCTGCTCGAGGGAGGGGAGCGCCCGCCTCTACCCCCTCCGTAGTGCTGCGATGGGCGTGGGTCGCGTCGGTTGCCGCCTGCACCACCGCCACCACCGTAGTGGGATCCTTGTGCCTGGCGTGAGCCACCATAAGATGAAGCACCACGATCGTTGTCGCGCGAGTAACGATCACGCTCTACATAGGCGCCCTCGTCCCGGCCCGCAGTGTAGCGGCCTCCATCGCGCCCACCTCCCCGGCCACCGTAGCTTCCCTCCCTGCTACTGTCATACCGACCGCCACCACGCGATCCATACGACTGCGCAGGACCCCTCGCATCTTCCTCCTGCCCACCGCCTCCCTCCTCTCTCCTTCGCCGTGGGATCTGATACGCCGCCTTACTCGGTGCTCCCTCCATCTTGCTCGCAATGTTGTTTGAGGTTATGGCACGTTTATTACTTGTTGCTTTCGTGTAGCACCGTCGCGAAGAAGACAGACACGCTTAGTCGTCGGCCGGGGCATCGGAGCCATCACGGCCAGAGTCGGCGTGAGCAGGCGACCTAGCGGGCGACCTAGCGGGCGATCTGGCGGGCGATGCAGACCTCTCACGGGCGGGCGCCGGCGAGGGCGACCTCGACGCCCTCTGCTTCTTGGCCGCGGGCGAAGCGGAGCGCGAGCGCCTGCTCTCCCTGACGGGCGACCTGGAGCGAGACCTCTCCCTCTTGTTGTTGCCTCCTCGCCTCGAGTCCCTGTCGCGATCGCGATCGCCTCGGTCTCCCCTGGGGGCGGGCGACCTCGACCTGTCGCGGGCGGGCGGGGGCGACCTCGAGCGCGAGCGGCCGTACCTCCTCGGGGGCGAGCGGGAGCGACCGCGGTAGCTGTCACGGCCACGGTCGCGGTCATAGCCGCGTTCACCGCCGCCACGACCACGCTCGGAAGCGGGGTTCTTGCAGTCGCGCGCCCAGTGTCCCTCCTCGCCGCATCGGAAGCAAGTGTCGGTATCTAGATACCGTGTGGGGTTCGCTCCATTAGGATTTGGGGGGCAAAAAGGGGATGGAAAAGGCCTCGTACCGGTTCTCCTGGCACCCTTGGCCCACTCGATGGCGATTCTGGTTCCGAGAACGGAGACGCCATCGAGATCACGCAGGGCATCCTGGGCATCTCGCCTGTCCTCGTACTCTACAAAGCCATAACCTGCGCCAAATGTGAAAGTTTGGGAAGGATGAAACTGGAGAAACCTGAGGGAGGAGCAGCTGTACCTCGCTTCACATCGCAGCGAGTGAGCTTGCCATACTTGTAGAACAAATCTTCCAAATCTCTGGGCCTGCAGTCGAGGGCGAGTCTTCCTGTAACGGGCGGACGGGAAACGGAAAGCGGATGGGAGCGGTAAGCAGGCTAAATTGGCAGGCCGGCACTTCGCGGGCGAATTAGATCAGGAGAGGACAGTTCTGCGAAGTACAAGAATTTGCACAACGTTAACTCTCCATCCATCTTCTAGTTTTTGTCCATCTCCTCCACCCAACCCACGTCCATAATCTATCCATGAAAAGAGCTTCATCGCGAGATACAAACCTACGAAAAGAGCCATCTGGTTCTGGTGTGTGCGCCGCGGTGATCTACGAAGGCGAAAGAGAAGAGAAACAACTGGAACAGCAAACAAGAAAAAAACGGTAACCACCAGCGGAGTTTTGATTTATTTTATTTTCCCTCTTTTTCTTGTTGTTTTCTTAAAGAAGAGACAACAAGAAGACGCTAGCAATTGCTTCATGCAAACTCAAGAGAAGCCACATCAGCCTTGCAGAAGAAGCACGTCTTGCTCTGCAGCATGTGCCGCTGGATGCACCTCTTGCACGACTGATGCTTGCACGGCAAAAACGTGGTATTGATCACCTGTGCGGACCGGGCCGAGGGTCAGAAGGCTGCACCATGAGCCGGGGGAAGAGGGAATGTACGTCGGCGTAGCAGATGGGACAGAGCTCGCCCTCCTCATCGGCGGACTGGCTGGTGTTGATCTCCTTGTCCTTCTTCTCGGCGTCCCTGTTCTTGAGGTCCTGCATGAACCCGTCCAGACGTCGCAGTTCGTCGTCGACACGCGCTGGAGACAGTTCTGGTGGGAGAAGTCGATGGCGATATTGTTGAGTCTTGGGTGCTTACGCTCCATCGAGAGAGAAAGGTTCTGTGTACCAGCACTCCAGGCCAGACCGGCAATGTAGTCGAGGGTCTCCATCGTGAACTGCGCGGTGGCCAGCAGGGTGTCGATGACGTCGTACTTCGGAGGCTCCGTTCCTGCGAGTGGGCGAGAGGTAAGCGTTTCGTGTTGACTCAAGCAACTGTGCAGGATATAAGAAGCGGTGGCACCTGTTGTTCGAGGTCGATGGAGGTTGAGCAGAATGCCCACGACGGGTGCCAAGATCGCAAACCGAGTGATCTGCGAAACTCTGCCGACGCGCATAATGTCGAGCGAGGTGACACTCTCAAAGATCGACGCGTTTGGCCCTTTGTGTGCATACCCATACAGTAGGACGTGAGAGACGCATAATAAACTGAGATAAAGTTGAGGCAGACAGCGCACCGGTGGTCGTTCTGCTGACGACGTACAGCAGCAGCTCACATATGCGAGCGATATTGAGCTCTTCATCCAGAATGGCCCTGGGAGTCTCGAGCGAGATGGCCTCCACCATTCTTGATGTGGAAGAGAAATGAAAATAGTCAGCTCCTGGAGCCTCAGTCGTCAATATGGGTACCGACGTGTGTGCCTGAGGAGTATACCTGAGAAGGGAAACCGATAGTTCGAACATGATGCTGCATCGTCGCTGAAGCGTCTGCGTCTCTTCCTCATAGGCGAACACGTTTTGTGTCGATTGGATTAACTGTTGCCACACTCGGATTAGATCGTTGCACACCATAGGGAAAACAAAGGTGGGTGTCGTACGTTTCGCATGGCGACCTCCAGCTCCGACACTGTCCAGTTCAAATTGTTGAAGAGCTTGTTGATGAACTCGGACATCACATTGCCGCCATCGGCCTTGTCGCTCTCATAGAACTGCCTGAGCAGCGCGGCGAAGACCTCAGAGGGCTCGTTGTCGCCCTCTTTGGCCTTGGCGTCTTGCGCGAAGCCCTTGCCCTGTTGAACGGGCGGTGCGTGTGTGAGTAAATTGAGAGTGTTGCATCATGATTGAGGTCAGGTAGTCATACCTTCAGAAGTCGGGGAAACATGGTGGCAACGGTGGCCCAATTGCGGTTGTCAAATGCCGCGATCATCATCGGCAGCAGCTGCTCCCGCGCAATGGGGTTTGCCTCCAAGTGCTGTACAAAGTTGGGTTGCTGCAGGAGCACGGAAATGGACTGCAGCAGCGAATCCCTTGTGTCTATACGGCGAGGGAATGACATGACATGGCACATGAGTCTTGCTGATCGAGCAACTGCCACACGAAGCAAGGCGTACCGGGGTTGATGATCCGTGCATCGGGGAAATGCGTGATGAGGAATGTGAGCACCTCTTGCATCCCCTCCCTGTTCGACTCTGTGGATAGAAATAGCACGCAACACAAAGTATTAGAGACAACAGCGGCAAACAAGAGAGCGATTGTTTTGTGCGGGACCCTCTCCCGAAGGTACCTTGCAGGAGGTCGTAGGGCGGATCGGCTCTGCGCAACGAGTGGAAGGCCTCAATGGAGGTCTCGAGATACATTTGCGGGATGTAGGGGAACGCCTCTGGAGTCTCGTCGGAGATGTTCCGGAAGAGGCGCACCAAGAAGATGACCAGGTCGTACATCCGCTTCTCCTTAGTCTGTGTGTCGCGACAGTGTTGCGTGTCAATGAAATGATATACAAAGGGGCAACCGAGGGCCGAGCGTGTACACTTACCGCACTAAACAATGTGGACTGTGCCCAGGCCGTGAGGCGCACGGACTCAATGGCATCCTCGAGATACACGCCACGCGCGTTTTGAAGGTGGTCAGCCTCCTGGACAACAAAAAGGTGAGGACGATGGGACCGCGGAGGTGAGCAGGAAGGAGTCATGGCGCGAACCTCTGTAGAGCCTTCGCTCTTGGCCTTGGCGATCCTGGCATCCATATCCTCCAACAGCGCAATCGCCTGTAGCCGGTTCTGCATCTGAATGGCCGCAGCCTTGAACATCACGCCCATAATGTATCTGATAGGCGTAACGTGAGAGAATACGCGCTGGACGTGAGTTTCTCCGGGAACAATAGCAAACGAACGGAAAGCTGGGAGGGCACCTGAAGAAAGTGATGGCGGAATTCAAGGCTATCACCTCGAGCGGCGGCTCCGCGGACTCGATGCTCTCCTCGGAAATCTCCTCCTCCACTTCCGCGTGGACGAGCCCGTTCTCCTCGGGGTGGCCGTGTCGGCTCACCGTACGGTCCTTGCTGTCCTTCCTTCGCTCTCCCCCGGCCTTTCGGTTCGTCCTCTTGGCGATCCTCTTCTTCTTGAGGTCGACCAGCTTCACTGGATAGTTCTTCCGAAGATGTCCCATCAACCCGCCAAGCCTAACGCAATGCAACGCAACACAACCAGGTTACGTCGCGTCTCCATCAAGAACATACATTTGTGTAAACATTTTACCTGGTGAGGTCGAACGCGTCCAGGTGCTTTCCACAGAAGAACCCGACAGGGAACCGCGCGGCCGTTCTCGTCGACGCAGCCAAGTAGTCTTCGAGCGTGCCCAGCAGCGCAAAGTAAAGGCTAGCTAGGGTCGAGTTGTCCGACAGGCCGGGAGGTGGCGGCTGCGACGGAAGAGGCACCGTCAGTACAACGCCGACAGCAAGCTAGGTGGAAGTGCATACGTCTCTGTTGAAGGCAGAGTTCTTGTCAACGATGAGCTTTAGGAACTCCAGGAAGATGCCCTGCGGCGATTTTCGCTCACGCTCCTCGTGCGGCGTGAGGCTGATCCTTCGTCGTCGCGAGTGCCTGACCTTACGGCCTGGTTATAGGGGGAGAACGAGAAACAGGTAAGGACGAAGAGAGCACGGGCAGTTCAACAGGCCCAACAATACCTTCGTCTCGCCACTGGCTCACGTTTGGAGTGTCGTCGCCGAGGAAGAGCGAGCACAGCTTGACCAAGAGCTCGTCGTGCTCCTCCACCAGCGCCTTCATCTGACCGAGTCTCTCCTCGTACTTCTCTTTCGACACCGACTTGCCCTGAACAGCTCGACGGGTGAGCCGCCCACGGGAAGCGCCATGAACGAGGAAACGAAGGGTGGCGTACATCCTCTAGAGAGCCCTCCCAATGCACCGAAGGGAACACGTGTACCAGGTCGCCCATCGTAGGTTGCTTCGATGTGAACATGGCCTCCAGCAAATCGTTGACTGTAGCAAAGAGTTAAGGAATACAAGTACGCTGGAGCTGGGTGGGGAGGGGAAAGAGCGGCGTCGGGCGTCAGCCAGGGTGAAGAGGTGGAAAGGATATTGTGGATGGTAGATGAAGACGTTCATCACGTGAGACGACTTGAGGAGGTTCACCAGGAGCTTCACGCTGTGAATGTATTCACTGGGTGCCCACTTGGCGTAGGGACCTGCAAGGGATGTGAATCAGTTACAATAATATTGTGCGTATGTTGGGGCAGAGTGGAAAGGAGGGTAACGGTTCGCACCCTTCGATGACTTGACGTCGCTCGGGTCCTTGGGCAGGTGCTCGAACCCACCTGGCAGTTCGCAGCGCGCTTTCACCGTCAGATGGTGGATCGTGGCATCGATGCAGGGCACTAACTCGAACGGCTACACCCACGCGCACCATCAGGTGTTAATACAACGATCGAGCAACCTTGGCTAAATAAATGACAGAGGAACGTACCTCGAGACAGATCGCCATGAGGTCGAGCAGCTTGGCCACTGCCCTTTCGCCGTTGTAGCTGATGCGGGCATGGTGGTTTCCGTTTTCGTGAGTCGTAGTGTCCTCCTCGAGGAGTCGAACGAGGAAGGGGATGAAGGACGAAACGATGATGTAGTCGTCGGCCAGGTACTCAGCCAAGTTCTCCAAGATCTTGGCTGCGAGGATGGTGACGTCCTCCTGAGGCAGCACGAACTGGTAGAGCGAAGGAGAGTGGGGCGAAGAGGTGGAAGTGGAGCTGCTACTGCTCGTGGCAGGAGAAGAGAGGGCGGCACTGACAGAGTGACAGATCAAGCGCTCCAGGCACTCGAAGAGGTAATCCGCCTTCTTGAGCTTGATCGAGGTGGGTTGCTGTTGAATCGGTTGGAACCTAGCAGAGCGCACAAGTGTCAGATCATTGCTTGTTCGCTCTGCTCGAGCCAGTCAAAGAGGTCTGAGTGTACCCGGGCACGGGGAAGTAGAACGGCTTTGATCCGAAGTTGAGAAGAGACCTCTCCCTATGAGACAGGGAAATCGTGGGAAAGTAGGCCAGCCCGGTTCCAGTCCGCACCTTCTGGAAGGCGGGACCCAGTGGCTCTCCATTCCTGTAGAAGCTGATCGTGCCATAGAGCTCCTCCTCCTCCTCTTCCTCGCTATCGTCCTCTTCAATAGCTTCCTCGGCGTCTCGCTTCTCGCTCGCCTCCTCGCTCTGCTTTTCGGCGGTACCGTCTTGCGACTCCTGGCTCGGGGTCTCTCCGCTTTCCGGGAGAGAGTCGACGTCGACAGCCTTGTTCTTCTCCTCTGATTCCAGGCCTTCGCCGTTCTCGGTAGCGACCGGCGATGGCTGGACTGGAAGGTCGATGCACACGCCGATAACATCGCCAGGCAGCCAGTGCTGGCCGTAGGCCGCCGGCCTGGTCTTGTTCCACCGCTTCACTCGAGCACCGTCGTACGCGTACGAATCGGCAGAATCGCCAACGCCTGTGGTATGCGCATAGCAGTTTACGTCAGCCGCAAGCTACAACCACCAACAACGAGAAGCATGGCAAGACTGGTGAGTACCATTCTCGTTCGAGAAGCGACACTCTAGTGTGGACCAACCGATCTGCTGAACGCCGCCCGTGCCTAGCACGACTTCGAACATCCATTTGCCGCTGTAAGCGCAGGCGTTGGCACGAGCGCTGCTGAAGTTGCTGTGACTCTCCATCTATTTGCGATACGTCGGAAAGAGAATGAGGTCTGTGTTCGACGCTCAATCACAGCGCGAGTGCGGCCAGTACCTCCAGATCGCCGCTGGTGAAGTGGCAGAGCCCGCAGGCGCTCTCGCGATCCATTTTCACGACCTTGGGTCCGAGCCTGCCCATGTTGGCATCTGCGCGAATGGTATCCCTGCTCTCCTTCCCGTCCCTTCTCTCTATGTCGGCTAGTCGCTTTTGGAGGAGCTCCTGCAAGCTGCGCAGGCTAATGGGATAGCTTCGGCCACTACGCGGAAGAAGACAAGGAGATAAGCCAAACTTGACGAGCGGAGGCCACAGGGGTTGTTGCGGACGAACCTCAGCTCGCTGCTCAATATGGCATGAGGAGTTGTTGGTGAGAGCTCAAAGAGGTGCCGAAGGAACTTGTTCATTGCTTCATCTTCGGTATGCACATCTCCTGAATTGTGACAGCGTCAGAAACGTGGTCGCGAGGTGCGGAGGGCGCAGTACCGTCATTCTTATCAATCAGCAGAGCCAGGCCCTTGGCGCAACGGCTGGTGAAGAACTTCTTTGGGGCTGGACAAGAGCGAGAAGTAAAAAGCGATGAGGAGATGAATTGCCATCAATTCGAGAAATTCATCTCCTCATGATTCTTGCCGTTACAAGGTGCTATTTTAAGCGCTAGCAGAATGCAACGTACATGCGTTGGGGCTGGTGTATGAGCGCAGCGTCTGATCGCCAGCAGCGCCTTCCATCCGTACGTCTCAATGATGTGACAAGGAGGTCCTGTTTCGTTTTTGCCGCCTTTTTCGCTGAGCGTCGTCAGAAATGTATTTTCTCAGTAATTCTTGCAGTTTCCTCAAGCCATTATTTTTTTGGTGCCACGCGTCCAGCAGCCACCGCAAGTAGAGCTAGGAAGATGGACAACCTGCTGTCCAAATCCCTCTATGGGGTGGTCTACCTCATGGGTGCGTGCAAGTGGCTTTATATCTGCTTCCTTCAATGCGGTCCTGTCCTCACGCTACAACCCGGAGTGGTTGGGTACGGCAGGTTTGAACTTCCTCACGCACGGGCTGACGTTCGTGCTCAACACGCTGATCGTGCGCATGGTGCAGACCAACGTATTCGGGGTGCGCACCCTTGTTAGCCTTCACTTTTTCTCTTCGTTCTTGCTTTGCGGCATGCCGGTTCTTACATACGCCTCGCTATCCCTCGCTCAGTTTGCATCGGTGCCGCTGCAGCTGTTGGTGTCCACCATCCTCTTCCTGTCTCGCGAGGCGTTCCGCAATGCCTGCCAGCGTTCAGCCGAGGGCGAGTACTTCCTCCCACTCCGCATGCTGGCCCCCAGGGCTACAGTTGGTTTACCACATAGTGCACGTGCAGCGTGGGCGACAAGCGATGGCAGCGTGAGTGGGAGCGCAAGCTGACCAACCTGAGCTGGGCGGTGGTGCCGCTGGGCGTGGCCGTGACGCTGGCCACCTTCGCCCTCTCGGTGCTCACCGCATCGCCCGAGGAGCGCGCCCTAGACAACTACCACCTCGTCGT